AAAATATTCTTAAGCTTACTTCCTTGGAAGGAAGTCCCATGGAATTTCATGGTGCTTCCTTCCAGTAGCCATGGGTAAAATGGCTTTGAAAGGGTGCTTCCAAAGGAGAACATAGTTTCTGTATTTAATATTAATAATAATAATAATAATAATAATTATAATAATTAATAATAATTGTATACCATAGATCATAGGTGGTTCACAACAGAAAAACACAATATAAAAAAAACACAAAATACATACATAATAAAAACAACCCAACATCCCTCCCTTCCACAACATATTTTAAGAGGGCATCGGATGTCAATCAGCCAAAGGCCTGGTTATTTTGAACTCCTTCTGCTCCATTTCCACATGTGAGATAAGGGTGATTTGCCTGTATTTCATGGCTGCTTTCTTCCCGGTGCAGGTTGGAAAGCTGATCAAAGAAGCCGCTTCGAAAAGTAACCTCAAGAGGGTGACGTTGGAGCTCGGTGGGAAAAATCCCTGTATTGTCTGTGCAGATGCTGACTGTGAGTATAGCTGCTGCCAACAGTGCTAATATTGAAAGGGTCAAGCAGAAAGTCTGTACTGTCTTTGGAGAAGGCCTTGGAAGTGGGGGGAGGGATAGGGGGGACCAAATAATGAGACACTGTAAGCCAGTGGCATAGCATGGGTTACCAGTGCCCGGGGCCGTGCAGAGGGGGATAGGAGGGAGGGAAACAGATGGAGTACGCATGCACATTCAACTGCAGGAGATAAGAGTTATTCTGTTGTCTGGAGAGGTCACTTCTTGGTTTGCATAGAGAAGCCAGTTTCAGTGGAGCCCAGCGATGGAAGCACACAGCTGTATTGAGGCAGCACTGGGTTTTGAAATGTTGCGCCCCCTAACAATTTTGCGCCCCGGGCGACTGCCACTGTGGCCTCTCCACGCTATGCCACTGGTGTAAGCAGTAGTGTAGTGGCAAATTCAGAAGTGTAGAGTTCCTTCATGATAGTCATAGCCACACCTTTCAAGGGTTATACAACCTCCTAAGATAATTCAATAATCTTATAACTATATAATAAAAATTAGGGATGCATTGCAACAATCAGTGCTGGCCTCTGTGTGTTGCCCTTCAGCTAGATCTACTATTTTCCGTGCACATACATGCATGAATGATTTGGAGTGTTCTGGTATCTTATTTTGGCATGACTCAAGTAGTGTTTTCCTTGAAGTTCCATTGTGTGAAACAGAACTTGCACACCGTTCTTCTGAAACTGAAGCACCTTATGTGTTCCTAAATGCTTTGCTTGGGAGCACACAGAACAACAACTCCTTGGTGTTCTTCCTGTGTGCCTTCTCCAGAGTGACCCTAGGAGCCTATCCTCAGTAGCTTGTTTCCTTTCACTCTGACTGTAATCAGCAAAGGGTGAAAAGACTTCTTCTCAATGGCTCAAAAGCTCAGCACTGTGCTGCTTGGATGGCTCTAGGACACTGGAGACAGGGACCTTACTGCAGAAACAGTAACAGGTATTTGACCCACTGCAACCCTGGACCACTGGATGTCCAACAGAGGTCACCATGTTGGCTGTAGGTGATGCAGAGACCAGTGAAATGGTCTGGCTTGCTTATATCATCCTGCTTTCTCTCTCTTTGCATTCTCTTCTGGCTTTCCAGTGGACTTGGCGGTGGACTGTGCCCACCAGGGTGTCTTTTTCAACCAAGGGCAGTGCTGCACAGCTGCCTCTAGAGTCTTTGTGGAAGAGCAGGTGTACCCAGAATTTGTCAAGCGCAGCGTGGAGTATGCAAAGAAGCGGCTCGTGGGGGACCCATTTGATGCCAAAACTGAACAAGGACCCCAGGTAAACTATTTTTTTAATTAAAAAAATGCCCATCTTTTGCTGCCTCCTTTCCTGAGGTGGAACAGCAAATGGCAAGTATCAGATATTCCGTTTCATCCAATAATTTAGGAAAGGCAGGAGCAACAAATGATGTCAGAGATAACTCAAGTGGAAGTGGTCACTTTCAGCTCTGGGAATTATCCTGAAGGTATCTCGGTTAATTAGATGGCACATTATTAGATGTTAGGATATAATCTATGGTGCTAGTAAATCCTCTGGGGGAGATAAAAGTAAAATAACCCTCTTGATCCCCTTGACCGTGCCCATTGCATAACAAAGGATTATGCTTACGGTAATTATAAGTTCACAAAGATATTTCCCAGCGTGGTTAGAGGTGGTGGTTCGCCCTCCAAGTTTAGTCCAGAAATGGCAACTCCACTTCCCAGTTGAACTGGACTGGCCCTGGCTTTTATGGGTTGTATCCAAAGTAGCACTAACTGAAAGGTAAACGTAAAGGGACCCCTGACAGTTAAGTCCAGTTGCGAACGACTCTGAGGTTGTGGCGCTCATCTCGCTTTACAAGCTGAGAGAGCCGGCGTTTGTCTGCTCCACAGACAGGTTTCCCAGGTCACGTGGCCAGCATGTGCTTCTGGCGCAACGGAACACTGACACCAGAGCAGTGCACGGAAACGCCATTTACCTTCCCGCTGGAGCTGTACTTATTAATCTACTTGCACTTTGACGTGCTTTCGAACTGCTAGGTTGGCAGGAGCTGGGACTGAGCAACACGAACTCACTCTGTCATGGGGACTTGAACTGCCGACCTTTTGATCAGCAAGCCCAAGGCTCAGTGGCAGTATACTTGTTCCACCAGTGGGATGTTTTTACACCAGTGGAAGGCTGATGTGCAAGAGCAGGTTTCTGGTGATGTTGTCGTGCCATAGTCTGTGTTGCACAGCAGATTTTTGTCAAGCCAACTGTTGTGTTGTATTCTTCTGTTGTTGAATATTTAAAGTTGCCCATGGTTTCCAGGAAGCATTGGTGCCTCCAATTGTGGAAGGAAAACATAGCCATCATGGCTAGCATCTGTCAACAGCCCTCTCCTCCACGAATTTGTCTAATCCGCTTTCAAAGCATACAAAAGTGTGTTGATCTGGAGAAAACTGCACTAAAACACTGATGTGTTTTCATAAGGATTTTGTTAATAATTGCAAATTGATGCAGAACTGTGAAGTGAATTTAAGATCAGGAAAAAAATACAAACTGAGAGAACAACAAAAATGACAAATGCGTTGATCTCTGCCCATAACAACTGTGCTGCTTTCCTTTCCCCCCTTTCTGACAGATTGACCAAAAACAGTTTGACAAAATCTTGGAGCTGATAGAAAGTGGCAAGAAAGAAGGAGCCAAGCTGGAGTGTGGTGGTTTAGCCATGGGAGACCGAGGCCTGTTCATAAAGCCAACTGTATTTTCAGAGGTCACAGACAACATGCGCATTGCTAAGGAGGAGGTACAGACATTTTAAAGACTGGACTGTCATGTTATAAATTTGGGGTGTTCATCTAGATGTCACCTTTGGGTTCCCCTCTGAGCCTGTGATTTTATATTTCTAGGGTGGAATTTCTGCACATGTAAAAAGACCATTTTAATTGTTTTTGCTAAAGTGGTCAGCCAGACTCCTTCAGGTTAATTACTCTAGCCAAGAATCTTCAGCTAGTATTTTCTGTGGAACACTTTGACCTAAGCTTAGCATAACAAAGCCTGCTAAATACTGCCCTTGTTAAGTTAAACTTGGGCCAAAGTGTTCCATAGAAACTATTATAGCTGAAGATTCTGGAAGGGATTCTGGACTGAAGGGAAGTGCAGTTTGCTGAGAATTGTTGGGAGACCACATTTATCATGGCAGCTACAATTTCAAGAGTTCCCTTGAAAGACGGATGGACTGTTGAATTGTTGTGTGAATTGTAGGGCCCAGGATTCTTTGGAAGAAGCCATGACTGCTTAAAGTGGCAGGATACTGCTTCAAATGTCTAATGCCCCCTCAAGATGGAGGGGGGAGCTAGGTGGGGCTGTAGAGGACTCCGTCCAATAGAGTTGACATGCCTGTTAAATAGCATAGATGAAAAAACTTTCTGACAGTAAGACCTGTTCAACAGTGGAACAGTCTCCCTTGGGAGGTTGTGGACTCTCCTTCCTTGGAGGTTTTTAAGCAGAGGTTGGGTGGCCATCTGTCATGGATGCTGTAGCTGAGATTCCTGCATTGCAGAGGTTTGGACCAGATGGCTCTCAGGGTCTCTTCCAACTCTATGACTCTATGAAATAGAAGGTTCATTTTCCAGCTTATTTTACTTTATCCTCTTAGGATTTGTATGATATCTAAATGATTGACAATTGATTAGAATCAATATGATTGATTAGAATGGGTAAAGTATTAAATGTAACTGTGTATTACTGTAGTACACTGCATTAAGCACATTCGTGTATTGATATTAAGACCATTACATAAAAATACGAAAAAGGAAATGGTTTTTGGAGGGGAGGAACCAAATTGCGGATGTTTTTAGTCTGAGCCAAAGAAGGGGCCTTCCTGTTGTCCCATTTCTCCCACTGCCACATTTGTGACTTCTGCTGTTTCTTTGGCTTGTGTCTCGCCTTATTTGTATCACTTCTCATTTTGAGTTCTGTAATATCAAACGAACGAGCCACCGTAAGAAGGAATAGGGATGTGGCGACCTGTCAAAGAGTTACGGCTGTTGTAAAATTGCGGCATTTCACATGCTCCGTATCCCAAAAGGCACTAATGTCAAAGTAATCAGCAACTTTCATTTCAAAGGCAAGTGATTGATTCAACTAAACTCATTCATCAGTTGATGGCCCTGATTCTATAATGTGTTTGCAGATTTTCGGACCTGTGCAGCCGATAATGAAGTTCAAAAACATAGAAGAAGTGATAGAAAGAGCCAACAGCACAGAATATGGGCTTACAGCTGCTGTGTTTACAAAGAATTTGGATAGAGCCCTAACGCTGGCATCGGCACTGCAGTCTGGGACAGTCTGGTGAGATTTTTTTTTAAAACAAAAATTGCTCAATATTTAAGGTGGGCAAATCACTGCGCTGACCTTTATGCCACCTTGCCCCTCTTCCTCTCAGTTATAGACAGTGACCTCTATGTTGCTATGGGCAAAGAGGATTGTGGGTCACTCATAGCTCAGTTGGTTAGAGCATGGTGCTGATAATGCCAAGGTTGCAGGTTCGACCTCCATATGGGACAATTGCATATTCCTGCATTGCAGGGGGACTGGATTAGATGATCCTCAACAACCCTTCCAGCTCTCTAATTCTATGAAATGCCTCACAGGGGTCTGCACTCACTGAGCTGATGTATAAGCACTTGGAGAATCAGAAATGTAATGTATGTTGCTAAGATCTTTGCTTCTTAACGGCGCTGGCTTTCTTCCCCTTCAATAGGATCAACTGCTACAATTCCCTTTTTGCACAAGCTCCCTTTGGCGGCTTTAAAATGTCAGGAAATGGGAGAGAATTGTAAGTAGTTTTGTTTCATATTTTTTTTAAAGGGGCCTTTTCATTTATTCATTTCTGAAGCCAGCTTGGGGGAAGCCTTAACTGTTGAAGAGCTATCCTTTAAAAAAAAAAATATTCATTTTTCTTTTTCATTCATTACATACCTCTCAATTTCTTAATATTTATTATATTGTTATGTACTGAGTTGAATAGGATCCAAAAGGCAGCAGTCTGATTGGTCCTAGAACAATAGGATTCAGCCGAGTATATTTCATATATATTCCTCCCTCCCTCCCCTCCAGGGCTTCCCCCAACTTCCACTTCTTGTTTGTTTCTCTTTTCACCCACTTTGCTATCTCCTAACAGAAAAAAGTTATTCATAACATAACATCAAGCTTAAAAACATAAAAATAAAAGTAAATACACTATAATATTTCATTATTTTCTAAACATTTTCTAATACTAATAATGTGAATGTTTATTTAAATAACTGTTGAAGAGCTATCCTAATTCTTTAAATGTATAGCATGGTGCATGTGTCATGTGGAAACACATATACTGAAACTTCAAAGATATATCTCTCTCTCTTCTTGCAGAGGTGAATACGCTCTGACTGAATACACAGAGGTGAAAACGGTCACCATTAAACTGTCGCAGAAGACTCACTGAGTGAGGAATGCCACGAGACCTAAAACTCTGACACTCTGAATGTTAATGTATAGTGGGGGGGGGTTTGCTTAAATCTCGCCGGGGGGAGGAAAGTAGCTCAACTCTTTTAAAAGCAAACCATCTATATAACATGTTCGGGTTCTTTAAAATTCCAACCACTTTGTTTAGACATTTGTTTCAGGCCAAAACGGAGGCTCTTAAAAACTGCTTCCTGAAGAGTCACAAAATAATGAATGTTGATAGGCTTGAGCCATGCGCTGCAGCCAGCCCTGCTCTACTGGCACCACATGCGCTTCAGTAGCAACTAGAGACGCAACAAAAGGCCTTGCAGTCAGAAGCAATCCCTTCAAATCACACACAGCACTTTGTCCAAATTCTGCATCTTTGACATGTGCTCGGGGGCGGCTGTGGTTGTGTGCATGGGATGTGCGTGTTAGTTGATTCACCAGCATGGCTCCTCATAGGACCCTCGCTTCTGATTGTTGTTGTTGTTGCTGTTGTTGTAAGAAAATGGATATAGGGCACACAGGACACACTTATATGCCCAAGGAACTCGCAGCTTACAGTGATTTCGCTTACGCGATTGCAACTTTATGCAGCTGGCGGGAAAATAAACAAATGGATAGCCCCGAAAAGTGCTTTATATAAGCCACTCTGCCTTGCTTCCCAGCCTCTGGGAAGGTTGTGTGAGAGAGCTCTGGGATGCTCCGAACAGGGATGGTTCCACCGGGGAGCAGGTCCAAGGGGGTTCCTGACATTATGCAATTATGTGGGGAGCTCCAGAACCGAACCCTCACGCAATCTGCAAATTACCTATGCACCCTGTTCCCTAGCACAGCACCTACAGAGTCACAGATCCCTGATGTTTAATGCTGCATATAAAACAATGGGGCAAGAAAGTTTTCAGAACAAGGTGCTGAGGGCAAGGAATAAAAAGATTGGGCCGCCCCCACAGTGCCTCTGCCCCAGGAACCTGCGGCCTTGGACCCCACACTGTATATTTCCCTCATCACTTGTGGGAAAAGTCAGCTCAGAATTTCCTCCTCAGGAGATGGGGCTGGTTTTTTGTGGGTCCTTCCTCAGGCTGTTTGAGAAGAGTTTGAGGATATAATAGCCAGGCTTCAGCTGAAGTTTCAGCCTACGTGACAAGTCCATAATTTCTGACCCGCTCATTTTGATGGACCACGTGCCTAAAGTGTGCATAAAATTAGAGGCCTTATTTGCATTTTTTACAGAGCTTCTGTAGTCAGGTCATTTTTTATTTTTTAAAAAACCCTCTCCTTCCCCTCTGCTAACCCTGTGCACTGTATTGTGTGTGTGTTTGTGTGGAGCAAATGAGTGCAGATTCTGAATTTTGCAGCTCCTCAATGTTGGGATAACTGCTTCATTACAAGCAAACTAAGGCTGCTGCCCTTGTCCAGTTCTCTAATTTTTGCAAGGGGTTGCACAAGAGAATATACCACTGGATCCAGTGATCTTCTAGGCGGAATGGAGCATTGCCCCCCCCCAAATCTGCAAACAGACTCTACCTGCTTGTCGTCTTACTGACAAGCAGCCCAAGGGGGAGAGATGTAAAACTGGCTATCAACTTCCTCCTCCTCCTCTGTCTCAATGTTGCCCCCTTGTGGAACTTGGCAAGGGTGAGGATGTTGACAAAATTAGACTCCCTTGGCTCTGGCTCCCCCTACTGTTGGGCTCCTTGTCTTCTGTCCTACCAGCCCCCACTACTGACTGGATCAAGTAAAACTGGTGTGGAACCTTTGGCTTGCAGACCTCCTCCTTTGACTCATGAGATCCTTTTGGCCAAGCCACGCCTACTTGCACTGCATCAGAGGCGGTACATGACATCAGGTGTGGACTAGATAAAGATTTGGCTCTGGTATTTGGTAATCGCAGAGTGCGGGCTGCTTGTCAGGGGTTGTAGGGTGCTTTGCAAGGGGCATCCCAAGACCCTGAGAATCAGCTGGTTGTGAAAGGAAAAGAGAGGCAAACAGTAAAACAAGGCTACATGGGGAGAATTTTGATTCAGTTTTTCGTTTAAAGATGAAGGTCCTGATTTGCACTTTCTGGAACCATACAAGAGCCGAAACAGGCCTCCTTTGAAATTTGCCAGTTCTCCAAGTTTTGTGATGCAGTTCTCAAGCAAAGGAATGTTTACAAAAATGCATCTGTTTGTGAAAATAGAGTATGAAAATGTATTATGTTAAGGGGGATTGCTTGCAAAAATGTGTGCGTTAGTCAAAGTTGCAAAATGTATTTTATTTTGGAGAAAGCTGCATAAAAATGCCGAAGCTGATGAATTTTAATGAGGATTAAGGCGAAAACAACCCACCACAAATTACTGCAGAAAAGTGGAGAACTGAACTGGAAATTTGGAAAATGAGAAATAGAACAGTCAGTCCCTTACTTCAGCAATTATTAGTTGACCTGTCTGCTTCTTCTGAGTTTAAATCACTACAATCATCATGCCATTTGAGATTCTATTTTCTAGTGGCTGAGAATATATAATATATATTCATTCCAGATCAAGTTTTTTGTCTTGTAACTACTTACTGTAACAGGGTTTCAAAAAGAAATTGTATACACTGAATTTTTCTACATTGGATTATTAAAAGCATCATTAGGCACTAATTGTAAAGTACAATCCAGTAGAGCCTTTATATTCTTTCATTGCATGTTAGTGCTTTTTTTGTATGAAATATTACTTTAAATGTTTAAATATATAAATATATATATTTATAAATTAGAATGCAATTAATCTAATGTATTTTTAATTACCATTTGTACATGGAAATGCCTTTTTTTTAAAAAAAAAGGGGGGTTCTCTCTCTTGTAATATTAGCTCTATAATTAAAATGTTATAATTTTGTGATATGGCTCAGAGTTATCTGTATGAGAGATGATTTCCATAATGTTGAAACAGTTGAGCAAAATTTAGATTCTGGTGCCGGGTAAGGATGCCTGAACAATTTGATCTTTTCAAACTGATCTGCTCCTCATAAGAACATAAACTTAAAACTTGTTCTCAACCAAAGGGAAAACAAAACAGTGGTTTAGGACACTTCATGGGAAAAGTATGGATTGGGAATGCTTCGTGTAAAACCTGATTTTGAGGCATTTCAATTGAAGCAGCTCTTAAAGCTGGTCTGAAATTCATTGAGATACCTTGGGAGCAGGAATTAAAAACTGGGAAACCTGTTATATTGGGGTTCAGGATGAGAAACTATGGAAAGCATGGCTGGCATGTATTGTAGACCACCCAGGGTTTTGCTACAGCACCAAGAATAGGCAATACAAAACAATGGGCAAGAGCACAAATAGTCAGGGTGTGGGGACATCCTCCCAAGGGGGTGCCCAATTACTGAGGAAAGTTTAAAGAAACAACCTAAGGTTTAAACTAACTGGTTCCAAATATGACAAATTTGTTTGCTTGCTCATAACAAAAAAGGGCTCCGATCCTCTTGTTGGAAGCTTTAGGAATTAGATCTAAGATGGAGATAAAAGGCAAAGCTTCTCTACTTTGTAGGTCCCACTTGGAGCTACAAATGGGCAACAGACAGCAGTTGACCTCTCCAGACGACGGAACTCTAGATTGTAGAGTGGGAAGGGACCACAAGGGTCATCTACTCCAACCCCCTGCAATGCAGGTATCTTTTCCCCAATGTGGGGCTCAAACCCATGAGATTATTCACAGGGTTGTAGGGAAGTGAAGCACCGCCAGCTACTTATTGACCATTTGTCCCAATTTTCTTTGCGGGGAAGTTAGACAAATGCAAATGTTATCCCCCATTTTCCAGCATGTCTGCCTGGAGGTCTGTTTGTAAACAAAACAATCTAGCATTGTATCAATCTTATGAAATTTAAGAACAAATTCCTCCCCACTTTCCTTATTACAACAGACAGGGGGTGGCTTTGTAGTGCAAGGACCCCTGAACATCGTTCAGTGCACAACCAGCATTTATTTGAGCGGCATCCAAAACCGGCAACCGTCTGGAAGGGATCTACACACATATAAAAAAGAAAAGCGGTGAAAATGCTTTAAAAAAACAGAAACACACGTTTTGAAAAATACATTGAATTTGGCATAGCTCACTGTCGCCATCTAGCGTCAGATTTGCAGTATTGCACTTCGCAAAACATTTGAAAACATTTCGTTTGCAGCTGTGTAGCTGAGGAAAACGGGGAGATATCAGAGTGCTTGGAAAGCCCCCCGTCCCCGCCCTTTTGCAGAAAAGTACCCGCCCCTTAAAAGGGCCTTTGGGGGCACAAATACAGCGAGGACTGTGAGCAGATTCGGAACTAGCCGCTGAAACCCCGCAGGCAGCTGTTCCAACAGCCTCGCCCTGCAGGATCGGGCTGCGCTTTCGCTTCCTCTAGAGCGCGCTCTGGGCGCCGCTCCTCCCCGCTGCCTGGCGCGCCGCCGCAGGAGCCTCGGAGAGAGCAAAGACCCGCCTCGCCGCCTCCCTGCCCTGCCCACGCCCAGCGCCGATCGAGGAAGTTGCGACCGCCGCTAAGTCCGGAGCCTGGAGAAGGAGGAACCCCCTACCCTCGCCGGTTAGCAGCAGATGCGCTTTTACGCGTGCGAGGAGAAGAGCAGGGGGCTGCTTTCCCCAGGATAGCAGGTACGGACGCTCAGCGCCTCAAGTCCTCTCTCCACCCACCCACCCTTTTTTAATTTTTAGGTTGTTCCATCCTACCTCGTCGCCCTCCTCTCATTCAAGCAGAGCTGCACCGTGCAAAAAACCCAAAACTACCAAAAGAGGGGCGATGGAAGAGTCATTAAGAATGCGCTGCAAAGTTCATGGCAACTCCCTTTGCTCCCAGCAAAGCGTGCCTGGCGTTGCTGCTTTATTATGGAGGGACGCTGCTTATTTATTTATTTATTTGCTTGCTTGCTTGCAAGGGGTTCCAGGGTAGGATTATGGTTTTTTGCATGGGCGGGATGTTTTTTCGCTTAAAGGAGGGAGGAGGACGTGGGGAGAGTTGCTGGAATGGGGGGACAGATTGCGCCCAGACCCGCAGCGCGCGTGTTGCTGGCTGCTGTTGCTTTCTCGTAAAATAATATTTTGCTCCGGCAAGGATCGGGTTTCCTTTGGCCGTTCTTCCACCTCGGTTTCTGTAACTTCGTTGTCTCCGCCCCCTCTCTCCGCTTTATTTCTTTTTCCACTTTTCCATCCAAGTTGGCTAGACGGGCGAGCTGTGTGCAACTTCTTGGAAAGTTAGGATGCTCTCCTTCTCCTCCCGCCCGCGCCCCACCCCCGCAACCAATCTGCACCCGCGGTGGCTTTGGATTCACACAGATAAGAGGGGAGAAAATTCCCCACCCTACCCCAAATCGCTTAGGTTTATGCCAGGGAAAGGTTTCATTTGCGTTTGTTCACGTCAGTCTCCCTGGACAAGTTCACGCAGGGAGAAGGCTATCAAGGCTACTAGCCATGATGACAGTGTGATGGTGAACTGGAAAGTGCAGAACAGGAGAGAGATGAATTGGGGCATCTGGTTGGCCGCTGTGAGAATAGGATCCTGGACTTCTAAGATGGGCTATTGGCCTGATCTGGAAGGCTTTTCTTAAGTTCTTAAGCTACTGTTAAAGGAACAGATAAGGGTGGATGGGGATTTCCAAGCTTCCCAGAAATGCCTTGGGAGTAAAGGTAAGGTATCTTTGCAGTGGGGGTATTGATAAGTGCTGCATGTACAAGGTACGCTTTGTGTCTGTCAGCTTAGACCAGGGGTCAGCAAACTTTTTCAGCAGGGGGCCGATCCACTGTCCCTCAGACCTTATGGGGGGCCGGACTATATTTTGAAAAAAATAAATAAACAAACAAATTCCTATGCCCCACAAATAACCCAGAGATGCATTTTTAATAAAGGGACACATTCTACTCATGTAAAAACATGCTGATTCCCAGATCGTCCGTGGGCCGGACTTAGAAGGCGATTGGGCCGGATCCAGCCCCCGAGCCTTAGTTTGCCTACCCATGGCTTAGACTGTCAACAGCTTCCAAATTTTATTTGCATGCCTCAATTTCATGTGCTGGATTTTGCCAGTGGCTGTTTCTTCATCTGTTTCGTGGCAAGTACTTTTATCCCAATCTTCAGTTGGGGGTGGGGGGACCCCAAAGTGGCTCTCAAATTCAAGCATAAGATTGTGCTGTCATGTTGACATCCTAAAAGGAAAGGCATAAAAGGAAAAGGGATTTGGAGGGAGGACGAAGAAAACAAACTCAGGCACTCAGTTGCATTTTGCGTTGGCTTGTTTTTGTAGTTTTAAAATGATCGTTTTCAGAGGCTGCTGCTACTGCTGTTTTGCTGGTGTGGAAGTGAGTGGGTTTACTCAACAGGTTTGGCCAGAAGTATTTTTTTAATGCCTAAAACCTGCCTTGTGCAACCTGATCAAACTATGGATATTTGCTCAAGAATAGCACTGCTGTGTTCAAGGGGGTTTACTCCCTGGTAAGTAAGTGTGCATTGGATCAAGGCCTTTTAAATAACGGATAAGCCACATAAGAAAAATGTAACAGTAAATGAGCCACAATAAGTTTTGTAGATACATTAAAACAAAAATAACATGTAACATTGTATTACATTATCATGCTGGTGGTTTTCAGTTGTCCTCTTTTTTCTGGGTATGTATCCAGTGAAGAATAAAAGAATCAAAAAGTTTCCCACTGACTTGAGACAGCCAAATAGTATACATTGCAAGCTTCTTCCTGGCATCATGGATTTTTTTGTGTGCTGGGATTTGGCAGCGGAGATGGGCAAATAGGTCAATTTCAGTTCCTCTGATTTTCTCATTTTCCCAATCTTAAATTCGCTTCTCTGCAAATTCACATCAGTTCACACTAAAATGCTGGTGAATTTTCATGGGACTGTTTTGTGTTTTTTTAAAGCAAATTCATCAGCATTTTTGTGTGAAGTTCTCCAAATAAATAATAAGCACACTTTTGCAGAGCAATGTTCCGTAATAGAATTCTTTGGTATGTTTCCCCACCTACAAATATATGCCTTTGTATGCACACTTTACATTTTTGTAGGTGCATTTTTGTACTTGGCTGGAGAGCTGCATTGCAAAATTAAGAGAAGCATGAATTTCAAAGGATGGTCGTGTTTTGGTTCTCCTACTGTTTTGGAAAGTGCAAATAATAATAATAATAATAATAATATAATTTTTTATGTGTATCCTGCCCTTCCCAGCCGAGGCCGGGCTCAGAGCGGCTAAACATCATAAAAACAACACAGTATGCATTAAAACAGACATCCGTTAATTAAAATACATCTTAAAATTAATTCAGGCAAGTTAAAATCTGGGCAGGTGATAATTATCAGGTTGGACTTGACAGTGGTTAATACCTGCCAGGACCAACTGTTTCCACTGATCATACAAGGACCTGTGAGCGGGTTGGGGGCCTCCTTTGGGCTTGTTTTATACAAAGGAAAGTACCGGTAAGTCAAACTGCATCCTGCCCAAAGGCCTGGCAGAACAGCTCCGTCTTGCAGGCCCTGTGGAAATATGTCAAATCCCGCAGGGCCCTGGTCTCTTGCGGGAGAGCATTCCACCAGGCTGGGGCCACGGCTGAAAAGGCCCTGGCTCTAGTCAAGGCCAGTCTAATTTCCCTGGGCCCCGGGAATCATGGTCTTCCTTTACATAAGACCACAGGAAGAGCTGTGCTGGATCAGGCCAGAGCCCATCTGGTTCAGCGTCTTGTTCTCGCAGAAGCCAACTAGATGCCTGTAGGGAGCATGCAAGCAAGCTTTTAAATTCAAAGTGTTGGTGTTGACCTTTAAAGCCCTAAACGGCCTCGGCCCAGTATACCTGAAGCAGCATCTCCACCCCCATCATTCTGCCCGGACGCTGAGGTCCAGCGCCGAGGGCCTTCTGGCGGCTCCCTCATTGCGAGAAGCAAAGCTACAGGGAACCAGGCAGAGGGCCTTCTCGGTAGTGGCGCCCTCCCTGTGATGTCAAAGAGATAAACAACTACCTGACATTCAGAAGACATCTTAAGGCAGCCCTGTTCAGGGAAGTGTTTAATGTGTGACATCTTAGTGTATTTTGGGTCTTTGTGGAAGCCGCCCAGAGTGGCTGGGGAAACCCAGCCAGATAGGCGGGGTACACATAAATTATTATTATTATTATTATTATTATTATTATTATTATCATTATCATTATTATTATTTCTAATGGAATCCAATGTCTCTCCCATCCTTAGACCTACTATGGTGTGTATTTTTAATCTCTTCAAACATGTGGTTCCTCATCCCTGCACCGTAGTCTAAAACAGTCCTGTTCAGGAAGTGGTATATTTGCATTTTTGAAGAACTAATGCTAGGTCAAAGCACTCAACCTAGGCTTTTTAAAAAGTATTTCTTGGGGGGTGGGGTAGAAATGTCCCAGAAAATCGGATCTATCTTTGAAGGAGTCAGAAAGTGTGTGACTTTGGAGTGGGTTTACTTCTAAAAAATAATTTCTCCCCCTGCCCTTTTTCTTCAAGTGGGTGGAGATTTTCTGCTGCTTCAAACAGTGGTTCCATTGATCTTGGCAGCCCAGTGACATCCCCCTATTAATCCGGACAACACCCCCCACAAAACCAACCCAATGAGGACAGAGCTTCCTGAGTGTCACTTAGAGTAAAATGGAAAATGTGCACACGGAATGGAGTATTTTGGAGACGGTACGTCCAGCTGACCGCTGGCGCCCCGAAAAGGAAAAGTCCTGCTATAAGACCAGGATACACTGCAACATTTTGTTGCAGTTCCCACTTGTCCTTTCTAACTTTGATGTGGACTGCTGTGGAAGTCAGTCTTGTGGCTATTGAAAAGAACAAGCGCTTTTACTTTCTGGATCATGGAAGCTACAATACTTCTTCTAAAATGGAAATGGCTGTTATTATTTTGTAGCAACTCCTTGTTTTTGCTTTCCCCCAAATGAAAAAAAACAAACAAACCCCATGCCAAGGGTTTTAAGTTAAGCCATAGGTGGAGCTTGCGATTGTGAGAGGCGGAAGGAATGTTTGAAAAATGTTTGCCAACTGTGAGGCTTTTAGTACCAGGCTGAATCTCCTATTTATTGCAAAATGGGACTGACCTTAAGGTTATTGGTGCCTACTCTTCTTATACTCTTTATATTACGTAGGATAATGAGCTGATTATGTCTGTTACCTGTTTTTCTATTTACAGGTAGGTAGCCGTGTTGGTCTGCCATAGTCGAAACAAAATAAAAAAATTCCTTCCCATAGCACCTTAGAGACCAACTAAGTCTACTACCAGACTTTCAGAAGACATCTGAAGGCAGCCCTGTTTAGGGAAGCTTTTAATGTTTGATGTATCACAGTATTTTAATATTCTTTTGGAAGCCGCCCAGAGTGGCTGGGGAAGCCCAGCCAGATGGGTGGGGTATAAATAATAAATTATTATTATTATTATTATTATTATTATTATTATTAAGTTAGTTATTGTTATGAGCTTTCGTGTGTGAAGCAGTGTGCATGCACACAAAAGCTCATACCAATAACTAACTTAGTTGGACTCTAAGGTGCTACTGGAAGGAATTTTTTTATTCTGTTTTTCTATGTTTACTGTACATTCATTTCCAGTAAAAGAGCAGTTTTCCCAAACTTGTTATAACCTACCAAGGCTAAGCTATGTAATCATTGTATCAGGAGGAGTCATAGCATTGTAGAGTCAGAAGAGGCCCCTGAGGGTTTTCTAGTCCAGCCTCCTGCATTGCAAGAACTTGGTTTGAAACTCACTGTGCAGCAATTCAGCAAGGCTTTTGCTCTCAGCTTTGGCCGTCTGTCTGAAGTTTGGGGAATGCTAAAACTGGCCTGCCATCCAGGGCCAGTGTAAGGATTGTTGTTGGCGTTCGCATGCATCTGTCTTGGAGTGTGCCTCTGGGGGTGAAGTCAAACTGCTGTGTTAACAGCACCAAAATGACATCCCCGGGGCACAAGCTTGGGCAGTGTATATGGAGGTCCTGGGCTGCCCACATGACAAGACTCCCCTCCCTCCTCACCCTCCCTGATGTGGTCCAAAGGAAAGCAGAGCAATATGCTGGACACCAGCACGGCTGCAGGAGTTGCCGGAAGGAGCCATACAAGGCGCCATCCATCCGTCTTAGCGACTCCGCTCTGGATTTGTGTTTACTCCTTAACCTTCTCTTCTCCCAAAGATATCCCTCAAGGCAGTGGAGGTTTAGGATCAGAGTTTTCCTTCTCTTAGATCAGCCTTTCTCAACCTGTTGGTGCCCAGAAGTTGTTGAACTACAACTCCCATCATCCCTAGCTAGCAAACCAGAGCTCAGGGATGATGGGAGTTGTAGTCCAACAACATCTGGGGACCCACAGGTTGAGAACCGCTGTCCTAGATGGACTACCTTCCCAGGCTGACAAGCCCCACCTGCCCCTTACTTCTCTCTATACCACATGCAGAAACCGCTTTCTTGACCGTTGGTCTCGTCCGCTCAATTCTCCAGAGTCTGTCTTCGCAGGCAGGGGAAGTCTCTAACTCATCAAGGGTTTGAGATCCATCAGCTACCCTCACCTGGTTTAGCACTAATATTATCACCATTATTATTTGTTAGACTTGTTTGCATCCCAGAAAGGTCACTTCAGTGTTGGGAGCCCTTGGCCCTCAATATGTTACTGAACTACATCTCCCATCATCCCTGGCCACTGGCCTTGCTTGCTGGGGCTGATGGGAGTTGTAGTTCAGCAACATCTGGAAGGCCACAGGCTCTCATCTCCTGAACTATATATGCTAAATTTTGTTAGATCCAGAAGTAACAGGCATTTTAAGCTCAACCTGAAGCAAGAGAATTAAAAGCAAGAGAACAAGTTATCGGGTAATTGGACTCTCTTGCCTGTGATTATGGATGAATTACCTTGTAGTGGGATTAGGGTTGGCAGTTTCCCCCTTCCCCTGTGCCTTCAGGAATAGTTTTGACATGTATTAATTAAGCACCTGAAGGCCCCTCCCACTTCCCGCAAAGAAAATCACTTTATCTCCTTGTTAGTAGGGATGAGGGTGAAAGTTGTTCAATTTGCATTTTAATATGAACCCACCGGTTTTGCACTTCCTGCAGCAATGCATGAACTGAAACACAGCTTTCCTTTGAAGTTCACACTTCTCCAAATTTTGTGATGCAGTTCTTCAACCCACACATGTGCGCGAAAATGTATATGTTATTCAATCTAATGTACAAAATTCATTCTTATCAGGGGGAAATTGTTTGGGGAAATGCATACACACACACACACACACACACACACACACACACACAGAGTGGTACCTCTGGTACAGTGGTCGTGAACGGGATCCGTTCCGGAGGCCCGTTTGCAACATGAAAAGCCCGCAACCTGAAGCGCTGTATCTGCACAGGTGTGCAGCGCGATTTGGCGCTTGTGCGCATGCGCAAAGCTTAATTTAGCGCTTCTGTGCATGCGCGAGCGGCGAAACCCAGAAGTAATCCTTTCCGGTACTTCCGGATTGCCGGGGGAAGCAAACTGAAAAAAAAGTAACATGAAACAAATGTAACATGAGGTATCACTGTGTGTGTTTGTGTCTGTGTGTGTGTGTGTGTATATATATATATATATGTGTGTGTGTGTGTGTGTGTGTGCGCGCGCAAGGTTGTCAACACATTGCAGTTTGTGTGACTGCCAGTAGATGGCCATGCCAACTTTAGCACAATGACAGAACAACAGACAGGTAGGTAAGTGAGCAGGTAGCCTACTGCAGACAAGGCAACGTTTACATTTGTTGCTCCACCCACTTTTGCTTCTGGCCCCACCCACTACTGACATGTGGCTGCCTGAAGGCTACGCAGAGGGGAAGGAGCCAGAAATTCAACAGGTGCAGTATTTTCTTGCACGGAGATGCAATGATGGGGGGTGGATGTGCATGGATTTCTGCTGAATGTGTGGCTGTTTTCAAAACCAAAAACACAGGTGCCCCCTTAGATTAAAGGGGGCGACCTTGTCTTTCACCCCCACCTCTTTTTGCACCCCCCAAGGAATGGTAGCAAATTGAAGCTGCCCTTTGCCCACACAAACTGGATTTCCCCACTTCCCCTCTCTGCCATCTGTCTTGCTACTTCCTGCTACGCTTTTCAGCTGGGCTTGTGGTTGCCGTGGAAGAGCCAGACAGATGCAGGTTGCAGTTTGCTCCAGCACCTCGGTGATCGTCCTTTGACCTCTGCACAGCTTCTTTTCTGTCTTTTCTCCTGCTTCCCAGAATATGTGATGTGAACTTTAGCAGTGCAAATGCTGAAATATGGAGGAGAGCTATACAGTCGTACCTCGGAAATCGAACAGAATCCGTTCTGGAAGTCCGTTCAACTTCTGAAACATTCAGTTTCCAAAGCGTGGCTTCTGACTGACTGCAGGAAGCTCCTTCAGCCAATCGGAAGCCCTGTCGAACATTCAGCTTCCAAAAGAATGTTTGAAAACTGGAACAATCACTTCCGGTTTTCGATCATTTGGGAGCCAGAATGTTCGATTCCCAAGGCATTCGGGAGCCGAGGTATGACTGTAGCTTAGTTGCAGTGCTGCTGCTTTACATACCAGAGGTCCCAGGTTCAATCCCCAATTTCTCCAGGTAGAACTGGGAGCGCCCCCTGCCTGAAACACTGGAGAGCAGCTGCCAGTCAGTGCAGACAATACTGAACTAGATGGGCTAACAATCTGAACAATAGGCAGCCTTGTACTAGATCAGACCATTGAGCCATCCAGCCCAGTACCCCCTACAGTGTCTGGCAGTGTTTCTCCAGGGTTTCAGAATGGTGTCGCTGTATAAGGCAGATTTGTCGGTTCCCACTATGGCTTTGGGTGACCCAGTTTCACACCTGCACACTCCCCATTGGATGCCTGCAACATCAGGTGACAACTTGCCTATGCACCCAGCTAAAGAGATCTTAGTTGGTTTTCTGTGAATATGAGGAGACACGGTACAGTAGTTCTAAATAAAGAAAGTGTCTGTTTTTTATATGCTGCACACTGTGCCGGAGCAGATAGGGTCTTAAAAAAGAATTTCCAGAGAGGGAGCCATGTGAGTCTGCTTGTCACATTAGTAAAACACATTTTATTATGGCATGATACGTATTTGTAAGAGGGACGTGGGTGGCGCTGTGGGTTAAACCACACAGCCTAGGGCTTGCCGATCAGAAGGTCAGCGGTTCAAATCCCCGTGATGGGGTGAGCTCCCATTGCTTGGTCCCTGCTCCTGCCAACCTAGCAGTTCAAAAGCACGTCAAAGTGCAAGTAGATAAATAGGTACCGCTCCGGTGGGAAGATAAACGGCGTTTCCGTGCACTGCTCTAGTTCGCCACAAGCGGCTTAGTCATGCTGGCCACATGACCCAGAAGCTGTATGCCGGCTCCCTCGGCCAATAAAGTGAGATGAGCACTGCAACCCCAGAGTCGGCCACGACTGGACCTAGTGGTCAGGGGTCCCTTTACCTTTACCTTGAAGTATTTGTGAGCTACGGCCTACTTCACTAGATTCACAGAGTGTCACTCTCAGTTGTCAGGTGTATACACACATGTAAAGAGCTGTGCCCTTCTTGCTCTGCTCACTAAGCCCCCCCTGCAATTCCCCACCCCCACAATTACCCTCCAGAGCTTCTCCTTCCCACCCCATGCAACTACTAAGCTCACTTTCCCCTTTTTCCAGTCCACTTCCTCATGGAAATCCAGGATTGTGATGCTGTGGCACTACAGATGAGGGCTGTGTGATGACAGCCTTACGTTTTTATGTATATAGGAAGATAAAGGGGGAGGGGAGGAAATGCAAAGGCCGGAGTTGAATGGCAATAGAATGCAAAAATACAGTCTGTGACAATTAGGTTCAGTCAGGGGTAGCCAATGGGGTTGCTGGAGTCCCATTGGTTCCAACTGGCCAGGGTTGATGAGTGTTGAGGTCCATCAGAGTCTGGAAGGTGCCACATTGGCTGCAAATGGATGCAAAATGACCACAGCAGCAGTAACTTTTCTTTAAAAAAAGAAAGTTTATTGAGCAACAAAAACAGACAATACACACAAAGAGAAAAACAAGCATATGAACAACAAAACAATATAGTTCAACATAAGGAGCTTTCAATAAGAAAGTCAAAATAAAGAATCAGGAGTGAGTGAAATAGATACAATTATAAAATTATAATGACGTATAAAAACACCACTTACATTCTTCAGCAGAAATAGGAATAAATGAAAAGGGATTGCCTGTATTTATAGACGCTACAAAATAAAATCACATCTCAAAGGCAGCCCAGGTGACAACAGCAGTAACTGGTGATACTGTAAACATAGAATTGTAGTGTTAGAAGGAACCCTGGGGATCATCTGGTCCAACCCTCTGCAATGCAGGAATATGCAGTTGTCGCATATGGGGATCGAACCTGCAACCTTGGCATTATCAGTACCACGCTCTATCCAAGTGAGCTATCTATCTTGGCATCTGAGTAAAGTATAAGTGTAGCAAAATGAGCACAATGGTCCTTCACACTATTTGTGATTGGTGATATCACCCGTTGGCAGTGGTGAGTATATTAACATCTGCCATAGAACAGTAAACCATTGCCTCTGTTCACACCCAGATGAATAGAGTTGAACTTTTTGATAAGCTACAATTTATGAGCTTTATCTGGAGCGTCTTTGTTCTTTTGTCCTTAAGATAACAGGAAGGAACGGCTGTCTTAAAGTGATCTTTGCCCTCTGTGGGTTTTTTTTTTAAAGTCAATATTAAATACAGCTTTAACATGTTCTGGCCAATTAACTGGGGCACCTTTTTTCATTGTACAGCATGCTTTTTAATTGATCAAATGTCACAACCCTGATTCTAAATGGACTCCTAAATTCCTCCTCCATCTCTAAATAGGGAATTACTAGGTAAGGCTTTCCCTTCCGAACACATTATCTGCAAAACTTTATTCCAGCATTGGGAAAGAAGCTTCATTTACTGTAGCCAGAGATTCTAACCTCCAGTTACCCTTCCATTTGCTTCCTCATAGCTCATTTTTGCTTCTTTCTTTGGGTTATTTAAAGCCTGCCCAGTCTCAAAGTTCTTTCCCATCCTTTCAATACATATAGGCAGTGCTTTTTTGGGGGGAGGGATGCAGGGCTACGCATACCCCTAAACATTTTGTGAATCTAAGTTTGGCCTCATTGAGGGGCAGTATTTCAATATGAGTAGGAAGATGAGAGTACCACTAAACAGTCTTTTTATAGAAAAAAAGCACTGCATATATGCACCATAAAAATAGAATAAAAATTAGACAAGAATGTAGAGCGTGAAACTCCAGAGAACCTGTTGCTGCAATGTATTAAAGCTTCTGCGTAAGGAAGTTATTTATAACTGTTTTTAAGTGATGTACGGAACAAAGAATCCTGAGGGATAGGAGAAAACGTGGTGTTTTTAATTCCTGACCCGCTGGAAGGATTAATTTAGATTTTTTTTCCTTTTTAAAGAAAAACAACTCTCTTCCAAGCTACATAACGAGGATTTCCCAAGTCTCCAAGCTGGACACTCGCCTTTGAGTTTCGACAACTTCATTTTTGGATATTAAATGTATCAGGAAGTAGATTTCTCGAAACGCCCGAGCAGCAGCCCAGAATGTACTGGTGCGTGGGAACAGAGGACTCTGAGGACGACAGCAAGAGAGACATGGCGGCACAAGACGGTAAATGAAACACCTTTCTTGCCTAAGGCAAATTCTGACAATTCCATGCAGCTGTATGTAAATATGTATATACTAGGGTCTTTGAAATACCAAGCCCTCATAACTCACAAACAGGATGAGATTAAAAAAACAAAGCAATTTAAACTTAGCTTGTATCATTCAACAAGTATACAAAATATTAAGAAAATTGGATGATGGGAAATGATCCATAATGAATTGAAAAAAATGTTTAGAAGTACTTTCCCCCCAAAAAACCCCCAGAGTCCTTTCTGTTGGGGATAATTCAGATTGAAATTCCCAGGTGTCAAAAAAGGTTATTTATGTATGCTACTACTGCTGCCCATGTTTGGTTAGCCCCAAAATGGAAAACGAATAAGAATAAGAGAACAAGAAGAACATACATTTTAAAAAGATTGGAAAAGTTTATTGAATATATGGGAAATAATTGTGTACAGCTGAAAACGCTGGCAGCATTAAGATATATTCAACAGTGTAAGTAAGTTTTGATGGATGCAATAATGGAATACTGAATGGTATAGTTTTTATAAAATATGCAGGGATGTATATGATATGTAAAATGAGCCATGGAAAGAGAGGAAGGGAAGACATTGATATCTTAAGGAAGTAAAATGAATATTTTAAATTGTAAAACAAAAAATGTAATTAAAAAATTATATACAGTAGAAAATTGGATGACACATGGTAAAAAAAAATTGGATCCCTTGATATGTAATGACCCAGCTTCATCATCAGTCTCTTCTTCCACAACCCTTGGGGTGAGGTCTTTCACCGCTGTCAGTCTCCGGCTCTGGAGACTGCTGACAAAACCACAGTGGAGAATAGAAGCGGAGGAGGCAGCCCTGTCTGCCTCTCTGCCCTTCCTTCCAGTCTCATGTCACTGCCCCCCTCCAAAGAAACCCATAGGGAAGGGCCTGCCAAGAAGCCCAGCCCAGCCCTCACCAACAGCAAGCTTGCTTGCTTTTTCTGGCCACTTGCCAACATAATGGACAGCTTGCTGAAACCACAGCCCAGGTGAGCCACAGAGGAACAGGGAGGACAGCCTGGGGCAGCTGTAGTTTGCTTAGGGTGCTGGGAATTATAGCTCTCTGAGGGGCTGCCAAGCAACTCTTGGCCCCATTAACTAACTACAATTCCCAAGATTCTTTGGGGGAAGTCACAACTCTTAAATGTGCTTAAAATACGCAGTGCTGATGTGAACAAAGTTCTTCATAGGGCTTCACCAAATGACCTATTTATTGAGCATTAATTCTGATTTGTTTGCCTGGAGGCTGTATGACAATGACCACTCATCCTGATTTGCTTGTGGGGTGTTTATACATCTTCGCAGTAACCGTCTATTCATTCCACGCTCTTCCACCCATTTCCCTGTCATTTCCCCAACAGCAAAAAGTCCATTTCTTTGTACAGTGGTACCTCGGGTTAAGAACTTAATTCGTTCTGGAGGTCTCTTCTTAACTTGAAACTGTTCTTAACCTGAGGTACCACTTTAGCTTAATGGGGCCTCCCGCTGCTGCCGCACCACCGCCTCCTGATTTCTGTTCTCATCCTGAAGCAAAGTACTATTTCTTGTATTAGGGCGCTGGGGCTCTTTAATTCACTTCAATGGTGCAAACCTAAATTTCATGGCATGCCCTTGAATCCCTCCCACAAGGTACTGACAGTCCAGACGTGCCCTTGTCGTGTTCTGGCCCGATGCCAGAACTCACAGGGAAAGCAGCAAGGTGGGTTGATGGTTGCCCCGGCTGAGCAACTTGCTCCAGCAAAGGTCGGGAGCACACTGAGGCCTTTTATGCCTCTGTCCCAAGACTGCCTCCTCCTGGCTCCACCCTCCACCCTCTACCCTCTGATAGAACCTCAGAGCCTTAGAGGGCCAACCCTCTGGCTTGAAGGCAGCCACTCCTCCTCTGTTCCATAGCCTCCTTCCTAGTGCACTCCTGGACTGTTGGAATGCAGTGGGCAGCATATGGCTTTCCAGGGAAAGATGGGTCAGCCTTGATGGTTTTGGAGGTTCCTCTGGGAGTTATTAGGGACGCAGGTGGCCCTGTGAGTTAAACCACAGAGCCTAGGGCTTGCCAATCAGAAGGTTGGCAGTTCGAATCCCCGCGACAGGGTGAGCTCCCGTTGCTTGGTCCCTGCTCCTGCCAACCTAGCAGTTCAAAAGCATGTCAAAGTGCAAGTAGATAAATAGGTACCACTCTGGCAGGAAGGTAAACGGCGTTTCCGTGCGCTGCTCTGGTTCACCAGAAGCGGCTTAGTCATGCTAGCCACATGACCCGGAAGCTGTACACCGGCTCCCTCGGCCACTAAAGCGAGATGAGCGCCGCAACCCCAGAGTTGGTCACGACTGGACCTAATGGTCAGGGGTCCCTTTACCTTTACCTTTTACTGGGAGTTATTGTCCAGCTGCTTAATGCACACTGGTCTCCCTTTCTTCCCCAGTCAGCCTGAGCCCTTAACCCAGCACTCCCATCTAGAGCCCCTGTAGCCTCCAACTCAGTGTCCAGTTGAGTGCCAGGTACAGGGATCATGGCACTGCCCATAGGTTGTGTCTCCAACCCAAAACACTCCCAATGCCCTCTTAAGGCCCCGTTTGAGCTAGCCCTAATTTCAGCCCTGCTCCGTCAAATCCAGATTCATTTACCTGCTCCCCCCCCCCATGCTTTAATCAGGCACCGACCTTACAAGCTGTCAGTCTCCCTCCCCACCTCCAGGAGAAGCCAGCAGACATCGCAGTCTGTGTCACACACAGCACCAGTGTGCAACGTGGGTGTTGTGTTATGGAAACGGTGGCAGAAAGACGTTTTGTCTCGGCTCTGACAATGAAGGTCCTGCAAGAAAGCCATGGTGTTTGTGGATTCGTCTCCATTCTCACTCCTTTGCAGCCTGCAGTTCGTTAACGAGATATATTTATGAATGGGGAAGGGATGCGTTTTGGATGCTGGCTTGTGAGCCAGGCTTAAACGAAAGCTCTGACAGTGGTGCAATTGCAGATTTCCCTGAGCGATCGCAGAGAAATTCCGGCTGGTTTTTATCCTGGTGCTTTTTAGCCTTTATCAAAGGTCTTTTCTCACCAGGGATCACAGAGGGCTAGGGCAAATCCCTGTGTCTCCATGAGCGTGGATGGCATTTACTTTCTAGGCTTCTGTTTCCACCTCGCAGTGAGTCTATATCTTAAAAACTCATTTTTGGGTGTCTCTCTGTGTATGTACGTGTACATGTTGAACCATGAACGTAATAATTACCGGGTGCCTTAAAAGAATAAGGTGCTCTGTAAAAAGAAAGAACTTATTACAAAGCATCTGAATTGCTTTAGGTTGTTATGACAATGAGCACTTTTTTTAAGGGGGGAGAATCTCCCCCAAATTTAGTGGTACATAGCAGGTGTTTCCCTACTGTGTTTCATCAGGGCATAACTGAGATTTGTTTCGCTTTGAATATTGCTTTGTTAGAGGAATAGAGGACAAGAAACGATCAAGGCTGTCACCCTGTGTGCATTTACCCAAGAGTTAATCCAGTTTAACTTTGTGGGAATTCCTTTCAGATAAGCATACGTGGGACTGGACTGTATAACTGGACTGCATCAGCAGCTCTGTCTCCACAGTCAGAGGCAATATGCCTCGGAATACCAATTGCAGGATACTACCGTAGGAGGGGAGAATCCTGCTTATGGGCTTCCCATAGGCATCTGGCTGGTTGTTTTGAGAGCAGGATGCTTGGCTAGATGGGCCAGTGGCCTGATCCAGCGGGGTTCATTTTATGGTCTTATATGTTGAGCATCTCTGTGTGTATCTGGGGTTGTTACCATTTGAACATCTCTTTGTATATCTGGGGTAGCCAACATGACGCCCTCCGGAGGTTTTAGGCTACAACTCCCATCATCCCTGACTATTAGCCACACTGGCTGAGGCTGGTGGGAGTTGAAGTCCCAAAATCTGGGCGACACCACATTGGCTATGCTCTGGTGTGCTTGATGCAGAATAAAATAGTACAGCTATTGCACAAGCAAAAGATGTCTGCACAGCAGGGGCTGATCCTCACGGTCCCTTCCCTACAGTTGGATGTGATTCTGTGATTCCGTAACAATATTTGTCATGTTTGTTCAGTCACGCCTGCACTTTCCACTGCCAACCACTTACTGTCGCCAGGTTTTGCCCCAGGACAGGGGAAAGTGGAAGGTGGTCAAGGAGATTGGAGGGTAGCTCCCAAGGGAGCTGACGTGGCTGTCTTGAAGCATTTAGAGAGATGGGAAGAGGCTCCCACCATGGTCCTGCCAGTGCTATTTTTTCTAGAAAAACGTGCCGGAGCTCATGCATGCCTCCTTTGTTCTCTTATAATAGTAATGGTGCCCATCTGAGAGGTGCCAGAACTGAGTTCTGGGTGAGTTCTGGCTGAAAAAAAAGCCCTGGGTGAAACTAATCTTTGTGCTGACTCTTTAAATGAGGATGGAGTTGATTTCTGTTCCACTTGCTGAGCTGTTTCCGTTCGTTAACTTCCTCCAGGCGGCTTAATATATAATTTCCTGACGATGTCCCAGGCCCAGCTGTCGCTAAGCAATGTGTGAGGGCTCTACATCTTTAGATTACAGGTGTGAGTGTACATTGGTGGCTCTCTCCATACAAAATTAGCATTTCACAGAGAAAGCTAATTTAGAACCCTGGGTTTCTTGGGTTTCTGGGTGCAGGGATAATTTTTGCATGGAAGAGAGTTCAGTCATGTGAGACTCCCATCTGCAGCCAGAAGTGCAGCCCAGATGCAATTTTACACCTCCATAAGAACGAGAGATTGAAGTTGGCAAGGTTTTTTTTTAAAGGCGGAATTTTTGCAGATTTGTTTGATTTGTGATAATTACATAGTACCCGTATGTTGCTTTAGAGTCCTCAATACTCATTACAAATCCTTACAGCAACCCTGTGAGGTAGGTCAATAATAACATTTGAAGAGGGAAAATGAGGTGAGGAAATGAGATTGGAGCTTAGAGAGAGCAATTGAGGGAGCTCACAGCTATTGTGAGATTTTTTTAAAAACTGGGAACTTCCTGGCTGTGGAAATTCACTTTGATACTGAACTGGGTTTACTTGGAGCAGAACGTTTTGATCATTATTCTTATTTAATTAGCACAAAGTACTGCTTAACTGAAAATCTGGAGAGAGAAAACCCTGCCCTTTTGCAGCCTGGAAGTGTTGTGTACATTTTGGAGTATGATCAACCGTGACTTGTGTTACATAAAAATTATCAATTTGAATTGCAAATTCAGTCAACCAGGGAATGCAAAGAGAACATTGGTAATCACTCCAGGCGAGAACTCTCTGAGAATCCCTATTTGTCTTGTATTAAAGAGTTTGCAGAACTTCTGAAAAAGCTGTGTAACGTAATTGCATCGAATACTGCCTTCCCTTCCCCACCTGTGCTTTGAGTAACTGTCAGAGCCTCTGAACCCCTTAAGATGTCCTTTTCATTGTGCATTTGTGATTATTTGTGCTCAGGATGGTATCAGGGTCGTTGTACATGGTCCCATTTTCAGTACTGTTTCTGCCTGCAAAAGTTCCGGGGCAGGCATTCCGCTTCGTTTCCCATCAGTTCACGTCTCGTAACTTCCTGCTGAAATCCTGCAAGCTTTCATGCCACAAACGCTTGGCGGTGAGCGTGGGGATCCAACTTTGGTTGTACCTTAGTGCAGTAATGCCCCTCTGGATGGTGGGGCAGTATCGGGGCAGCTTTGCAGAACAGCTAAGGAAATGGAATGGCGTGTGGACAGCCTGGTATAAATCCAGCACTAATGCACTGTTATTGTGTCAAAGACACAATAGCAGTGTGTCTTTGCAGAATATACCCACCAAAAAAGAGAGAGGGAGAGAGCCACCAGTCTGGAGGGTGTTTAGTATGTGTATACATTCGTAGTATGTATTTATTTATTTTGCGCCCATCTGGCTGGGCTTCCCCAGCCACTCTGGGCTGCTTCCAGCAAAATACTAAAATACAATAATTCGTCAAATATTAAAAGCTTCCCTAAACAGTACCTTGGACCTCAAACGCCTTGGCTCCCGAACGCCGCAAACCCAAAAGTGAGTGTTCCGGTTTTCGAACGTTCTTTTGGAACCCAACCATCCGACAGGGCTTCTGTGGCTTCCGATTGCCTGCAGGAGCTTCCTGCAGCCAATCAGAAGCCGCACTTTGGTTTCGGAACATTTTGGAAGTCGAACGGAGTTCCAGAACAGATTCTGTTCGACTTCCAAGGTACGACTGAATTGGGGTATTAGAATGGAATTCTATTTCAAGTGGGGAGCTAAGCATGGTGGTGGCAGAGCCCGTGCTTTATGTATGTATATACTTAGTTTATATCCTGCCCTTTCTCCCCAAAAAGAAGGGCTGCAAACACACAAATGATTAAGCAGTTGAAAGATATTAGAACTATATCAACGCAATGGCAGACTGGGGGAAGTCTCTATTTAAAGGGCTTGTTGGTAGAGGAAGATAGGCGCCTAAAAGATGATAGGGATAGCACCTGCCTAATATTTAACGAGATTTATTCATCATCATATTTCCCCAGGGTAAGCCACATTCAAAGCACCTCCACGCAGCATTGAAGAGTTTGCATAAGATAACTCGCTGGCTGTTAACAAGACACTGCAAAACTGGGATAGCTGTATAAAGAACAGGCTAAGGAAAGCATCTCCTATTAAAAAATATTCAGAGTGGTTTAGCAATCAGTTCCTTCTTCCTAGGAACTCTGGGAATTGTAGCTCTCCCAGGGGGAATAGGGATCTCCCAACCGACTTTTAGCAACCTTAACCAACTGCAGTTTCCAGGATGGGGCAAGCGAATGGAGAGCCATGAGTGTTTTAACTGGTACCATGCTGCTTTAAATGTATCGCGCTCATGACAAAAGCAGTGTCCAGTGATTTGAAGAGAAGAAGAAGGAGTTTGGATTTGATATCCCGCTTTATCACTACCTGAAGGAGTCTCAAAGCGGCTAACATTCTCCTTTCCCTTCCTCCCCCACAACAAACACCCTGTGAGGTGAGTGGGGCTGAGAGACTTCAGAGAAGCGTGCCTAGCCCAAGGTCACCCAGCAGCTGCATGTGGAGGAGCGGAGACGTGAACCCGTTTCACCAGATTATGAGTCTACCGCTCTTAACCACTACACCACACTGGCTCTCCTCCAGAGGTTAGGGTCTCCTGGGGTCTGAGTGAAGGAAGTTGGTAATGAATTTAGCTGCAAAGTTTTGGGCTGAGGTCCAGCTCTGGCAACTGATGACTGACTACTTATTCCGATGTCCAGCAATTGCCTCCTCCATATTATTTTTATTTTTTGCTGGCTACATTTTCAGGGGCTTTGATCCCCTATTCCCTTTGTGCAGGCAAATCTGCCTTGGAAATGCAACATGAAAGGGCTTGTCAAGTGAAGAGCTGTTTGCCTTTATGCATGTTTCATGAATGCATCTCAATTTAGGGGCGGGAGGGGAGAACTGACAGTGACATTGGAACAGGATTTGCTTACAGTTTTAAGACTATTTGTAGACTCCCAGGACTGGGCTGAGGCCAGGAGGCAAGATACACAGCCTAACTTCCACCCCAGAGCTGAGTCATTTTCAGTTTTTTCATCACCTTCTTTCTTGACATTTTATTAAGAAGCAAGCTGGGATGTGGGTGGTGTAGCCTGGCAGCTAGCCAAAGAGATCAGGAAAATTCCCGGAAAACAGACCCATGGAGATTTGAAGTTCAGAGCAGGTCAGGCAAGCGAGAACAAAGCAAAGAGAGGAGAGCATTGCTGAGGAACCTGCTAGCTTAGGGGTGAGGATGCACAAATATTATTGAAAAGCGTTGAAAGTAACTGAGGTTCTTACCCCTCCCCCCAGCCCACACACCCTGGCCTTAAGCCAATTAGATTTATATGTCTGGATTTTCCCGGACACGACTGGGATTTCAAAGGCAAAATTGATGTCCGGGGGGGGGGGGATTTCCGAAAGGCGGCACTTTTTCCTGGATCTTAGGCAAGTCAGTTGAAAAAGCTCAACAGCTTTTGGGGTACCTTGGTTTTTACATTTTTGAAATATGGCAACCCTAAATTAGAACGTTTTCACTGTTTTAGAATATTTCTGTTCTCTCTTTGTTCCCTTAAATTGTGGATACATTCGCTGCCCTGGGCTCCCTTAGGAGGAAAGGCGGGATAGAAATTCAATAATAATATTATTATAATTTATTATTTATACTTGCCCAAATTGCTGGGTTTCCTCAGCTACTCTGGGCGGCTCCCAACCGAATGTTAAAAACGCAATACAGCATTAAACATTAAAAACTTCCCTAAACAGGGCTGCCTTCAGATGTCTTTTAAAAGTAAGATAGTTGCTTATTCCCTTGACATCTAAAGGGAGGGTGTTCCACAGGGCAGGTGCCACTACTGAGAAGGCCGTCTGCCTGGTTCCCTGTAACTTTGCTTCTCGCAGCGAGGGAACCACCAGAAGGCCCTCGGAGCTGGACCTCAGCGTCTGGGCAGAATGATGGGGGTGGCGACACTCCTTCAGGTATACTGGGCCGAGCCTATTTAGGGCTTTAAAGGTCAGTACCAACACTTTGAATTGTGTTCGGAAACATAATGGAAGTTTTAAAGTACAATAAGAGTTTTAAAGATGAGCACCAGCATTTTGAATTGAGCCTTTGTTATAGACCAGGAGCCAGCACAGTTTTTAAAGCTCTGGTGGCAGTGAGGTAAGTCTCCACATCCCCAGTTCTGATTAGCAACCTATTTTGAACAGTTTCCAAACAAAATGTGCATCTCGGGACAGTGCCTTTTACAGTGGTACCTCAGGTTAAGTACATAATTCATTCCAGAGGTCCGTTCTTAACCTGAAACTGTTCTTAACCTGAAGCACCACTTTAGCTAATGGGGCCTCCTGCTGCTGCCGTGCCACCAGAGCATGATTTCTGTTCCCATCCTGAAGCAAAGTTCTTAACCCGAGGGACTATTTCTGGGTTAGCGGAGTCTGTAACCTGAAGCGTATGTAACCTGAAGCGTATGTAACCCAAGGTACCACTGTATCTGCATCTTGCAGAGGGAAGTGGAGCAGCAATCAGGCAAGCTGGCGTGTCTGTCATAACTGCCTGTAATATGCCTGAATAGGCTTCCAAACAGCATCAAGAGTCTGTGGCTGAAGACACACTGTACTTTTAAAACTCACAGCTTCCTCCAAAAAAACCAAAACACCTTGGGTTTTTTATTTTTAAAAAGGGTGCTGGGAATTGTAGCTCTGCGATGGGTGAACTACAGTTCCCAGGATGCTTTGTGTGGGTAGTCATATGTTTTAAATGTATGGTGTGTGGTCAAGTATCAAATATTTGCTGGTCAAGGATCAACATGGACAGCTGCACTTCGCTAGAGGAGCCATGTATCATCTGGGGATATTTTAATTCTACAAGGCGGGGGACACTGGTTTGTAGGTTGTTTTGTTCCTTTTTTCAATCATGTATTTTGTGCTTTTATATTGTATATTTACGTTGTGAACTGCCCTGAGAGCTGCAGATGAAAGGCAGTATACAAATTAAATAAATATTCAAACAAACAAACAACTACAAAGAAGATCATCAACGCAACAGTCCAGCTACAGTTTCGGGAAGTTTTTAATGTTCGAAGTTTTATTCTGTTTTTAATGTTCTGTTGAAAGCCGCCCAGAATGACTGGGGAAACCCAGCCAGATGGGCGGGGTAGAAATAATAAATTATTATTATACATTATTATTACAATTCCAGATACCAAGTTGTCCATAATGCCTTCCCATAGATATAAAAACCTCCCACTTTCATTATTATTATTTTAAATAAAACTTATCGTTAACAGCGTTCACAGCTATTCCACACACCTGAAGCACGTGGCTTTTTTGAAAGCATCCTGTGAACTGTAGTGTGTTCAGGGTACTCGGAACCATAGTTCTGTGCAGGGTAAACTACAGTTCCCAGGATTGGGGGGAGGGGTTCATGTGCTTTAAATAGATGGCATGTATGCAGCCAATCTCTGTTGCCTCGGGAGCATTTGCAGAGCATGAAGTAGCTGCAGAAATCGCCTCTGTTGTTGTGCAATTATTTATGACCTGCTATGTTTTTGGATGCTATAATTCAAATCTTATCGGAACAGTCCTGCCCAGTGGTGCCATTAGGATTGGGTTTGGGACAGAAGTCCAGGGCACCACCAGCAGAACGTGAAGGAGGTGTCCTCTGAACCTAACAAGACCAGCTTCCCAAATTGTGTGACGTACATGAAGCAGAACGGTGCCAACTAAAGGGGGGCACGAGACCCACCAAGTCCAGAGTTTATATTTGCCTTTCTGCACCACTAATCCTTCTCATATTTACTCAGAAATAGGTTCTGTGTGCAACAAGGTTTACTTGCCAGGTAAGTGTGCCTGGGATTTCAGACTCCCTATGCAAATCATTGCTTGGAAGTAAATCTTGATTAAGCAAACTCCTTAGTAAGTGGTTTGATTTTTTTTTTAAGGGTTTCAGCCTAAATCTAGTTTAATTTTCATACATCTACATCAGTATACTTCGTTATTTCTTGAAATCCGTGAACACACCCGCTGCTTTCTTTTTCTGGCTTGCTCATCTTCTGATCAATCAAGTATCGGAACAGGAAAAGATTAATCCAATAAATTGCAGTCCCAGCCATCTGGTGTCATGCAGGACTTTGATGTCTGAGGTAACCCTGCAAGCTCTCCCTCACCCCCCACCCCACCCCACTCCCATTTTTCTGCTGCCTTATTTATCTCAGAACCCACAGCTTGGGTTTCACTCCAAGGGGACACAGATATGTCCATTAACCACCAAAGCGAAAAATTATCTGTAATTATTTCAGACCAAGGTTTCCTTTTCAGCCACAAGGTGCTAAGAGCATGGGAGAGCGCATGGAGAGCGCTCCTTGCAGCATGTGATGGGTTAATGGCCTTTTAGCTTACATTGGACTTTGCAGATTGCGCTGCCTCAAATCTGACTTAAAATTCAGAGGGGTTTGGAGCTGCCTTTCCGAATAATGACAAGGTGAGTTCCCTGCGCGAGGTGGCCGTTGGATGGAGATTGCAATGGAAGCAGCTCCATTTTCCTTGACTTCGTGTTTTATCATATATATAGTTATTTCCTGCAAATAAAAATGGGGAGGGGGGGAATTGTAAATCCATCCAGAGAACCATCCAGAGTGCTAAATAAAGGCAATAAGAGATGGTGATAAAAGCCTTCAAAGTGGGTATTTCAGAACTCTAGAATTCTTAAAACGACTTGCATTGATGTCACACAAATTAAGAGTTATGCTTTATATTTAGAGAATGATAGACAGCTGGGCTTTCCCACACTAAAGAATGCTACTCTGTCGTTTTAATGTTCATGCCATAAAGCGGGGGGGGGGGGCGGAGATTTCAGGCATTATAGGGGATGTTTGCTTGGGTTTTTGTTCGTAGAACCCTATGTTCTACCAGAAGGCAATACAGTTAGCTCAGGGTGCCTCCTGGTTATTGTCCTTCATTTCAGCAGCATACTTTAACTGGGAAAAGTCATTTTGTTGGTGTTATTGCCATGGTTAAACAATTGGGAATCAGGTACTTTTCCTGATCTATTGTACATCACCAAGAGATCTACCACCTACTCCCAATGTAAAGAATATGTGAGTTGCAATGTGCAGTTTATCACAATTCCTCTAATTTTTGTTCCTTAGTACACTAGCATTAAGGATAGCTTGCAAAGAAGCCAATCAATATAAAATTCAGCTCATCCTTTTGGCTAAAGGGGCTTCTTCAAAGCCTAGTTTTAGTCAAAAGATGGGACCCTGCAGACACTAAGGAACACCTCTGTAGAAGAGTTTTGCCCACAGATGCCAGCTTTGCAATCCATGAATTAAGCTCTACAACAAAATTTTATTTCTTTCTGTGCTTGCGTAATACGTTTAATTATGCTCTACATATTTTTTTCAGCGACTCTTTGAGATTCATGCAAATGCTGTTGGGTTGTTTTGCACTGTTGAAACTAGGTTAAACGCAGAGCTGAGGCACAACAGAATTAAAAACTGCTTATATTATTAGAGCGGGTTTTTTCCAGGAAGTGGGGGAATATTGCATTTAAAATCCTGTCTCTCAAAACTCCGTGCTCAAGTTTTTCCTATCACTATCTTTGGGTGTGCCTTATAGATCAGCCTTCACCAACCTAGTACCCTCCAGATTTCTTGGGCGGCTGAATGTCTGGAGGGCACCAGGTTGGTGAAGGCTACTATGGACCAACAAGCACAATGGCATGTGTAGAGAGAGAGAGCGAGCACCGTGGTAAAGGTAAAGGTAAATGGACCCCTGACCATTAGATCCAGTCGTGACCGACTCTGGGGTTGTCACGCTCATCTTGCTTTATTGGCCAAGGGAGCCGGCGTACACCATCTGGATCATGTGGCCAGCATGACTAAGCCGCTTCTGGCGAACCAGAGCAGTGCATGGAAATGCCATTTACCTTCCCCCCGGAGTGGTACCTATTTATCTACTTGCATTTTGATGTGCTTTTGAACTGCTAGGTTGGCAGGAGCAGGGACCGGGCAACAGGAGCTCACCCCATCGCGGGGATTCGAACCGCCGACCTTCTGATCAGCAAGTCCTAGGCTCTGTGGTTTAACCCACAGCACCACCGCGTCCATGGTAGCTGCCCCCAAATGACAGGTTGTCCTTGGAGGCTCACCAGAATCTGGGCCTGATCAACTTCTGTAGCAAGCTTAAGATATCTCTTGATAAAGCTTTCAGTATGTAGGGTTAATGTGAGGAGCAGGAGAGGACTGGAATTTTGATAAGTTTTCATTGAATGGAGCTATGTATCCTCATAAGATGCATCATATTACTAGAGTTTATTTTATGCCTCTCCTTATTTTGCCCAATTAATTTTTGCTTCTTTACCAACAGAGGTGGTGAAGGATTTGTTTCAGATGCTGAAGTTCATTGCAAATTTTAACATGCTAGATCCATTATATTCCTGGTAATATTAATAAAACCTCAGCCTCCACCCTCCTTCCAACCTACTCTCAGTCAACCCCTGGAATTTAAGATTTGACCTGGCATAGTTTTGCAAATGCATACCAGGAGCCCAGCCATCTCTTAACCTGCTCAACAGAGCAGAACTTTTTGCCTGCTGCCCAGCCTTAGATTTGAGGGTCCCTTTTCTGTCAGAGGGACTGGGGCTCTTTTATGTTGTGTCAGCAGTGGGCAGAAATAGCAGTTAGAACCTGACAGAGACCAGCTACCATATAAATTTTCAATAATGCCCCACACAGAGATGCTACATCTGAGGCATTGTGGGAAATTGGAATGGCAGATAGACATAGCTATCTGGCACTGTGTTGGAATACTAAACTGCAAGAAGTGAGGTTACAGGGAACCAGGCAGAGGGCCTTCTCGGTAGTGGCGCCCGCCCTGTGGAATGCCCTCCCATCAGATGTAAAGGAAATAAACAACTATCTGACTTTTAGAAGACATGTGAGGGCAACCCTGTTTAGGGAAGTTTTTAATGTTTGATGTTTTAGCATGTTTTTAATATTCTGTTGGGAGCTGCCCAGAGTGGCTGGGGAAGAAATAATTTATTATTATTATTATTATTATTATTATTTATTATTATTATTATTATTATTATTATTATTATTATTATTTATTAACTGGGGGGGAAGGAGGGCAGACATCAAGGGTGGGCCCTTCCTTGGACCCCAGCATCTACCCAAGAATTCAGGGTAAGGTGGTGCTGGCACCCCGCTGAAGCCTGCACCCCAAGTCTAGTTCCTAGTGTGGTCATCTACTTCCTTGGTTCAGCTCCCTGGCACTGGATTCGGATTCTTCCAATGGAGTCCGGCCCATAGCTGTCAACGTTCCCCTTTTTTTAAGGGAAATTCCTTTATTCCGAATAGGATTCCTTGCAAGAAAAGGGAAAAGTTGACAGCTATGGGCCGGCCTCTCTGGTCATTACTCTGCCATGCGTAAAGACCTGGAGCCAATGCCAGCTCCCCAGCTTTGACAGATCATCCTGTCCTTCCCACGTTCTCTAAGGCCCGGGGGTATCGTGTGGGGGTATTATTGATGCCTTCACAGCTTAATGGCTCAAATCCCCGGAGCCGTCTCGGCTGTCTCAGTGACCTGAGCTCTGTTTTGAATAATTGACGAGGAAGAGTTAGTCAGACTTTATGGGTAATCCAAGATGCCTTATTCAAGGGTATTTGCGGACAGCTGCAGATGGAGCCCAACTCTTTCCCCTGTTTTAGGGTGTGCTTTACGAGGGTGGAGAATACCCCATATGGCGGTTATTGCTTTGTCAGTAGGGGGTTGCACTTAAGCTGCTTCTTTCAGCCCATTGAGTGTTTGTGGAAGATGGGTAGCTTTGTCAAGTCTTTAGTAGCAGCAAAACCAATCCAAGAGCCCTGTAGCAGCTGACATGCCACTATTACAATGGTCCGGTGGCTTCCGCCCCTGCTCACTCTTCTCTCCAATCCTGTCTCCCCGCCAACCCCTTTGACAGTCTCCCTTGCCCCACACCTCTCACACCCCCTCAGGTATCCCCTCACAGCTCGCCCTGAGCCCCTCTCCCTTTTAAGAGACGGCGGGAACACTATACTGATTTTTTAAAAGCTTTTTTGCCATGGTCTTCCCAATCCTGGTGCCCTCCAATAGGGCTGATATAAGCATGGATGAATCTGTTGATTCAGGTTCTCTTTGTTTCTCGTTTTTCCACTCTTGAGTTCAGTTCCCCTTATTTCAACGACAGTTTGTAATTTTTTAATGCCTTTATGTAACTTTCTTCTAATATATGCATTTAGGAATGCACTTTTGCCTCACACATACCTTTTTGCAAAGCATATTTCCCCCTAGTAAAATGTGTTTTTGTTTGTTATTTTCACAAATATATATGCCGGAGAACTGCATTGCAAAAGTTGGAGAAGAGCAAAGTTCAAAGGATGTCTACGTTTCAGTTCTTGGAACGTTTTAGAAAGTGCAGTTTAGATAGATCTGCCTTTAAATGTGAACTGAATCAAATTTATCCCCCATCCCTAGACTGACAGGATTTGTAATCCAAATCAAGCCCAGCTAATATGGCTGTGCTGGCTGGGGTTGATCAGAGTTGTGTTATTATTTCTTGTTTATAATAATTAATTTATATATCACTTAATTGCCAAAGTGTCTTCTAGGTGGTTTACAATAGCAATTGCAAAATAAATATGTGTAATTAAAATGTGCAGTAAAAGCAATTCCATCAAAACATTAAAACAAACACCCACAATTGAATCCACAGTAAAACAAGCATGTCAAAACATCACAGTAATTAAAACTTTGTGTCTCTAATACAGAACTATGCTAAATATGAATATTGGTAGATGGGAGTTGTAGTCCAAAACATATGGAAAGCACCAGGTTGTGGGGTGGGGTATCTTTTTGTTTCCTCTCTGTGAAGGATCCAGGGCCTCTTTGTTTCATTAGATATCATCTGTCGGAAAGTACCTTTTGCATATATTTAAGGAAGTGTCACCTCCAGTTTTGTGTCCCTGTTTGAAAGTGCACACATTTATTCCTTTCTCTCAGCTATTGGTCCTCTTCTCTCTCCCTCCTTCCCCAAACACTCACCAAACTTGATAGCTCAGTGGTGGACCATCTCCTATCTAGTAGCTCCAGGAAGGGTGGGAAAGCCTCTTGACTGAAACCCTGGAGAGCTACTTCCAGTCAGTGTAAAAAGGTAAAGGTAAAGAACCCATGGATAGTTAAGTCCAATCAAAGGCGACTATGGGGTTGCGGCACTCATCTCGCTTTCAGGCTGAGGGAGCCGGCGTTTGTCCACAGACAGCTTTCTGGGTCATGTGGTCAGCATGACTAAACCGCTGCTGGCACAGCGGGACACTGTGACGGAAGCCAGAGCACACGGAACTGCTGTTTACCTTCCCGCTGGAGCGGTACCTATTTATCTACTTGCGCTGGCGTGCTTTTGAACTGGTAGGTTCGCAGAAGCTGGGACAGAGCGATGGGAGCTCACCCCGTTGCGGAGATTCGAACTGCCGACCTTCTGATCAGCAAGCTCAAGAGGCTCAGTGGTTTAGACCACAGCGCCACCCGTGTCCCTCCAGTCAGTCCTGAGATGTACTGTCCTGAGATGAACCAATAGTCTAACTCCATATAAGGCAGCTTCCTATGCTCCTGCGTTGAGATCTTTTTACCTGCATGTCTTTCCTTTCTGCAGGTTGTTGTTTTAACCTGCTGCTCTGCCATTTTTTAATTTGCAGTTTTATATTGTCATCTTGCCTGTATTTTTATTGCATTTTTAGTGTTCTACATCAAAAGCAGCCTTGAGGCCAGCCCCACAGAAAGCGGCTTCTAAGTAAATAAAAGTTCTCTCCCCTTTCTCTCTGTGTGCAGATCCCATGGGCATGGGGGCCAGACAGTCCTCCGCTGGAGGTCTCTCCATCGGCCAGGGTCCAGCAACAGAGACTGTGGAGGGCGCTTACAGAAGTGGAGAATTCGGTAGAGCCCAGGAGCTGATTAAAGCAGCGTGTCAGGAGAATATCTCGGCAGTGGAGAAGGTAAGGGCACAGCCGTCAAAATTCTGCGCCAAAATGAAAGACGAGAAGAGTACATTCTGCAAATCAAGACATTTGCTATGGGATCTCCAGCATAACCTTGCAGCCGCTTGAATCTTGTTTCCTAGGAGACCCCTATTCCTCTCACAGAGCTGCAGTTCCCAGAATGCTTTAACAATCCCTCTTCCCAGGGAACTTGGGGAATTACAGTGGTACCTCGGGTTACATACGCTTCAGGTTACATACGCTTCAGGTTACAGACTCCGCTAACCCAGAAATAGTGCTTCAGGTTAAGAACTTTGCTTCAGGATGAGAACAGAAATCGTGCTCCGGTGGTGTGGTGGCAGCGGGAGGCCCCATTAGCTAAAGTGGTGCTTCAGGTTAAGAACAGACCTCTGGAACGAATTAAGTACTTAACCCGAGGTACCACTGTATAGCTCTGTAAGGTGAATAGTGTTCTCCTAACAATTCCTTGCACTCTTAACAAACTATAGTTCCTAGGGTTCTTTGTGGGGAAGCCATGACTTTTTAACATGGCCTGATAACTGTAAGGTGGAAATGAGGCCAATTCCCCCATGCCCATTTAACTTCACAATGGTTGCAGTTAAGAGCAGCAGGTCTCCCATTTTGTTCACAGTAGCAGCATTGTGGAAAGGGTTAACCACCCTTCCCACCTTTGGCCTGTTATTTTTCCCACTGGGGAGCAACTCTGAGGGAGAATACGATTGAGATCCAGAAAACAGCAGGGGTGTATACGGGAAAATCCCCCTCTACCCACCTCTACCCCTGTAGTCAAAATCATAGGCTAACCCTGCTAAGTCCTCCCACAGTGGGTTACTTTGGCCTACTCGCTTCCAGATTCTTCTCTAGCTACCCGTCCACCAAGGATGAGGAACCAGTGGCCTTTCAGAAGAGTTTGGACTTCAACTCCCATCAGCCCCAGACAGTGTGGTCAGTGGTCATGGATGATGGGAGTTGTAGGCTAACAACACCTTGCGAGCTACAGCTTCCTCATGTCAGTATATCCTGGTGAGATCAAGAAGGCCATTTTATGAAATTCTGGGCCACGTCACCATCTCCACAAAACATCTTATGGAGAAAGTAGGTAGTGAGACAAACAAAGCATCCGAACTTGTGGGCATCCAGCGAAGCTGAATATTGGAAGATTCAGGACAGATTTTTAAAAACTGTGGAACCTCCTTCCATACAAGGCATTGGTGGCCACCAACCTAGGGGGCTTTAAAAGAGGATTAGACAAATTGGCCTGATCCAACAGGCTCTTATCTTTGATATATCTTCACTATGGCTTGTGAATAACAAAAAAAATCTCTGTGTTTTGGTTCATTTGGGCTCATGTGCTATGTATTCCACTCCTCTTCTCCAAACCAGGGCCTCCTCTTGAGTCTTTCCACTGCCTATGGGGACCTTGAGACCGTGAGGTATTTGCTGAAAGAAGCATGCGTGACTTTGCCCCTGGAACCCAACGACGATAACCCAGCTGTTGTGGCAGCATATTTTGGGCATACAGACGTTGCTAAAGAACTGCTGGATTCTTTTCATGGTAGGTTATTCTCCTGCCCATCCCATTAGCCTTTAAGGTGCTTGTTGAAGCTACTTTGCCTCTCGTACCTTCCATTGAAGGGCCATAGTTCAGTGGTAGAGCATCCACCTTGCAGGCAGAAGGTCCCACTTTTAAGCCCCAGCATCTCCAGGTAGGGTTGGGGGAATGTCCCCTATCTGAAATCCTTCATAGATGCTGCCCCAGTCAGTATAAACAATACTGAGCTAGATGGACCAATGGTTTTACTCAGTGTCAAGCAGCTTCCCATGCCCCTATGTTCCATCTTTCTGAACCCTAGGAGCTTTCAGAAACAGGACCTTAGGAACTGTTGTTCTGCCAAGCGGCCATTTTATTTTATTTTATTTTAAAATTATTTATACATTTCAAGTTTATACATTTCACTGATTTTATACATTTCACTAATTTTTTCAATTATTTTGACATTTCAAAACTTGACTTCTTTCCCCCTCTTTCTACAGTTCCTTAAATTTGTTTTTAATATCGTCTGCATATCCAGATTAACTTAATTTGCTCATTTATTAATCTTCTTTAAATATATACTGTTATGAAACTACAGGTTATTACAATAATCCTGCCAATGTTTTTATCTGTTTATAATTTATCTGTAACTATTCAATAAACCATTTCCATTCTTTTATTTAAAGAATTGTTAACTTGATTTCTTATTCTTCGAGTAAGTTTCGCCATTTCTGCATATTCCATAAGTTTTTGCATCTATTCTTCCTTTGCTGGAACTTCTGCTTTTTTCCATTTTGGGGCAAGTAATATTCTTGCTGCTATAGTAGCATACGTGAATAATTTCTATACATTTTACATAGTTCTGTCCCACCAAGCAGCCATTTTAAGCATTCTACCATTTTAAGCATTAAGGATTTGAACCTGCTTGGGCCCCTAAGCTCAGCCTTGGAGGCCCTGCTGCCTGGACCACCACTAAGTTCAATGAGATTGATAAATACCAGGGTTAGGACCTTTTTCGTGGTGGCCCACATAGTAGAAGTCTCTCTATCCTAAAGCTCTGATTGGCCACCTCTCTTAACACATTTAAGTGGACCCGCTGACTTAAAACAACAACAACAAACTGCCAAGCACTTTATTTATTGAAGGACTTATATACCACCCTCTCCATAAAATATCAGGGAGGTTTACAACAGTATGTATACTATAAAATATAAAAACCATTTAAAGCAGAACACAGTAGTCATTAAAATGGCCGGCTAATAAAAAGGCTGTAAGCAGCTGCAATAGGCCTTTTGGCATGAAACTGGTTTTATTTGTGGCCCCTTATGTATTATTGCACCTGATACTGTTTTAGTTTTAAGTTTTACCTTCCACACTGTGAGCAGCCTTGCGAGGGCTTTTCCTACAAGGCAAGGTATTTATAAACAGTGCAGCAATAAATTGTAATAACAGTTTAATAGGGAAGCTCCTTCACAAAGCAGCCGTTCCCAGGATTCCTTGGGGAAAGCCCGTGACAGGATAGTGCTTTAAATTTTACCGTGATCATGCCCTAAAGCTAGACGTCGTATTTATTTAAATTGAAAGTCAAGTTTCACAGGGCTCCAGACTCCATGCCTGATAACCAGACTATTCTGTTGACTGGCAGTCCTGAGGCTACTGAGATGGCAAATAGCCCTGCGTGTCCTGTTACAAGATAATTGACAGGTGTGCTGTTTATGGGCGATGCCCCTTGTGTTTTCTTGCCTGTAAATTGCTCCAGAGGCTGACGTAGTTGTGCTTGTGCTCGTTTTTTAAAAAACAGGTCCTGCAAACATGTTGCAGCTCCTGAACTGGATGCTGGCCATTGCTTGCCAGCAGGGCCACCTGGACATAGCCAAGCTCTTAGTGCTGACATACAAAGCAGACCCCGACAGCTATGCCTTGAGAAAGAACGAGTTTGCAGCTCTGACACGTTTGCCACTCTATGCAGCTATGAAAGCAGGTACTGTATGTGAACGTGGGATCTGTGGTCTCCTTTCCCTTTTAAAAACTTCGCATTCCCACTTAGGGGCAAAAGAAGAGATGGTTGGCAGCTGGGGCTGCAAAATTGCACCATTTCCCATTCCGCACTGTATTTGACACATAGAGGTTTCTTTTTTTATCACCGAGCCTCTCAGTTGGTGTTTTTTAATTACCTGGCTGTGTTCACACCAGACATTTAAAGCACATAACTTCTCTCAAACTGTAGTTTGTGAAGGGTGCTGGGAATTGTAGCTCTGTGATGGGTAAACCACAGTTCCCAGGATTTTTGGGGGGAGGGAAACCTTGTGATTTAAATGTGCTTTAGCTATATAGTGTGCACGCAGGTCTTTGGGATATATGGCATTTTTGCTTTAAAAATAGCCTGAAATGTGCACGCGGGTGTTAATTTTCTTCCCTTCCATCTTCTTTGCTAGGACATGAAAAGGTTGCTGCCTTCTTGCTTGAGAATGGATCCTTCTTTTCTTCCTACGTCCTGGTGGACTGCCCCAGCACAAGCAAACAAGTTCTTCGTAAATACTTTGTAGAAACAATCAAGTTACCTGGGAATGCCCCAGCAAAGACAGTGAGTAGGTGTTTGCATATCACAAGACAAGGGGAACTAAGTGACTTGCACTTGGTAATGCTAATAGCATGCCTTTCTGGCCTCAGATACACCCCATACTTCCCCTCCCCCCCAAAAAAGTGTCTCTTTAATTCATTGCTTTAACACAGCGTGAAGACTTGAGCGCACAGTAGATCAGTCACGATGCCCCATGATAGGCCTATTTTTGTCCTGATAAGCTGGAATGAGTCAGATGACTTTCCCTGGCCTCCATTAAGGCTTGCAGCTTGGGCAGGCTGGCTGGCTGACCGGCTTGAGCAGGCATAGGAAACCTTTGGGCCTCTAGATGTTGCTGAACTACAACTCCCATCAGCCCCAGCACTTGTGGCCAATGTTTGCCATGGTGAGCCTCCATCTCCCTACTGGCGACTGCGAAGCTGAGAGCAATCAGTTTGCATGTCCGTCTGTAGTCCAGAGCAGAAATTAGTCAAGTGTATTCAATTGGCATTTGTTCACATTTTTAAGTCTACAAGTAATAATTGTGTTCTTTGCATTGTTCTGTTGTTTCCTTTGCACTGAAACGAATGTGATTTCCACATACAGTTTCATAAGTTAAATAGCAGAACAGTGAGACACGTAACTTAGTGGTTGTCGAGAACCAAACTAGAGCAGCATGAAAACAGTGCTGATTATGATGGTTGGAGCAAAATTGCAGCATTCTTGCCTTCCTAGCTTAACCAAGCAGCTGAACGGCCTGGGCGCATCCCAGAGATTCAACATTTTATGCTTTTCAGTCAGAGTCATTGATGATTCCCATTAAAACCTTCACCTTTCTTTCACATCCAGGCTCTTTCTGTGAACTGGTCGAACCTTGGGCTTCCTTGGGTGGATCTCGAATGGCTGATAGACATTTCCCACCAGATAACTGAGTTGGACCTCTCTGCCAATTGCTTGACCTCCCTCCCTTCTGTTATCCCTTGGGGGCTGATAAACCTCCAGAAACTAAACCTTGCTGAGAACCGGTTAAACAAACTGCCTGACGTACATTCTTCAGATGGAATCATCTGCACAAAGTACGTACCATGTCTTGGTTGTGGAACCTATATCGCTCCCACTGCTGTGGGACTCCAGCTCTTATCATCCCTGACAACTGCCTCGCTAGATGGGGCTGATAGGATCTGGAGTCCAGTAACATTTCTTGGTCCCACAGATAATGAAAGGGACCACATGAGTGGGTATGCCTTCTGGTAGCTTGGTAAATCTTAAGAAACCAAACCAAAATGCAGCCTTGACCTCAGTGGTAAAAATCAGTGCAGTCCTAATTCATATCAAACAGACAAACAACGTTCCAAAATATATAGCAGATTTATCTTTTGTGTTTATTTAAATCCACAGGTTGCTTGAGATCGACATTTCCAGCAACAGGTTCCTTATTCTTCCTTCTGGATTCCTGCACCTTTCCAGACTCCAAAGGCTTGTGGCTTCCAAAAATTATCTCGAAAAGTTATTAGATGCAGAGAATGGTGGGTGCATTTTAGCTAGGAATTTCCGGTTGGCCTGTGCGATCTTCCTAGCCAGTGGGTGGAGACCAGTAAACCTTGCAGGCATTCTCACTAGACCTTGCGGATTTGTGATGAAACTATCTAGCCAGAACTACCTGTGCAGGGTGACTGCTGAACTCCTGATCTCTTGCCAAGAGTCCTCTGCCACATACCCTACTGTGCTGTGTGTTCTCCTGCTTCTCATAAAAACATAGGAGTCTTATCCTCAGTCCTCTTTTAAAACCATCTAAGTTGGTGCTCACCACTGCCTCCTGCAGGAGAGAGTTTTAACTATGCCCTGTGTGAATAAATCGTTTCCTTTTTCTGACCTGAACCTTCCAATATTTGGCTTCCAAGGTCTGCTGTTCAGAGAGAGGGAGAACAACTCCCTATCTGCTTTCTCCGTGCTACTTTATAAACTTCTTTCATGTCACTGCTTAGTTGCCTTTTCTCTATAAAGAAGTCCCAAACACCTTACTTCATAGGGGTTTTTGTGATCTAGCTCCAGAGCACCAGCAATTCAGCCCCAGAGCTCAGCATTCTTGTGCTATATAGTACAGTGCAATGGAGATGTTTCTCCTCATCTCTCAATTCCTTGCAGGCTACCAACTTCCTTTTAGTTTAATTTCTCTCTCCACTCCTTTTGTATGTCCTGTCTTTTTTTCTTTTAGTTTTGTAAGCACAGCTAGTCTCATTTATTTATTTTTTACTGACACAAGCTGCTTTTAGTAGACATCCTGAAAATCAGGATACAGATAACTGGAAATAAAGAAAATGAATAATTTCATTACCCGCTTATGACAATTAAGAACCTCTCATAAAATCTTCCTTTCTTCTTCCTCCTCCTCTTCTTCTTTTCTTCCTCCTCCTCCTCTTCCTCTTCCTCTTCTTCATCTTCATCTTCATCCTCCTCCTCTGATTCTTCTTTTTCTTCTTTTTTTTAGCAGTTAACTGGATTGGATTAAGGAAGCTGCAGGAGCTGGACATCTCTGACAATAAGTTGTCAGAGCTGCCCACCCTCTTTCTCCACTGTCTGAAATCCTTGAATGTCCTGAATGCATCCAGGAATAACCTGAAGGTGTTTCCTCAGCCATGGGCCTGTCCCTTGGTAAGTCTGAACTGCAGTCGTGGCAGAGGCCTTGTAAGATGGCACATGAATTGCTTGGCATGGCTGAGGGATGCCACGTCTCTTGGGCTATAATTGGGATTCTGCCCAGTGAGCTCCCTTGAAGAGTAGATAATGCCTTGGGGATTTCTGTCCACATACAGACTTTCTTTTCCCTCTCAATTCTAGAAATGCTGCAAAGCCGCTAGAAATGCAATTGAATTCCTCCCGGATACTTTGGCTGTTTTCTGGAAAAATCATCTCAGGGAAGTGGATTTTTCTGATAATTCCCTGAAAGAAGTTCCCCAGTGTCTCTTCCAGCTCGAAGTAAGTGTCACTACGCTTTTGGTTGCCTTCTTTATTTCAGAGAGTAAATGTAGATATAATCACTTCCCCAATTACTTTTGTGTCCCTAGAGTGGCAGAGGAACCTAGATGGAATTCAGTCGAAAGGGTGCGCTGCGTGATAGGATTCTGAACGGACCTTTTGAACCGGCTACAAAATCTAGCTTTCTAAAGCCACAATACCAGTGTAGTAGTTAAACCACAGAGCCTAGGACTTGCCGATCAGAAGGTCGGCGGTTCGAATCCCCGTGATGGAGTGAGCTCCCATTGCTAGGTCCCTGCTCCTGCCAACCTAGCAGTTCGAAAGCACATCAAAGTGCAAGTAGATAAATAGGTACCGCTCTGGTGGGAAGGTAAACGGCGTTTCCGTGCGCTGCTCTGGTTCGCCAGAAGCGGCTTAGTCATGCTGGCCACATGACCCGGAAGCTGTACGCCAGCTCCCTCGGCCAATAAAGCGAAATGAGCGCCGCAACCCCAGAGTCGGCCACGACTGGACCTAATGGTCAGGGGTCCCTTTACCTTTTAGTTATAGAGAACCAGTGCAGAGTTAGTGATTGGAACAGAGGTAGCTAAACTGTGGCCCTTCAACTTGAGCTGTACTCTAGCTCCCATGAGCCCTGTCAGGAATGATGGGAGTTGTAGTTTGGCAACAGCAAGAAGGCCATGGGTTAGCCACCACTCTGAAAATCAGACTAGGAATGGGAAGAACCAAAATCGGGGCCTCAGCCCAGACAGTCACTGGGCGACCTTGGACCACTCCTTATCTTTTGGTCTCACCTGCCTCACAGGATAAAACCAGGTGAAGGGAGGAGCATGTACACCTCCTCAAACCTCCCTAGAAAGCGGGCAGGATAGAAATGTAAGAAATGAATTCCTGCAGGAGGTTTTTTGTGTGTGTGTTCTCAGACCTCCTTCAGACAGCATTGTTCCATTCGGCTCCCAGCTGTCCTTTAGGGGAATTAATTGCTAATTGGGATTGAATAGTCCACTCTGGAACAAGAAATGGTGAAGTCATTCATGGTGGTTGTGGTGACTGCAGCCCTTGTGTGTTGCTGATGTGGGGAAAAGCTACCCCCTCTCAGAATGGTCTAGTGTATGCCTGTATTTCCAGCAGGGATGTCAGAAGGCAGCTGTCTTTGTCACAATCAGTGCTGTTTCCGTTCCACTGCAGTTTGATCTCTGCCAAAGAGTACATTTTCCCCCCATCTTGCTTTCCACTATTTAACATAAATCATGAAAGTTAGAGATTTAACATAATTAAGGGAGTCGTTATTTCCACACCATTCGTTTCAGTGCAAAGGAAACACAAATTTAAAGGGGGGGAGGAGTCAGTGATTGTGGATTGTTTACAGACTGAAAAACAAACAACAACAGCAAATACCAATTGATATTCTCTGGCCTGATTCCCACTTCAGATGTGGGACAAACAAGCAAACAATTTTCACTTCTGTTTTCGTTCGAATTCTCCAGCAACCATATTTTCCAGTTAACCTCATACTTTCCTGCTAGTGGTCCAGGGAAATCATGAGTCTGATATAACTACAGTGAATTTTGCACCATCAAATGTGCACCCTAATTTTTGCGACATAATTTGGCAAAAAAAGTGTGCATTACCTTCAAGTAAATATGGTATGTGGGGGCTGAAGTTGGCTGCGTAAACTGGCTTTGGATTCCTGAGCATTAGACAGCATAGGATCTGAGCAGCTCTCATAAACACGGCTTTGTTTCCCTGAAGGAATCAAATACATGGCTAGGAAGGCACATGCCAGTCCAGCCTTTGGAACACTAGGTGGTGCTGCTGTGGCATCTTTTCCTGGGCTTATCCTTCCTCTGTGCCACCACTCTTGCTATGCTGTCATACATTATGCTATTGGAACAGTGCAGTGCCACAAGAATTGCAGTAATTTAGAAACCAGAGTCCCTGGCAAGCTTGCAGTGTCTCACCAGCTGGTGATCCAGGGAAATCATGAGTCTGATATGACTACCGTATACCGTTCATATAGGAAGTTGCCTTAAACCAAGTCAGGCCATCAGGCCATCTAGGTCAATGTTGTTGACACTGTCTGGCAGCAGCTCTCATGGTGTTTCACCCAGGAGTCCTTCCCAGCTGGAAGTGTGAAGGATTGAACCTAAGACTATTTCTTTTCATAGCATTAAGCTATACTATGGCTCTTCCCCAGAGATATTCTTTGCTGCTGACCAAAAATATAGGGTCATTCTGTAGATGAAAAGACCTATGAAATCAATGGTTCAGGGGCAAATGTTGACAGCTGTGAAATGCAATTTGAATTTCCTGAGAAATTTGTAGTTCAAGCACAAGTTAACCTATTGTTGAACTAGAATATGAGTTTCCTAACTCCCATTGCAAACTACCAATGCTGTTACACTGGTATAAAGGTAAAGGTAAAGGGAACCCTGACCGTTAAGTCCAGTCGTGGACGACTCTGGGGTTGCGGCGCCCATCTCACTTTACTGGCCGAGGGAGCCGGCGTTTGTCTGCAGACAGCTTCCAGGTCATGTGGCCAGCATGACTAAGCCGCTTCTGGCGAACCAGAGCAGCACACAGAAACGCCGTTTACCTTCCCGCCAGAGTAGTACCTATTTATCTACTTGCACTTTGACGTGCTTTCGAACTGCTAGGTTGGTAGGAGCTGGGACCGAGCAACGGGAGCTCACCCCATCGCGGGGATTCGAACCACCAACCTTCTGTTCAGCAAGCCCTAGGCTCAATGGTTTAGACCACGTGCCACTTAGTCCATATGCCTAACCAAAATGAACCATAAGGGTTCTGCTCTTTGTTGGGGCAGGGATCATTCCTCCCTTTCTCTGTTTTTTGCTCAGGTCATTGAATAAAACACCATACCATATAAATAAGTGGTAGCCAACGAGGTGTCCTCCAGATGTTGTTGAATTACAACTCCCATTATTCCTGATCATTGACTATCCCATCTGGGGCTGATAGGATTTGATGTCCAACAACATCCAGAAGGCTAAGCAAAAATAGCCTTCCAAAATTCTCCATTCTTTTTGTGAGAGGCAAATTCTGGAGCGAAATATTTCGAAGGAGAGAAAGAGGTGAAATTTTCTGATGGTTTTCCCTCAGAAAGCTCTCTCTGGCAAGATTTCAGCTCGCTTAACAGAGATTGGAACTCTACTGTTATTTCAACTTGGTGGAAGGAGGAAGTGGATGAGCTAAGTCATGGTGAAGTCTGTTGCTTCCTTCAACAATGTTTAAAGAGTATTAAAATCGTTGCACCCACACATCTTGGATGGCAAGATCAGGTAGTCCAGTTTGCCAAATAATCTCCAGGCGTGGACTGAGATTCCTGCAATGGTTCAGGATAAGCTCAAAAAAAGTTTCTTTTGTTGTTGTTGTTTTGTTGTTGTTGATAATTTTCAGCTCTACCTTTGTTGTGTGAAACTACTGGAACTTTTAACCGATTATCCATTACTGACCCCTCAAAACTGTCGCTTCCCCTTTCAGGCAATGGTGTCCTTGAAACTCTCAGGAAACCGCTTAGTCACATTACCTTCTCAGGAGAAGTGGACTTGCAGGCAGCTGAAATCGCTTGATCTCTCGAGGAACCAGCTTGGAAAGTGAGTTCTTCGTGTTGGTTTTGGAGCAGTCCCACAGAGGAGGGCTCTCTGGTTCATTGGTCTTTGTTTGCATTTGCCTACAGAGCTGGCGAAGGGTGCAGAACTAAGCGGATTTCATTTTTCACTACAAGGAGCAGAGCACGTTCTGGCACCGATTCGGGTATGGAATGCGGGGACCGAAGGGCTGGGCGGGAGCTTATGAGGAGGGCGGGGGCTGGTTGCAATCCATTGGTCATGGCAAGGAGGATCCAGCATGCAAATTATTATCATCACTATTCTTCTCTTCATTATTGCCCTTCCTCTGCTCACAGAGAGTTGTGTCCAACTAAGTCGTTGCATGAGCAGAATGACTTCTGCTTGCACCATGGGACTTCCACTCCATCCTGCCTGGATAGCTCAGTTGGTTAGAGCATGGTGTTGATAATGCCAAGGTTGCAAGTTCAATCCCTGTATGGGACAACTGCATATTCCTGCTTTTGCAGGGGATTAGACTAGATGATCCTCAGGGTCCCTTCCAACTCTTATGATTCTATGATCCCCTACTTCCTCCAAAAGGAAAAAAAAAATCTGCTCTGCTGATTTCCCTAGCTCCCCAGAGCAGTTGTGAAGGCACACAGTGGGAGGAGAGGAAAGAAAGTTCAATTGTGCAAGCAGAAGCCATTCCTCTTGTGCATTGACTGAGACCCCATCCGCATCACACATTTAAAGCAGTATTACACCACTTTAAGCAGTCATTGTTTCCCCTAAAGAATCCTGGGAAGTATCTTAAAGAGGTCAAGGGTTCTTAGGAGACCCCTATTCCCATCACAGAACTGCTGTTCCCTCTTCCCAGGGAACTCTGGGAATGGTATCTTTGAGAGAGGAATAGGTAAAGGTAAAGGGACCCCCGACCATTAGGTCCAGTTGTGACTGACTCTGGGGTTGTGGCACTCATCTTGCTTTATTGGCCGAGGAAGCCGGCATACAGCTTCCGGGTCATGTGGCCAGCATGACTAAGCCGCTTCTGGCGAACCAGAGCAGCGCACGGAAATGCCGTTTACCTTCCCGCCAGAGCAGTACCTATTTATCTACTTGCACTTTGAGGTGCTTTCGAACTGCTAGGTTGGCAGGAGCAGGGACCGAGCAACTGGAGCTCACCCTGTCGCCGGGATTCGAACCGCCGACCTTCTGATCGGCATGTCCTAGGCTCTGTGGTTTAACCCACAGCGCCACCCGCATCCTGAGAGGGGAATAGGGATCTCCTTAAAACACTTTTCAAAACACCTTTTTAAAGTTTAAAACGCCTTTCAAAACACAGGAATAAGGTGGGTCCTTAAAATATACATCTCGAGTATCAAAAGTCAGGGGAAAGAGGTACATCTAGAGCATTCACTGGAAGTTATAGGCTGAAGGGAAGGAGGCGGTCTTTTTGATATTTGGGACCTGAGTCGTTTAGGGCTTTAAAAACACCGATATGAGCACCTTGAATTGGGCCCAAAAACAAACTGACAGTCAATGCAGCTGTTTTAATACGGGGTCATATGAGATGTAGATGGAACTCCAGCCAGTAATCTGACGGCTGCATTTCCCCGAGTTGTCTTCAAGGGGCAGCCCCACATAGAGCGCATTGGAGTAATCCCGTCTGGAAATTACCAGAGCATGGACTACAGTGGCCAAGTCATCTCTGTCTGAAAAGGGCCATAGCTGCTTTGAATGCATAGCGTAGATGGGGCCTTAGTTGGATTCAACCCAGAGGCATGTAAAATCAACTGCCCTGTGAGCAAGGGGAGAGAACGACAGCAAGGCGATCTGTCATTGTCTCCACCTCTTTAAATAGGCCATTTTAAAGCCCACATTCACTGCTAATGATTTGCTGTTGTTTCTATTCATCTGACTTAAGTTGCTCAGGGAGCCTTGTCTGTGGAAGAAGACTGCCATAAAAAATGTGTGATGTTCTTGTAAGCATTCGGAGGTTGAAACAGGCTCTCCTGTGTTCTCCTACTGTAGATTTTTATCAAGGGGTTAGAGAATGCATCGTTTATCCTCTCTTGAGGCAGTTTCCTGGTCTTTCCATAAATGTTCTTTTGTGTATCTTCCTTGAGAAGACTGATCTATTACCGAACAGGTGGCAACATATCTGAGGCAACATGTCATCTATCTCAGACCAATTATGATAAATTAGTTCCTACCTTGTCAGTGTCAGTAATTAATTAGTGCTACTGACATTCTGATTTAGGGTTGTAGCCAGCTACGTTTTACTCAAGAGTAGACCCACTGAAATTAATGGGCCCAAGCAAGTGGTGTTCATTAATTTCAGTGTGTCCACAGTGAGTGCATTTTGCATTGGATGCAACTCACTAGTGCAAAGGCAAAACGTGTCAGTTTTACTGTTGCACAACAGTTGAATCCATCACATCGGTTTTGCTAGTAGAAACAAACTCGTGGCACAACAGACAGAACAGTCTATTGTGCAGTGAAGTTACCCATCACCTGCTTATGTATTTACTTGTGCTACATCGTTCCACCAGTGCAAAACATTTCACCAGAGGAGCAAGTGTGCTGTTGAGGTTAACTTAGCATTCCAGTTGAAGCAGCCCCCTATGTTTTGCGCTTTGTTTTTTGGTCAATCAACTGTAATGAAGACAATGATTGACAAAAAAATAAATAACACAGGAAGGTGCCTTATGGCAGTTCAAACGATTTGCTGTACTGTTTCTGGAGCCTGCTAAAATCCTTTTTTGTCTACCCAGATCTGTAAAGATGATACGTGTTTCAGTATGTAATTTTATTATGCAAATATTTTAAACTGCTGGTTTTTGTCTATATTTTGCACAAAAAAGTTAACTTGTTTTTAACTCTCAGCTTTTGTCAACAGTTTCAATGGATAGTATTCAGCTAAGTTTTACTCAGTGTAGACCTACTGAAATGAATGGCCCTAATTTAGCCATGTGTTCATTAATTTCAGTGGGCTGCTCTGGAGTAGAACTTAATTGAATACCACCCAGGTATTCTGTTTTAGTTTACATAAAACATATGTTTTAATTTGCATCAACCACCTAGACATTTTTACAGCTAAGCGGCATGCAAATTCTGTTGGCTAAATAAAATTCTGTTAAACAAACTGCCCGCGACTTCATACTTCTGCATTCATCTTCCACATTTGCTTGCTGTTTGCCTTTCCCCCCCTCCCCAGGTTCCAACTTGGAGTTTCCTGAATTCCTGTGCGAGTCTCTGGAAGTCTTGTGTCTCAATGACAACCATCTAGACTCCGTCCCGCAGTCAGTCTGCCTTCTGAAAGGCTTATCGGAGCTTTACTTGGGAAAGTAAGTTCAGGTATCGCACACTGTGGGATAGGTGGCTGGTGTCATGGAAACTCTTCCTGCTATCCCTTGATAATCCTTGAATGTTTCATCTGATCCTGCCTGTGTGCTCTGCAGAGGCAGTGTGGTGCACTGGCTAGAGCACAGGGGCACAACCTGCACCCCTCAGCTTGTGCCCCCTGGTCTAATTTCAAAAGCCCTCTGCCAGTGACCAGTTTAGGAGATATCTGACCGACTGCTGGAGGAGAGAGAGGAAAAGGGCTGACCTTGCCCACTTTCCTCCCTCTGGCCCTGCACATCTCTGGCCCTTGACAGATGTTATGTACTGAGCTGAATCCTAGAATAATAGGATCCAGAATGCAGCAGTCTGATTGGTCCACAGGAGCCACCCAATCCAGCTCCAGGTGGAAGTGAATCAGCGACCTGATTGGCCTGCAGGAGCAGCCAATCAGGCTTCTGGAGGAGGTGAATCCGCAACCTGATTGGCCTACAGGAGCAGCCCGGAATTAGCCAATCACACAGGAGCCATTGTGTAAATAATGTATTTACTTAGACGTTTTGGGGAAAGTTTCATTCATTGCTACTATGAGCTGAATAAAGAGCATGAAATTCACACTCGACTCAGAGTATATTTCAACAGATTATCTCTGAGGGGGATTGCCGCACTCTGCAAAAAGAAAAAAGGTTGCCCGCCCATTAATCAGCGTGTCTGACTAGGGCTTAATTCACACGGAACATTTAAAGGACTATGATACCACTTTGAACAGTCATGGCTTCCCCTAAAGAATTCTGGGAGCTGTGGTTTGTTAAAGGTGCTGAGAGCTCAAGTCGGTAGAGCATGAGACTCTCAATCTCAGGGTAGTGGGTTCGTGCCTCACGTTGGGGGAAAAAGATTTCTACATTGCAGGGTGCTGGACTGGGTGACCTACGTGGTCCCTTCCAACTCTATTCATTGGTACCTTGGGTTACAGACGCTTCAGGTTACAGACACTTCAGGTTACAGACTCTGCTAACCCAGAAATAGTACCTCGGGTTAAGAACTTTGCTTCAGGATGAGAACAGAAATCGTGCGGTGGCAGCAGGAGACCCCATTAGCTAAAGTGGTACCTCAGGTTAAGAACAGTTTCAGGTTGAGAACAGACCTCCAGAACGAATTAAGTTCTTAACCCGAGGTACCACTGTAATTTTATGATTCTGGGAGTAATTAAAAGGCCCCTGTTGCCTTGCAGAGCTACAGATCCCAGAGTTCCATGTGGAGAGGGGTTGGTTGTTAAACCACTCTGGGAACTGTAGTTTTGTGAGGGGGAACAAGGGCCTCCAATAACTCTAGGACTGGGGACTCACAGGTTCAACTCAGCCCTCAGCCATGAAGCTCATTGAGTGACCTTGGGCCAATCAGAATCTGACCATGGGCCAGGCCTAACCGCCTGATAGATTTGTTGTGAGGTAAAAAGAATAAAACTGAGTGAAGGAGAACTACTTGTGCCACTTTTGACTCATCAGTGGAAGGTGCGATGTAAAGCAAACGTAATTTCGCTTTTAGGTGAAAATGGGTGGTAATTCTCGGTTTTGCCCATTCCTCCAGAAATTTCCTCACCTGCCTCAAACTTTATCTAACAGGACATCCAGAGTTTGACAAGGGGCAGGTTGGCCAACACATTTACATTAATGCTTTCTGTGTGGCCCCAAACCCCAAGAAATTTCATTAGTTTGATCACTTCTTTCCAATTGAATTATTTAAAGGTTTACACCCAAGCTGGAGCCCTTTACGTTTCACCTCAAATGTTTGCATTTGTTAAAATTTGGTGGCCACCATCATGTAGATACCCCTCTCAAGGAAGGCTATTGATTGGCGGATGGGTGTGTTGTTTTTTTGCGCAGTAACGCCAGCATACAAGAACTTCCTCCAGAACTTGGCCAGCTGGTTAATCTTTGGCAGCTGGATATTGAAGAGCTAAATATTGGCAACCTCCCTGCAGAGATCAGAAAAGAGGGTGAGTCTGCTTCCTCCCTGTGGTTTTATTAATATCAGCTGTTTGAACAGAGAGAGAATCCAAACCCAGCCTGGGTGAATTTATTATTGAATGGTGGAGAAAACAGGGTGGAATCTGTCCAGGCTGCCGTTGTTACAAAGTGGAATTGTAAACCTTTCCATGCGATCCAAATTCGACTTGATCAGTTTGTTCTCAGGGCAACCCTTTTCTGTCATGAGGTAGGTCATAAAGGTCCCTTTTGTGTTGCACATATTTTGTGTCACACGTGCAGCAGCACTTTTAGGGATGCTGCTGATGTGGTTATGGATGTTTTATTTTGCACTGTTATCTTTTGTCTTGACTATTTCTGTGAAAGTGTTTTTAAAAGTGACATATCAGCGATATGGTGGTTAGGGGTGGAGGAGACTGGTTTGAACTAATGTACACATTTCTTTCAAAGCTGTTTCTCCTGATGTAATGCATTTTTAGAGGTTGCTTTCACTGAAATCGCTTTTATTCGCACACGTACCTGATATATGCATTTTTGTACACATTGTTTTGCTTGGAGAGCTGCATTGCAAAATTCGAATAAGTGTGGGTTTCAAAGGATGGCTGTGTTTTGGATCTCATATTGTTTCGGAAAGTGTGCATTTGATAGATTTGCATTTAAATGTGAACTGGATCGAATTTCTCCCCTACCCCTATGTGGCAGCATAAAAGTACTTTTATAAATAAGTCCGCAATTAGAAATTACAGTTCCTTGGCCTGGATGAATTAAGTACGCATTCATGTTCATTTTTAAAGGTCATGTTAGAGCATCCACTTGAGATTTCCCTCCCACCCCCATCATTTTAATCCAGCCTAATCAGCCCCAAAGGCTATTTGCTTCCTCGTTAAAAACATTTCTATTTGAATTGGGAATTGTTGTCCCCACCCATGCTCTTTAATTCAAGGTGTGTTAGAACAATCCTTGCAAATCCCTCTTATACTGCTGTGATCAGTTAAGCAGTTTTTCCATCCCTTCACTTGCTAGGCCCCAAGACCATTTTAGCTTACTTGCGAGCCCAGCTACGCAAAGCAGAGAAATGCAACCTGATGAAAATGATTGTGGTGGGTCCTCCGCGCCAGGGCAAGTCCACACTGATTGAGATCCTGCAGACAGGGAAAGCTTCTCATTCGATGCCCAGCGACGGCACCATCCAGACCACAAAGTGGGAGCTTCAGAGACCGGCTGGACTCAAATCAAAGGTAAATCAAAGGTAAAATAAAGCTTAGACTTGGAGTGTCAAGCTCAAGGCAGGGCAGGACAAGGCTTCCTCCTTGTCAAAGGGACAAACCAAATACAGTGGTGCTTTGGAAGTCAAACAGAATCCGTTCTGGAAGTCCATTCGACTTCCAAAACGTTTGGGAACCAAGGCGTAGCTTCCGATTGGCTGCAGGAAGCTCCTGCAGCCAGTCAGAAGCCACGGAAGCTGCATCGGATATTCAGGTTCCAAAGAATATTCGAAAACTGGAACAATCACTTCCAGTTTTTGATCGTCCGGGAGCCAACGCGTTTGACTCCCAAGGCGTTTGAAAACCAAGTTACGACTGTAGAAAGATGGCGGGGGACTGGTATACGGGACATATTCACCCCTCCAAACACATGTTTGTGGCATCCCTAGATACCCCCAAAATTTGTAATTTTAAAACATTTTAAAATGTTTTGAATGCTCCTTTGGGTACCCGACTGTGATGCCATGATATCAGCAGGGGTTTTTTTGCCCCACTGAAAGAAGAAATTGCATTTTTTTATTTTAAAACCTATGTTTTCCACAAAGGTCAACGAGGCTTCCGGCTTCCTTTTCTTTTGCCTTTCCAGCAACTGGTATTCAGTGATAGACTGCCACTGAACGTGGAGGTTCTGCGTGGCCCTCTAGGCCAGGGGTCAGCAACCTTTTTCAGCCGTGGGCCATCCACTGTCCCTCAGAGCATATGGTGCGCCGGACAATATTTTGAAAAATAATAATGAACGAATTCCTATGCCCCACAAATAACCCAGAGATGCATTTTAAATAAAAGCACACATTCTACTCATGTAAAAACACCAGGCAGGCCCCACAAATAACCCAGAGATGCATTTTAAATAAAAGGACACATTCTACTCATATAAAAACAAACTGATTCCCGAACCATCCATGGGCCGGATTGAGAAGGCGGTTGGGCCGCATCTGGCCCATGGGCCTTATTGCCTACCCCTGCTCTAGGCCAATAGCTGATTTGATAGTCCTGTCCTCCTTGACTTGGTCCAACCCCCATAAAAAGGCATGGATGTCTTCACCAGGTGCTTATTACCTGATTTGTTTCCCTGTGTCTGCAACCTTTAAAGCTGCCTAAGCTAGTGATCATTACCACATATTCTGGCACTGAATTCCATAAATTAGGAATGTGTTGTGTGAAGAAGCACTTGCTTTTGTCCACTCCAAATCCATTGCCAATCAATTTCATTGGGTCACACACACAAACACACACATATTCTAGCACTATGAGAGAGGGAAGCCCTATTCAGGGCAGTTGTTTTCTGAGTCAAGTCAAAATGTGAGGGGGAGAACAGGGACAAGCAAGCTAGCTGGGCCCTCTGCCACAGTCCCTGTTGCTCTCAAATTTGTGATGGGGATGGCATTAAATGGAGTTAATGCACTCATCCCAGGCTACCTGAAGGAGGGTCTCCACCCCCATCGTTCACTGAGGTCCAGCTCCGAGGGCCTTCTGGCGGTTCCCTCACTGCGAGAAGTGGAGCCAAGGGGAACCAAGCAGAGGGCCTTCTCGGTAGTGGTGCCCGCCCTGTGGAATGCCCTCCTATCAGATGTCAAGGAGATAAACAACTGCCTGACTTTTAGAAGACAACTGAAGGCCACCCTATTTAGGAAAGTTTCTTAATATTTGATGTTCTATTGTTTTATTATTTTTAATATTAATATTCTGTCAGGAGCTGCCCAGAGTCGCTGGGGAAAGCCAGCCAGATGGGCAGGGTATAAAATTGTTGTTGTTGTTGTTATCATCATCATCATCATCCCCACTTTTCCCTTTCTTGCATTGAACTGACCCTGAAGGCAAACACTTTAAGAAGGTTCCATGGCTCAGGTCATCCTTCTACTCACAGAGGGCAACAAGGATGGCAGTAGAGATGGAGTTGGCACACTTGTTCTGCCCTCTCCCCCTCAACCTGGAAGACAAATGGGCCTGGAGAGAAAGAGAAGATCTGTATCTGCTTTTTTCCTCATTGTTCCATGTGTGAGTGTACACACATGGAAAAAGGACTCATTTTGCTGGACATGGAATTGCCGCTCTGGGGCATTTTGGATAGGACCCTTAGTCCTGTCATCTGGATCCACTCTGAATTGGGCTCGGCCTTTTGAGGCCTCTCAGCCCTGCAGCATGGTGAAGATGTCATCGCTGTAAGCTTAGGGCCAGCTCTGACTTGAAGCCAGTCCAGAATCTAAGCATCCAGATGGAAATTAATTTGGCTTATGTATTTATTTATATTTAGATTAAGATGTCAAAAGAAAACACATTTCAGAGCACAGGTGCCCTCACAGCAGAGTGTGTGAAATTCCACAATAAACCATAATAATGCATAACATCGTCAAATCGAAACCACATTGCATCTCTCAAAAATGAACAGGGCCAGTGGTTAATACAATGCAGATTAAAGTGCCGTATGACTCAAGTAGTAGCTGTTTTCAACAACTGACAATGATACAGCCACGTATATTTCAAGGGGGGAGAGTTCCACAGACATGGAACTGCCACCAATAAAGTCTTGCTCCTGGTTCCCCTCATTGCAACATCTCTTGTCAACACCTTGAGCATCTTTTTACCTTTATCTGAACAGATGTTAGGCAGTCCTGCTTCGCTTCACCAACAGATTTTGTTCTTTTGTAAAATGTACTGGCTGGTTTGAGGGAAGTGGGGTGTGGGTTGATGGCAATAATGTTCCTCTCCCCTGACATATGAAGGAAAGGAGAAGGGCCCTTCCCAGCCAAAATTAGCCGTGCACTCTTGAGAGACAGAAAAGGGCCAATTGATTTAATGAAGGAACGGGAGCACTGCTTCTTCCCCAGTCTCGGCAGATGACGCCTGCCTTAGCAGTAAGCAATTAGCTTACATTTCCTGTGGAAGTGATAGCCGCCCTTGACAAGCCCTTCTTTCTTCAGCTGGAGCATGAATACCCATTGATACCCTACTGTCGAACATTATGAAGCTACTTTGCGGGAGGGAGGGGCGGTGCACGAGTTTATTATGCATTGACTATTATCTCCATGTGATTTACTTTTAACCGCTATGGATGTTGTCTCTCTCTTTCAATGTTTCTCTTTGTCCAATTAGGTTGATTCAGTTGAGTTTAACGTCTGGGATATTGGAGGCCCTGCCAGTATGTCGACAGTCAATCAGTGTTTCTTCACAGATAAGGCATTGTATGTCGTCGTCTGGAACTTGGCACTGGGGGAAGAAGCTGTTGAAAATCTTCAGTTCTGGTTGCTAAATATTGAGGTGAGTAAGGCGTCACTACTGCCTTGCAGGACTTCTCTTTATGCACTGGTGGGAGAATCCAGTCTACCGGTGGAGGTAGTGCAGACTAGTGTCAGAATTTCATTAATAAGACTTTGGGGCTATGTACGCATTAGCAGTTTGAAACGCTGTGAAGTGACTCGAAACAAAGGGAGGAAACGGTTCTCCCTGTGTTTCAAGTCACATGTTTTATGTCACTGTACATGCCAGAGAGGAGGTGGAAATGTCTTCCCCTGATGCACATTACCTGATTTGTTTCCCTATTTGTGCAACTTCTTCAAACTCCAATTCAGTGAAGCTTGTCATCTGAGCATGTGCTGTTATCTACGCAGTGGCTATCTGAAATGTACACACCTCAGCTTAACTGCAGCTTAGGTTTTGAAATCGGCTGGAAGCTGGTTTGAGGGAAAACCCTTGGAACATTTATCAAAAGACTTCAGGGTACATATTGATTGTGTACTCTACTTCATACACCAGCAGTGGGAGCACACTGAAAGCTGAAGTAAACACTAATGCGTACACAGCCTTGGCTAAAACCACCATTCACTTTTACTGTTCCATCTTGAAATTCTAATCACTTTGGACTGAAAACAGACTTTCTCTGGACCTCATGTACGCCAACTGTTTACTTCATAAATATGTATCTAAACACTTTCAAGAAATGCATCTGAGAGTGGCAGTGTTCCTCTTGTAAACATTTGCCTGCACATGGTAGAGCCAGGAGGTCCTATTCTCTTCCTTCTGATTTCTTACTGCGTCAAGGATGAGCAAGTTCTGATGGATGTAATCCAATCTTATGGACAAGTCAATGAGAGTGACTAGGGCCAGGTCCGCATCATACATTTAAAGCACACCCAACACACATTTAAAGCATGTGACTTCCCCCAAAGGATCCTGGGAGCTGTAGTTTGCCACTCACAGAGTTACAGTTCCTATCATGCTTTTGGTGGGAAATAACATGCTTTAAATATCCATTGGATGTACTTCGAATATATAGTGTGGATCTGCCCTAGTCCTCAAAAAAATGTTACTTTTCTCCTGCAAACAAATCAGAATGAATATGCAATAAAGGAGAGAACATAAAACTTCTGTACAAGCTTTGTGCAAAGGAATTGGGACAGATGCTCAATAAACAGGCCACCTTGCATTTGAACCCGGTGAAGCTTGCTTGGGCCAAATAAAAATTAAACATTCTTTCTAGGCCAAGGCTCCAAATTCAGTTGTGCTGGTAGTGGGGACACACCTTGACTTGATCGAAACTAAATTCCGCGTTGAACGGATCGCCACCCTGAGAGCGTATGTCCTGGCTCTGTGTCGATCTCCTTCTGGCCCGAGAGCCACTGGCTTCCCGGACATCACAATGAAACACTTACAGTAAGTACGATGTCACATTCTCCCACCCACCCCAAATTGTAAATGCCACAAACTCTCTGCAGTGCTTAGTATATAAAACCAATAAATTGCGATAAGGTTGCATCTTGCATTGACTCGCCAGCCACCTCTTTCCAGCTATATTGATGCTAGCTCTGATGACTCAGCATTTGGAGACTGAATCAGAATACTAGCATGGTTACAGCCATGCCTCTGGTACTTAGGCAGTAGATGAATCGGGTCCAACAGCAATCCATACCAGCTAGGATACTTGCAGCCCAAGTACAGCATCCTCAGTACAGATTCTTTGGGTTCTTGATGCTAATATATTGCTACAGACTCACCAGTGCCTTGGCCAAACCCCTTTTTTCTTTTCTGCAATTCAGTTATATTGTATTATGGGTTCAGTGTCTTGTGCTTGTGTGGCCTGAGTAGACTGATTTCTCTCTCGGAAAGCCTTTCCCACTTAAACGTGCAACTTCGCCGGCCCACTCATCATCATAGAGCAAGACTTGTGTCTTCTGTCTCTAGGAAAATTCCGCTCCAAACTATTGTCCTCCAAACTTGACTGAGGCTTCTTTCAGAACCTTCTTCTAAAGCCCAGTCAAGTCCCAGCAGCCCTGATTCTTTATCCTCTGCTGCCATCTCCTCGTGTACTTCCTAAGACCATAAGACGAGCTCTGCTGGATCAGGCCAAAGGCCCATCTAGTCCAACATCCTTTTCTCAAAATGGCCAACCAGATGTTTATGCAAAGCCTGCAAGCATGACCTGAATTCAGCAGCCCTCCTCCCACTGCATATCTCTTCAAGGGGAGTGGTGGAATGGAATGGCAGGCAGATGGTAAAAATGGCAGTGTGGAGAAACAGCCATTTGGTTGAGTAAGGATACCTTACCTTCGTGTTTTCTCTTTGCAGTGAGCTCTCCTGCAGGACTCTGGAAGGCCTGGATGGGCTGCGCCAGCTGATCTACAGCATCACTTGCCATATGAAGGACGTTGGGAGTTCTATTTGCTCACAGAGACTCGTCGGGAGATTGGTGTGTACCTTTCCCTGCAGTGGAAGACCACGTCAGCTTTGGATGGTTAAAGGTTTCCCGTATGAGCCCTATTCAGAATGAATGCTACTGGCTGTGATGGCTGTGCTCTTCTTCCGTACCTAGAGGCAGTAATGCTTCTGAATACCAGTTGCTGGAAAGTACAGGAGGGGAGAGTGGTCAAGTCTTGCTTGTGGGTTTTTGACAGGCATCTGGTTGGCCACTGTGAGAACAGGATGCTGGACTAGATAGGTCATTGGCCCGATGCAGCAAGACTCTTCTTCTGTTCTTTCATACTGGGGATGTGGGTGGCGCTGTGGTCTAAACCACTGAGCCTCTTGGGCTTGCTGATCGTAAGGTTGGCAGTTTGAATCTATGTGACGGGGTGAGCTCCTGTTTTTTTGTCCCAGCTCCTGCCAACTTAGCAGTTTGGAAGCATACCAGCACGAGTAGATAAAGAGGTACCACTCTGGTGGGAAGGTAAATGGTGTTTCCATGCGCTCTGGCACTCGTCACAATGTCCTGTTGTGCCAGAAGCTGTTTAGTAATGCTGGCCACATGACCTGGAAAGCTTTCAGCAGACAAACGCCAGCTCCCTCGGCCTGAAAGTGAAGATGAATGCTGCACCCCTTAGTCGAATTCTACTGGACTTAACAGTCCAGGGGTCCTTTAACTTTAGCTTTAATACAGTTCAGAAGCAATATGTTGATCAATGTTCAAGTGGGGGCTGCACTCTCACCCCTGATGTCACAAACAGCAGGTTATACCTGTGAAGGTTTCCTCGTAGCAGAAGTTTTCACTGAATGCACAGACTTTCGGATTGGAGGTGGGAGCAAGGAAGACACCTGGGTTGGTAGCTTGGTGCAGGCTGCTCAGTGTAGACCTGCTCATGCATCAATTTACTTCTGCACAGAACTGTGGTGTAACCTCATTCTCATGTAAATGGGGGCAGGAATGTTTCTGATTGAATTATAGCAGTAGAAGGAAACTTCTCTTTCCCTTCTCCATGTTAGAGAATTCCAACAAAAGGAGCAGCAGAAATTGCCAATGTTCACTTATTTGTCCCACATCCGGAACTTAAGTCAGTGCAGCAAATATGATCATCCTGTAATGATTAGGACAGAATAATTTAGTGACATTATAACTAATGTAAGTAATATAATTTTGTCACAATGGACAGTGACATGAATAACGTTTTCTTGGCAGAAGGCATACTGCAGTGGAAAGGAAACACTGATGATGATGAAGAAAGTGGGGCAGAATGAAAAACAATGCCTTCTTTATTCACCATTTCCCCCTCTCAGTTGCATATTCTGCTTCAGAAACATTTGTTGGGAATTTGTTTCTGAATCCTCAAATGAATAAATGAAATGCTATATACAAATGAAAAGAGACACGGTATTCAGAGCATAATTGATTTTCAATGTAATTTAACAGATCCCAAGGAGTTACTTGAGCCTCCAAGGATCCATCATAGCTGAACAACTGAACAGAAGTCAAAACGACAACGTACAGTATCTAACAGACAAGGAAATAGAGCAAATCGTAGAGAACACTCGAGGCAATGACATCAAAGACTATGAGGACTTGCAATCTGGTATTCCTGCATGTAGTAACTTATTGGAAACCAGCATGTTCGGTATTTGTGAATGTGTGTCTTTTCTTGTGTGCGTACACTTTGCTTGAGGATGCATCACCCTGAATTTACAAAAGGACTGCCTGAAACATTATTTCACAGCTTGACGACTAAGATAATCCACAGGAGTGTTATTAGCCATTCAAAGAGTTGGTGGAGAAACCATGGTGGCTTCAGTTACTTACCCAACGGAGCTTTCTCATGTGGTCAGCTGGCTAACTAATCATGGGAAACCCTGCATTGATGTCACTCATAGGAGCATAGGAAGCTGCCTTATACTGAAACAGACCATTGGTCCACCTTGCTCGGTATCATCTACACCAGCGTTCTTCAACGCTGGGTCCCCAGATGCTGCTGGACTACAACCCCCATCATCCCCAGCCACCTTAGCCCAATGGTCAGGAGTGATGGGAGTTGTAGGCCAACAGAACTAGGGACTCAACTTTGAAGAACAGCAACGTTGGGTTTCCCAAACATGGGTCTCCAGCTGTTTTTTTGACTACAATTTCCATCATCCCTGACTACTGGTCCTGCTAGCTAGAGCTGATGGAAGTTGTAGTCCAAAAACATCTGGAGACCCATGTTTGGGAAACCCTGGTCTACACAATCTGGCCCTGCAGGATTTCAGACAGGAGTCTTTTCCAGTTCTACTTAAGAGATGTCAGGGATTGACTTCTTGTGTGTAAAGTGAATGGTGTAATGCTGAGCTGCAGCCCTTCCTACAGCCCCCCAATGTCTCTTAAATTTTCCAGAATCAGACTTTCAGAGCTTGCGGATAAGTTGAATACAGCCCAGTGGAGAGGTTGATAAACCTCCTTCCTGTGTCCATAACTTACCTGGTGCCTTCCTTTCTCCACAGCAATCAATTTCCTGATCGAAACAGGGACACTTCTTCACTTCCCAGACACGAGCCACGGATTGAGAAACCTTTATTTCCTTGACCCCGTTTGGCTGTCGGAGTGCCTGCAAAGGATCTTCAACATCAAAAGCTCAAAGTCGGTTGCGAAGAACGGTGTGATCAGAGCGGAGGACCTCCGGATGCTGCTGGTCGGGACGGGGTTCACCACACAGACGGAGGAACAGTATTTCCAGTTCCTTGCCAAATTTGAAATTGCACTGCCGGTAGCCAACAACAGGTACACTGGTAATTGTCGCCGGGGCGTGGCTAATTCAGGCAGTTGGAGACAAACTGAGACAGAGACAAGCCACATCCTCACCATACATTTAAAGCACCATGATACCATTTTAACAGTCATGACTCCACCCCCCCCAAGAATTCTGGGAACTGTAGTTCATCAAGGGTTCTGAGAGTTGCTAGGAGCCCCCTATTGCCCTCATAGATGCTCCTTTTATGTCAAATCAGCGCTTCAGTTCTCAGAGTTCCCTGTGGTATTGATGGTTAAACCGCTGTGGGAATTGTAGCTCTGTGAGGGTCTCCTAGCAACTCTCCACATTCTTGACAAGCTACAGTTCCCAAGATTCTTAGCGGGGAGCCATGGCTGGTAAAGTGTTATCACGGCGCCTTATAGTGCGGATGTGGCCAGAGAGAGGTGGCCTCAGGTGTTCATTGCAGGTGTTAGCGCAACAAACTCCAAAGTGTGCATGTCAGGTGCTGGCTTTTGGATGGCCTTCAACTAAGCTTTACTTAATGCAGACCTATTGAAATTAATGGCCCTTGCGTAGTCATGTTCATTGATATCTCTGGGTCTCCTCTGAGTAAAACTTAATTGAATACCACCCTTTTGTGTCCAAACCCTTTGGATTCAGTTCGATGGCAGAGGTTGGATGGCCATCTGTCATGGATGCTTTAAGCTGCGATTCCTGCATTTCAGGGGGTTGGACTAGATGACCCACAGGGTCCCATCCAACTCTTTCTATGATTCGGTGATGAAGTGCTGCAGCATATAGGGCGGTGATGTTCCCTGGATCCCTCACAGCTCTGGTCTGGGGAAAACCCTGGTCAGGCCGCCATCAGACCCCACCAGCTCTGCTCTGCCCCGTCCTTGAATGCATAACTGTGACAGAGACACTGGTGTCTGTCATCACGTGTGGATGCTGTAGTTGACATTCCTGCATTGCAGGGGGTTGACCCTCAGGGTACCTTCCAGTTCCATGATTCTATGGTTGTTGTTGTTTAGTCGTTTAGTCGTATCCGACTCTTCGTGACCCCATGGACCAGAGCACGCCAGGCACTCCTGTCTTCCACTGCCTCCCACAGTTTGGTCAAACTCATGCTGGTAGCTTTGAGAACACTGTCCAACCATCTCATCCTCTGTCGTCCCCTTCTCCTTGTGCCCTCCATCTTTCCCAACATCAGGGTCTTTTCCAGGGAGTCTTCTCTTCTCATGAGGTGGCCAAAGTATTGGAGCCTCAGCTTCAGGATCTGTCCTTCCAGTGAGCACCCAGGGCTGATTTCCTTCAGAATCAATAGGTTTGATCTTCTTGTAGTCCAGGGGACTCTCAAGAGTCTCCTCCAGCACCATAATTTCATTTACACACATATACAACCTGAGCATAGAATGGAGTGACTCACAGCATTAACACTAACCATAGATCTGGTTTCCCCATTAGGTTTCCAGCACAGAGCAAGACGAGTCTAGGTCTTCCAGCATCAGCCAAAACTCACAGCTGTCACATACACAGCCCTTCTTGGTCTGTTCTTCATCCTAGGATGAAGTGGCATTCAGCCAAGTAAGGTGGGCAAAAGCTTGCCCATTTGTCACTATGGCAACAGAGCAGACCTCTTTCATATGGTAAATAGCAGTAAGTTGGCCAGTCAAAGCCATTATCTTCCCAAGAAACTTGTCTGGCCCTTTTAGGGGGCTCTTCTACTAGATTCGAAACATGCATTGGAAGGGAACCAAGGGATCATCCAGACTGATCCCCCCCAAAAACCCCTCCAAACTCATAACAATATATTAGTAGACAGCATGAGGAAAGTTGGTTAGATTTGCTAAGGTTCTCACCTTCACTGATGGATCGTGTCCTTATCACAGACACGCACACACATGCCTCAGATTTGTCTGTTCCGGATAGTTTCTAAAAATAATTACAAGGAACTTGCTCTCGTGAAAAACACATCAGCCATTGTTTCTGCTAAGGAAATTGGGCCTTAGACCTTTGGGTCTGACCAAAAGGAATTTGGGAAGATCTGTGCCAGACATGTCCTGGAGAAAGGAGTTCTTAAATGCTGACATAACGAGCCTCTGTGAATTAAAAAACAAAAGCTTTGCTTGACACCCATGAAGCTGGCAGCTTATCTGCTTCAGAAGCATTTAGATTTCTTTGTAGGCTTGCTTCTCTCTCTCTCTTTTCTGCAAAGGCAATTCTTGTAGGGAAACAGGTTATTCCTTTGTCCCTTGCCCCCTCAGCACTCTCTTCAAGCCCCCCCCCCTTATTTTGCTGCATCTTCAGGCAAATCTTGTTGCCATTTATTGATGCCGTTTCTATGGTTAGTTACCTCTGACAGGCTGCTAGCAATTACCGTCTAGATTGCCTGACGGAATTGCAACCCTGTCATTGGCCAAGGAGGGGAGGGCGAAAGCTGCTGTCGGCTAAGAAATGTACTCTGGAATGTTCCGGGCCATTTACAAGCAGCTGATGCTCAAGCACAGAGTTAAATCTGCCCCTGCACTTTGATGCTGTTATGGCAAAATGTGCTGTTTATTTATCTATAAATAAATTTGAGGTCCCTCCTCCCTCCATTAAACAACTCACCAAGGCCGTCCAACCATTCCTCATGCTGCAGTTGGGGTGTCCTCCTATTGGTGGCCATGCAAACACAAGTGTGTGACGACACCTTACATTTTTATGCCCATCAGAAGAAATGGTATCCTTAGATTCCCAAGTTTGAGAGGTGTTCTGAGGACAGTAGCCTAATCTATTCCACCCAAGTCCCATGGGGGGAATTCATCAGGAAGTATAAAACTGCACAGGTCAAGGTGCCTATGGCAACAGGTTCCTGAGGTAGCTGTTGGTTCATTAGAAGTTTCCCATCAGCCCATTTTTACCTCAGCACACTGCTGGGCTTAAGGGAAATCTTTCAGACCTGATCATGGGTTTTTTTAAAATAAGGGAGTTCATTTTTTGGTTAGCGACCCAAACATCCAATATTATTGTTGTTATTGTTTAGTTGTTTAGTCCTGTCCGACTCTTCGTGACCCCATGGACCAGAGCACGCCAGGCACTCCTGTCTTCCACTGCCTCCCGCAGTTTGGTCAAACTCATGCTGGTAGCTTCGAGAACACTATCCAACCATCTCGTCCCTGTCGTCCCCTTCTCCTTGTGCCCTCCATCTTTCCCAACATCAGGGTCTTTTCCAGGGAGTCTTCTCTTCTCATGAGGTGGCCAAAGTATTGGAGCCTCAGCTTCACGATCTGTCCTTCCAGTGAGCACTCAGGGCTGATTTCCTTAAAAATGGAGAGGTTTGATCTTCTTGCAGTCCACGGGACTCTCAAAATCCATTCCAACAGACGAGCCTCGAAGCTACATCTGTTCCTTGCTTGTCTCTTTCCATGGCATAATTTTAAATGCAGCAGCCCCCAGAGTCACAGTATCGTATCGCCCTGTGCTGCTCCGGAAGTTTAAAATGTATATGGTTTTGGCTGTGCTGTTGACAGCAAAACTAACATGTTCTATCAGGCAGGCCAAAGGCATTTGTCACTCTGAGAGCCACAACTCAGAATCTGAACGTTGTGTTTGGTTTCAGTTACCTCCTTCCCCACCTGCTTCCTGCCAAGCCAGCCCTCGATATCCATGGCTTCCGCCATCAGACAACCAACACCATCCAGAGGGTGTTCAAGATGAGTTTTGTTCCCGTTGGCTTTTGGCAGAGGTTCATAGCCCGGATGCTCATAAGTCTGGCAGAGATGGACCTCCAGGTAGGTAGATGCAAACAGCAGCAAAAAAAACCTTCTTAGAAAATAATCCTGGTATACGATGAAACCGTACATGACAAGATTTGTTGCTAAAATGCCCACCTGCCATTTCCTGTTTGTGCTATGTTGCTTCTGTCACTCTCTAGTGTGACCAAGAAACAGAACGCAGGGTTAGACCACACAAAGGGCTATGGGCTCAGTTCTCAGTGACTTTATGAAGTTTCTTTATATATATATATATATATATATATATATATATATATATATATGGATTTCTATACTACTGTATCATAAAATATCAAGGTGGTGTACACTGTAAAACGTAAAGAACAATTTAAAGTTGGTTTGTTTTTTTAAAAAAATTATAATAATTATGGGTTGAAGAGCTGCAAAAGCATTGCCAGAGAGAAAACTCCGGAAAATGTGTTGTCAAGGCCATGGGACAGATTTATTGAACTTTGGTATGCAGCATATGGCTTGTACATTTGGCCAGAGAGTAGAAATTACGTGTTGCAATCACACAGGGAGATTTTGGTAAAGAGAAATAAGCAAGTTAGTTATTAGAGCAAGAATGTAACTAGTATAGAAAAGTTTCTGGTTCTGAGCTAACTAACTATATCTAGAGAAAACAAAGGAAGTTGTCCTTGCGCCTTTATTATCCAAGGATAAACCCAAGATTACCTCTCATCCCAAGGTGTTGATAAAGGAGGAGGAGGAAGTTGTATACAGGATATCCTCCTTTGACCTATCAGTCTGCATAGGTAGGCTAGGAATCTGGAAGTCCCTTACTCTCTGTTTTAACTCCTTGCAAGACGTGTTCTGCAAGCTGAGTTGCACCCAAATTTCCAACATTTATGCCCACCTCAGCTGTGTCCCCTATATAAGGGAACGGTTGCTGTGAGAACAGGATGCTGGACTAGATGGGCCATTGGTCTGATCCAGCAGGCTCATATGTTCCCTCTTACTCCTCTGGGGAAAGGGGGGAAAGGAAGGCAGGGCAGCGAGACACTACCTAATGGGGGTCCCATTGTTTCCTGAAGGGTCCTTGCGATATACAAGCCGTATGCATGTCTGATACCCTCCCTTCACCTTGCACAATGACAGGCATTTTGGGAGCAGTCTGACACAAGTTCTAGAACGTGCGCTAACAAGTTGGAGTAGACTTCTTTTGTTTTGTTTATCCTCACGCAAAGATTATTCCAACATGATTGTCACCACCAGTTTGTTTTGCTTAAAACTCTCAGTGGCGACGCATTTGGCACTAGTTTAATTCTCGGCATGCTGATTACATTAGTATTAACTTCATTGGCAATCTGTGTAATTACCCACCCAATCTTGTTATCTTGTTGTTATCCTGTCATCGCATCAAATTGTTCAGCTGATTTGTATCAGTGCTGATGACAGGAACGATGCCAGGGGGCTGCAGGAGCTTATCAGGCTCCTTATGAATATGCAGTTTAAAACAAACACAAAAAAACTGACGCTAAAAATAGCTTAGCATCGTTCCTGACTATGGTGGCTGTGCAGAGTGCAGTCCATCTCTGTTACATTAAATGGAAAATTGGTCATTCATTCCAAGGGCCACATTCACCTCAGGGCAACCTTCGGGGGGGGGCACATGCCAGTGGTGGGCGGGGCCAGAGAAAAGTAGGTGGGGCAACAAAGGTAAATCTTACTTTTGTACAGTATTCTAGTTTCTGTATGCACCTCTCCATTCGCCATCCTGGAAAACAACCTCTTAGATGATATTTAAATATTTTGCAATGTGTAGGAGGACATTTGCACTCTGTATAGAACACTAGCGGGGAGTGCCCAGGGCTGCCCAGGATTTATTAGAAACAAAAAAATACTGTGTTTTTTAAATGGATATTGTTGTTAACGGGTTTGGACCAATCACACACAAAAAAATGGATGGAGTCTTGCCAAAGTCATGTTTTAGTCCACCGGCTTGATTCAAAATGGTGCCTGACATCCTCAGGGACCTTCATGCTGAGCTCAACAACAATTTATCTAGAAGCGTCTGAACACATAGAGAACAAATGGCCATAACAGACAAATATGCAAAATATATAGTAGTTAAGGAGCTGCCTTGTGGTACACCAGACCCATGGCTGCTTGGCTCATCTCTGCCTTACACTGAATAGCCAATGGCACTCCAGAGTTTTGGGCAGCAGTCTCTTTCGGCCATCCCTGAAGAGACAGCTGGGGCATTCTGCACCGAGCTAGGGCCATTTTATTGATTCCAATTAGCAAATGTGTGACTGGCAGCAAGAGCATATGTGTGTGGATTGAGAAGACTTTGCACCTGATTCTCTGAATTCTTTCTCATATTCCAGTTCGTTGAAAACAAGAAGACGGGCAAAAGCAGGAATAAAAGAGCCGCTGTCTACAGCTTCACAGGCACACAGCGCAACAGATGCAGCACTTTCAGGGTGAAAAGAAACCACACCATTTACTGGCAAGAGGGGCTGTTTGTCACCTTTGATGGAGGCTACCTGAGGTAATGGTTGAGGCACGGCAGGTACAACCAGGGACATTTCTCACAAGACCCAAAGCAATCTCAATGTTAAAATGTTGGATTTATTTCCAATATACTGTTTACAAAAAAAGGGTGAGCCATGGGGCCTATATAGGATTGCCTCCAGTGTTCTATTGGGTTGCTGGGCCATCACAAGTCCAAATTTTATTGATGTGAATCACCTTGGGAGATAATACCTGGAGATGCCAGGGGTTGAATCTGGGCCTGTCTGCAGACGCAGCATGTGGTCTTCCAGTGGGTAAAACCCCAGGCAGCTGTAACTCAACAGGAATTGCTATAACAATCCTGGTCTCCCGTCCCTTTCTCAAAAGCGCATCTTTCGGGTTTCTCTTCCTTGCAGTGTTGAGTCTTCCAACGTAAACTGGAAGAAGAAGAAAAGCGGCGGCATTAAAATCATCTGTCAGTCAGACATGAGAGATTTCTCAGCAATGGCTTTCATCACCGATCATGTCAATTCTCTAATAGACCAATGGTTTCCAGGTAAGAATTATTTCTGAAAAAGTTGGCTTACAGCAATGATGGCTTGGCCATGACCCAAAGAACTGCACTTCAGGCATCCTTGACGATCTGGGCACCCAGGGTGGTGTTTTCAACTTCTTCTCCATTGAGTGGATCAGTTTTATACCACATCTTTGAACAGCCTTCAGTTCCCTATGCTGCATGGGAGGGCTTGGATCCGCAGAGTGGAAGAAAACACAAATGTTCATGAAATGCATATCGAAAGCCACCTTGGGAATCAGAAGCTGGTTGTGCAATTTTCTATTATTGTTTTGTATTTTGTTGTTTAGTCATTTAGTCGTGTCCGACTCTTCATGACCCCATGGACCAGAGCATGCCAGGCACTCCTGTCTTCCACTGCCTCCCGCAGTTTGGTCAAACTCATTCTGGTAGCTTCGAGAACACTATCCAACCATCTCGTCCTCTGTCGTCCCCTTCTCCTTGTGCCCTCCATCTTTCCCAACATCAGGGTCTTTTCCAGGGAGCCTTCTCTTCTCATGAGGTGACCAAAGTATTGGAGCCTCAGCTTCACAATCTGTCCTTCCAGTGAGCACTCAGGGCTGATTTCCTTAAGAACGGATACGTTTGTTCTTCTTGCAGTCCATGGGACTCTCAAGAGTCTCCTCCAGCGCCATAATTCAAAAGCATCAATTCTTTGGCGATCAGCCTTCTTTATGGTCCAGCTCTCACTTCCATACATCACTACTGGGAAAACCATAGCTTTAACTATACGGACCTTTGTTGGCAAGGTGGTGATTGTTTTGTATAAGTACTATCAAAAGCAATATTTTTAAATAAAATCTGCTGCCTAATTAATCAGAGTCCATTTGAAAGGTCTTCTAAGGAATTAATCTCACTAAGCAGTCAATTAATCTCACTGTGCAATCGATCAGATGTTGCTGACCAACAAATAATGATTCCAGGCTAGTGATTTTCTGACATTAGTACATCCTCAGGGATATAAAAATATTGTCTGTTGAAACACTACTTTTTTAAAAAATATATAATAAAGTTAATTGTTTATTATTCTGTACTATTAAATTATGTTAATAAAAATCATTTTAAAAATTATTAAGAACAATCAATGCTTGCCCCTTCCACCCAGGTTGTCATTCTGGGCAATGGACAGGCAGCCATTGAGGGAATTCCCCTTGGCCGCCTGGGCAGTTGGCTTGAGTTCCTACCAGCTGCTGAAGTTCAAATTGGCCAATGAGTGGCCTCCTCTGGGGTGTGTGCCTTGATGGCTGAGAGGGCATTAGCTGCATGCATGCCCTGGCAGCCAGCAGAACAGCAGCAGCAGCAGCAGCAACTTAAATATAATAGGTAGACTTAAGCTAGTCTTGTCATTGCTTTCAATAATCCTATTCTGAGTAGAACTAATATTGGAGACCACCCACTATTTTTGCTTGTGTACACATTCATGACATTTAATTGGCTGGCTAAAAGCCACATGATTAATTGATCTGTGGTTTCTTTAATTGGGTGGCCATCATGATAGCTTATGAATGTTGCTAATGCAGGGTAGAGTGTAAAACAATTTTTCAAATCAAATGCAAATTCTGGTCAGTGTGTAGGTTTTGCATTTGAATTGTAGGCAAGAGAAGGATGAAAACCAATACAAGCATCCCCTATGAAATCGGACTAAGCACCGAGTCTGTTATTTCACAATTATGTAGTTTTGGCAAAAACAAACTGAAAAAGAGGAAACTGCTATGCTAATTTGCTCTGTTTTACAAGCAAAAAGCCCTGACTTAAATGTCAAACTGTGTAACACAAAGCCCTCCCTTTATGAGGTTGAGCTCTGTGCATACCAGAGAACTCATTTCATAAAAAGACTTTGTCCTGTCCTGTGAATTTTTCCATTGTGATTCCCTTTAAAAAAGACATTCCTTTCTGGAAGCTTGAAATACCCATGCCGCAGTCTCATCAATGGGGTCCAGTTAGCTTTGAGTGAAAGGTGTTTGATTTGTGTTTTTACTTTCGTAATTACAGGCATTTCCCGTTTTGCACACTTTGAACGAACACATGAGCATGCATGTGCGGGTTGTTTTCAGACCCAGAAGAGGGCATAATGGGGTGTGGCGGGCTTATGTGCGCTCCACCGACATGTGCAATGACCACAAAACGTGCACAAAACAGGGGTTGCATATACATAAATGTTTTCATGTTGTAAGCCGCCTTGAGCATGGTTTCATCTATGGAGGAGCAGCGATGATGATGATGATGATGATGATGCTTAATTCCTCCTCAGCACTCACAGCCACAGAGAGCGACGGGACTCTGTTAATGGAGCAATATGTTCCTTGCCCAGTCTGTTCCACCCCTAAAAGTCAAGAAGGAAAAGGCAGCCAGGAAACGGAAGACATGCAATACTTCAACATGGAGGATTGTGTCCTAACTGCCATTGAGCTGGACAGCATCACCTGTGCTCACCACCCGGCCATACCTGTCCCTTTACAGGAGCTGGTCCCTGAGCTTTTCATGACAGATTTCCCTGCCAGGTAATACTAATGTCCCTTTTCTTTTTCCCTCCCCAGAGCTACAATATCCAGTTCTCGTTCCCATACCATTTTCTGCTGTAATCATTTCTCAGATTTACTCGTTTGTGCACATGTACCGCAAGCAGAGATGGAGGAGAAATTCAGTTTTTGAATTTAAAAGCGGACCTACCCAATTTGCATGTTCCAAAACACATGACACAAACCGAAACAAAGCTGTCCTTGGAAATTTTGCACTTCTTCGAATTTGGTAGTGCAGTTCTCCAGCCAAGTCACCTGTGTGCAAAGAAAATTTCTTATACTAGAGTAAAGTGTGCATAGAAGTGCTTAAATGGGTGAAAACAATATACAAAATTGCATTATTTCAGGGGAAATCGCTTTGCAAAAATGTATACATGGCATACACAAATGTGAATTTCCATGAGGACTTGAGGCCACTGGTCATACAGCTTGGCTCATGAGTGAGAGAGCAAATAAGAAATGTTTTGTTTGATACAGCTCTAGGCAGCAAATAGCTGGGGTGAAAACCCCATCATGACTGGGGACAGCATTTGCTGTCTTTTCCCAGAGAATTTAAAGATGATGTGGGTGATCTTAAAGCCTGACGTTGCTTTCTTGCACACAACTCCATGTGTGTATCTCTTCATTCTCAATCATAAGGTTTCTCTCTATCTCTTTTCCCTTCTCTCACATGGGTGGCCGGCAGATTGTTTCTAGAAAACAGAAAGCTAGAATACACTGAAAATGAAAACAATGTTCTTGGCCAAGGAGGAAGCGGAACGGTTATATATCAGGCACGGTATGAAGGGAAGCCAGTGGCCGTGAAGCGATTTCAGATTAAAAAATGCAAGAGTTCTGCTGGTTCGGCTACAGGTGAATATGCCCTTATTTATTTATTTATCACATTTTATTTTTACATTTGTATCCCACCTTTCATCCAAGGAGCTCAAGGTTGCTGTTATGCATGGTTCTCTTCCTTCCCATTTTATATCCTCACAACAACCCGATGAGGTAGGTAGGGCTGAGGGTGAGCTACTGGCTCAAGGTTACTCAGTGTGTTCCAAGGTTGAGTGGGGATTAGAATCCTGGTCTCCCAGGTTTTAGTACAACCCTCTAACCTTCACACCACACTCGTTCCTTGTGGGTTCTTCTCCCCCGCCACCAAAAGCTATCCATGCTTACCAGCAAACAAGTTTCCATACTTGTACCGGGAGCACCTGTTTAAATACAGCTTTTACAATGTACAAGAAAGAATGTGCATCTTGGTGTGGGGAGTGTGTGTGTGTGTGTGTAAGGGGTGGAGAGGTTTGGTGCATTCTAATAAATATTTGTGCAACATGCACGTGTGAATAAAAACAGCAAGCCTGATCTAGTGTTCTACAGGGCAGAGGTCTGAGCAATGCATGGAATTGAGTTGTGGAGAAATGAGCACAGGGGTTTATTTCAAAGATGGAAATGGTTGTCATTGACCCTTTTGCCTGCAGGCTTCCCAGAAGAATCTTGACTGCTACTCAGTCAGAAGCAGGATGCTGGATTAAATGGACTCTTTTTAAAAAATTATTAATTTGGTTTTTCAAATTGCAGTTTTACAATCACATATCCAATATACAACATAAGAAACAAGATTCCAAGGAATTTCCTGGACTTCCCTCCTCCCCTTTGTGGGTCCTATTGTTAGTCATTTCCTCCTGCATCTTTTATACTAATCCAAATCTCCATTATATCCAAAATTCACCATTAAACTACAAGTGTTAATCCAACCCTACTAACAATTTTAACTGTTTACAATGGTTTCTAAGATAAATTATAAATTTCCCCCATTCTTTTTTAAAATTTAGGTCGTCCTGATTTCTTATTCTTCCAGTCATTTTTGCCATTTCGGCATAATCCATCAATTCAATCTGCCATTCTTTTCTGGTCGGGACTTTATCTTCTTTCCATCTCTGGGCCAATAACATCCACACAGCCGTGGTCGCATACATAGTCTTCTCTGCTCCAAAGGACTCTTGATCCAGCCCAGCAGGGCTACTCTTCTGTGGTTGTGCCAATGCCCAAAATAATGTAACAGCAGCGCGTTGTCTCCTCTGCTTAGACTCCATGTTGAGACACCTGCAAGCCATGGATGCCATGAAAAACTTCTCCGAATTCCGCCAGGAAGCCAGCATGCTCCACTCACTGCAGCACCCATGTGTCGTCTCCTTGATTGGGATTAGCATTCACCCACTCTGCTTCGCCTTAGAGCTGGCTCCTTTGGGCAGCCTCACCACAGTGTTGTCAGAAAGCTCTAAAGGTAATAACTTGGATAGTCCTTTTGTGGTTTAAGGTTGGGTCCATATGGTCCTTTTGGAGGGGGCTATGGCATGTCTTTTGCAGGAGCAGAGGGCCGCAGTTCTAGCGATTCCCCCTCAGTGATATTTTCTCCCCTCTCTTTCTATAGGGGCATCCTTTGTGCCACTAGGGCACATGTTGACCCTAAAAGTAGCCTATCAGATAGCAGCAGGCCTGGCCTACCTCCACAAGAAGAGCATCATTTTCTGTGACCTGAAGTCAGACAACATTCTAGTGTGGTCTCTAGACGTGAAGGAAAGCATCAATATCAAACTATCCGACTACGGGATATCTCGACAGTCCTTTCACGAAGGCGCTCTGGGAGTGGAGGGCACACCAGGGTACCAGGCCCCTGAGATACGACCTCGGATCGTCTATGATGAAAAGGTAAGTCTCAGGTGTCTGCTTCTGTGGAAGAAATTCACACCCAGAACTAAAGGGCCTATCTTAGGCATAGGAGCCAACTCCTAGGGGCTAAGGCCCCTTCAGTGACCCCATAAAATGTTTCAGGGGGCTGGGGACCCCCAAGTTGATGGGCATAGCTATTCAAATGGTGTGTATCTTGTGATCGATTGTGTGGGGCAGGGCTTACCTGGGTCCCCCCCAATGTTTTATTCAACTTGGCACCTCTGATCTTAGTTAGGTATAGAAACCAGAGCCAAGATGTTTCAACAATGATGAGTTGTATCCAATGTAGCGCTATGTTGAAGTCACTGATACACTTGTTCCAAAGTAAGCTAAATGTTTTTGCACCAACAGAGTGGCTGGTAACTTTATCGCACAACAGATTGTAAAATCTCTTGTGCAATGAGTTTCTGATTTTAATTGTTTTTTGACTGTTATAAATATTTATTTTTGGCCAATACATTTATTCTCCCCCCCCCCTTTTTTTTTTGGCAAACCACTTTGAGGTTTTAGGACAATCAAGTCGTATACAAAATTTGCAAAAATAAAACAATCAAGGATGCAACTGTGCATAGTATTCATTCCAAAGCTTATCCAAAATCCAAAGATCTCTGTAATGGGCATGTATTTTTCTCCTAGGTGGACATGTTTTCCTATGGAATGGTGCTCTATGAGGTGTTGTCTGGGCAGCGACCTGCGCTTGGTCAGCACCAGCTTCAAATTGCTAAGAAGCTATCCAAGGGGATCCGGCCTGTCCTGGGCCAGCCCGAAGAAGTACAGTTCCATCAAATGCAGGCGTTGATGATGGAATGTTGGGACACTAAGCCAGAAAAGGTACAAGAAGGTTGTATTGGCACAACAGGGTCTTTTTTGACCATTTTCTGAGTTACAAACAGGGCTCTTCATACATTTTCATCAGCCCAAAAGTTTACCTAGGCCTATTAGGTAATCCTATTTCAAATTAAGTTGACTCACAACAAAAAAATCCGAAATCCACATTAACTTTTATTAAGCTACCCAAAATGTAAAAAAATAAATAGCGTGCAAGCTTTTGAGTTTCACAGAATTCTTCATCGGGTGATTTAAAAGTGCTGGAATGAGAAGAGCCGTCTATGCTCAGTTGGGTAGAACGTGGTGCTGATAACACCAAGGTTCGATCCCCGTATGGGACAGCTATATGTTCCTGCATTGCAGGGCGGTTGACTAGATGGTCCTCAGGGTCCCTTCCTACTCTTCAGTTGGATGATTCTGTGTCTGCTCTTTGTTTAAGATGGAGCATGGGAGGCAGTAGCAGCAGTGGCGTAGCGTGGGTTGTCAGCACCCGGGGCAAGGCAAGTAATTTGCGCCCCCTAACCTGTGGATTTTAGTAGGGGCAGAGAGCTGCGAGTGCGAGGACGCCCCCCCCCCAGATGTTGTGCCTGGTGCGGCTGGCCCCCCCTGCACCCCCCACGCTACGCCACTGAGTAGCAGACAGTCAGATGTCAGGTGCTCTGCTGGTTTCAGGTTGCAACCAGACCTCCTGGGAAGGAGGAGAGAGTACATAATGAGGGGCCCCATCCTCCAGTTTCTGCAGATACAATAACCAGCTGCTAACCCAGTTCCACCTCTGTCCTTAGGGCAAGTTCCTTTGGTAGGCAGAGAACAGGAATGAAGAAGAAGTAGGCAGCTGTTCCCAGGAGGCTGCTCTGCAAACTGAAACCTGCAGAGCACCTGAAAGGGCCTCAGTTGAATGTCTGCTGCTGCCTTTCTCCCCCACCCCCCAAAAAACAGCTTTAAGGCTGTTACTAGATGCAGACACAGATGCCTTGGCCAACAGATGTCTCTCACCCCCTTTGTGTTGCTTTTACGATGATGAATTCTGGGTAATTTTATAGCCCTGCACAGGATCCTGTGACATTTTGGTTGAGCTAATGAAAGTATTGCGCTAACGTGGATTTTGGACTTTTTGATTTGTTAATGTTAATAATATTTGGCCCTGCTTTTCCTCCAGGGAGCTCAGAAGACGCGTATCATGATTCTTGTAATTTTATCCACACAAAAGCCCTGTGAGGTAGGCTGGGTTCAGAGAGAGTGGGGCCCCGCTTCAGATCACCTAGTAGGGGTGCAGAACAAATTGGATTTGGTTTGCACTTTAATTAGAAACTGCTAATTCGCACTTCTGCTGGGCCCTCGCTTCTTGAACCGGCATTTGATCCCTTCCGCAATGTCGCATTGCCAGACAGCATGTAAAAGCAAGCCTAGCTAATCCATGCTTCCCGAAAATATGCAAACCAGATTGTTAGAATTCACACTTCGGATTTTGTGATGCAGTTCTCCAAACAATGTTCTTATAAAATGCATATATTAAGGGAAAGTGTGGATGAAAATACATAGGTTGGTGAAAACGGCATGCAAAAATGCATTGACTGGGGGGAATTGTTTGCAAAGATCTGCCCATTCACATCATATATGCCAAACAACTGCAAAACAATTTCATTTGGGCAACCCTATCCAGATATGTAGAATGTCAAAGTGTATTTTAATCTGTTTTTAGTTTATTGCTGATTTTAATATATATATTTTTGAACAGTTTTTACGATAAATGGTTTTTTCTATTTGCAAACCACTTTGCGGTGTGTAAATTTTATGAAATAAATAAATACATTTTGAGCACTATGGTACCTTTAAATAATGCTTAGGGGGGTCCCCGTTTCCCTCACAGACTCATGTGTGCAGCCCCATGTGTCTCTGTTTGTTCCAGTGGAGCAAAGAGCTCTTCATGGTGTGTGCCTCAAAGGAGACACAGAGCTCTGAAGGGGACAGGAGGTACTTTCATATATACCATCATCTTTCATAGACACATTACTCTGTCCTCTCTTTCACACAGCGCCCATTGGCCACCTCTGTGATAGGACGAATGAAAGAACCTACTTTCGCTACGTTCATGTACCTGCTGCCATGTGGGAAGCAGTTGTCCTTCTTCTCTTCCCAAGGGGAAGAGTGCACAGTCGTATTCTGGGATGGGAAAGAAGACGCAAGGTTTGTATATTGTTGTTTTTATTTTTAGATCCTTCTTGTCATCTTTAGTTCAGCATAAACAAAGCCGTCACTCAGCATCCCTTGAGCTGCATACAGAAGATGCTCACTTGTATTCATAGGGAAGGTTGGGTATTCTCACTTCGCAGATGGAAAACAGACCCTTGTAATGAGCACATTACATTGGATAATGTAGTAATGGAGATCTTGTGGGATCCACCACAATGAGAAGGTTTCAGTGGTCCAGTTTAGAGTTCATTTGTAGACCAAAGTAAGGTTTGGGGGCCATCAGAAAAAGGACTATTTACTTGGGCCACCATTTTAAATCCCTGAGCCCAGGGCATTTGATGAACTAGGATTAGAAGAGTGTTTTGAATTTGAGATGTGAATCTTCCACTCCACTAAGTGACACCATCTGATCCTTCCTGCGAAGGAGGAATCTCCCTTCCAGCCATAGATAGGTATATGAGAGCCTTGGGCCCATCTTACTAATTTATCTATATGTTATAAATAAATGCTGTTGTAAAATGGAAGTTATGTCTTGGGTTTGACCAGATTTTTGATGCCCGGGCTTCTCCTTTTTGTTATAGGTAGGGTTGTTGCTGTTGTTTCGTAACGCTGGTTTTGGGGGTGTTTTTCCAAAAGGCAGGACAATAACGGGAAAAAGCACATCTGGTTCAAATTTTTAATGTGTAACGTTTTGTGCTCAGGCTGGTTAAGACATCCAGCATTCAGTGATCAATTTATGGATGCTTTGTGGCTTTTCCTTTCCAAATGCAAACAGTATCTTATTGTGAGTAGCAGCAAAATTAAAATTAACTCTCTGTTCCTCCTTGGAAATGCACCCCTGTGCCATTGTTTTAAAAACATTCTGATTGCCATGATGACTTTCCCTTAAGCAAACAAATGCAATACTAAATGTGTGGACCCTTTGCATTTGTGAACCTTTGGTAACCTGCTCACTTATTTGTAAATTCTTGGTCCGCATTGCAATGTACATATATTCCTTACATAGTTTAATGAACTTTTCTTGTTTAAAATTGTTGATGCATTTTGCGGAAAACTGTAGAAATCTTTAAATAGATAAAATAAGGGACCCAGAATACAGAGGGAAGGAACAGGGGGGGAAACCAGCACTAGGCAAGTTGCTGTTGTTTAAAGAATGTATCAGATCCTCTGGCCTCTTCAAACCAAACCAACCTCATCATCTTTCATTGTGGTAACTAGGCCTGGAGGATCCAGCTGTTTGGTAGCTCTAAACACTCATACATACACATCATGGTGACACATAAAAACATGGTGAACATATTCAGCATGCACAAAATTATAAAAGGGTATTTAGAACTTTGAAAGGTAATGAAATATGCTCAAAAGTTTGAGGCCAATGAAAGAAAAATAGGTATCAAATCTAGATTATTTTGTCTGTGAAGTTCATAAAATACTATCAGTGAAGAAAAAGAAAACTTCTTCTTGCCTCCATCTCTCTCACACACACATATGCACGTCAGTGAAGAAGGGAAAAGATGGGGGAAGGGGAGAGTTATATCCAACCAAATCATACTCTTGAGTAGGTCTACTCCGAGTATACTTTGGTAGGCTAAGGCCCAGTTTCCATCACAGATAGCAGAAACATTGAGCCTCTGAATGGAGTGTTTATTGGTGCAAATGTTCTTGTTTCCTTCTCTAATGTGAACAGTAAGTTAGCAGGTTCCTATTTATTCTACTCTGGGAGGAAAATATCTGGATTGCAATATGGATGAGAATTTTAGGAACAGATTCTCAAAAGTAGAAAATTCTAATCTTCCCCAAGGAAGAAAATTATGCTCATTGATCGTCCCTTTTCCTCCAAGGATCTGAATCATATCAAATCAAATCAAAAGGTGAGAATCATATTCATGATTCTCACCTTTTCCATTTTATCCTCACCAAAACTCTGAGATAGATTAGCCCTGGGAGACAGTGACTGGCTCAATCTCACCCAAGTGAATTTCATGGAGGGAAGGTTGATGATTTGATTGAATCTGGGTTGTTGTCCCTCCCTGGTCCTAGTCTTCCAGTCTTGCTTCAATACCACGCTGGCTATGTTTTTCTTCTCCAGAAAGAACTTTTCTTCCTTTCCCATCCTTCCAACTTCCAGCTGGGAAGGTAGATAGCTATACAGTGGTACCTCGGGCTAAGTACTTAATTTGTTCCGGAGGTCCGTTCTTAACCTGAAACTGGTCTTAACCTGAAGCACCACTTTAGCTAATGGGGCCTCCTGCTGCTGCCACGCTGCCGGAGCACGATTTCTGTTCTCATCCTGAAGCAAAGTTCTTAACCTGAGATACTATTTCTGGGTTCGTGGAGTCTGTAACCTGAAGCGTATGTAACCCGAGGCACCACTGTATCTTGACAACACCCACTGTAGGGAGCCCCCAAACACCGGGGCTGCTTCCAGGTGAGCATTCTACCTGCTTTGTTGGCACAAAGCTTGTGAAGAGGTTGTACAACCTCGGCTGTTTGTCAAACAATTGCTGTGACTGGTTTGCAGAGAAGGTACACAAGCAATTTTTACCTACCTCACCCCAGTGTATTTTCCTATCACTTTCCTTACCACAAAAGGTCTGGTCTTTTTTTTTTTTTTTTTTTTTTTTAAAAGTGAGCTAGTTACACACGAGCGCCAAATCCACTTTAATCGCATAAGCTGAATTTGGTGGTAGGTGTCTGAATCCTGCCCTCATAATAGCAACAGTGTGGAAGTTACCCTGGGAGATAGAATTTGAGAACCATCCAAACACACAGCCATGATTTTTCTCCACTACAGTGGTACCTCGGGTTAAGTACTTAATTCGTTCTGGAGGTCCGTTCTTAACCTGAAACTGTTCTTAACCTGAAGCACCACTTAAGCTAATGGGGCCTCCTGCTGTCGCCGCGCCGCCGGAGCACAATTTCTGTTCTCATTCTGAAGCAAAGTTCTTAACCTGAAGCACTATTTCTGGGTTAGTAGAGTCTGTAACCTGAAGCATCTGTAACCTGAAGCATCTGTAACCTGAAGCATATGTAACCTGAAGCGTATGTAACCCGAGGTACCACTGTACTCATGGCTGTTCCTGGCTTTACTTCTGGCGCTGTTGTTAGAATGAGTTCTGTTTTCCTTCTTCCAGGAACTACACGGTAGTTAACGTAGAGAAAGGACTGGTCGAAGTTGCAAGGATGAGCTGCCCAGGAATGAAGCTGTGCTGCCAAATGAAAGTTCAGAGTTATCTATGGACAGCCACCGAGGTATTTGTTATTCAGCGAGGTATTTCGTATGTCACCTGTTTTTGAGCCAGAGTTTCTCTTCTGCTCACTTGCCGGCACTCCATTGCTTCAGACACCAAACGCATTAAGCGGGTGCCTGCTGTGGTCTGTTAATTGGTAGGGTTGAAGGGCACAGCAGGGCATGGATGCTTCAGATGGGCAGCCTGACATCTCAGGTGGCTCTTCTCCCCCAGACGGCATTATTAAAAAGGACCTAAATCCCAACAAACTAAACACATGATTTTAAAAAAATGATTAACAGGAATAGATTTGGTATACAAAATACTTTTGCATGAGTTAAAAACAGACAATATGTGCCCACCTATTTCAGAAGCAAGTTGAATTTTTAAAAAGCTTGTACAACACGTTTTCTTCTGTTTCTATATTGTCATATTCTATATATGCCTAATTGTTGAGAAAAGGTTTCCTTTATTTTGTTTGCATACAGGATCAAAAGATTTACGTGTACAGCTTACAAGGCATGTGTCCTTTAAAGGTTCCACAAAAGGGTGTGGACACTCCAGCAGTTGTCACTTGTTTTCTTGCAGTACCTGTCATAAAAAAGGTAAAACAGAGTGGTTTTCAAAGGTGAAGCATTAAAAAACCCCACATTTTTAAAGGACTCTTTCTTCTTCTTTTTTTTAAAAAAGAATTATTCAGATTAGTAAAGCAAGCTGGAGGAGTTGTTAACAGCAGAAATACAACTATAGCTCCTGCTGCTGGCAGTTTTAGGAATAACAATTCCCTGTATTTCAGTGCACATTCAGTGCTGTTAACTCTAATACATTTTGAATCAAGTCAGGAAAACTGCTGGATATGATGCTAGGCATTCTGGAATTAATGAAAATACTTGCTGGTTATAGAGCTCTGAGTGGCTGTAATTCAGAAGGGAACTGAGGAGCCGCACAAAGATTCCTTCCACTGTGTTTCTAGACAAGATGGCCTACCCTGGCTACAAATTTTTCATAACTTCCTCAGAACTTTTAACAACCTTAATCTAGCTTTCCATTACATGACAAGAGACTCTTGGACTCCCATGCCTGCAAAAATATGAGCATCTTCCTGCAGTGCCCCGACTTATTTTGCATGTTTCCACCAATTAGCAATTAAATTAGCTGGAATCTGCTTACATTGGTAACCAGTCAAAACTCTTAAAAGGTCTCTGGTGTTGCGAGATACATATTATTGGATCTTGGCTGATGAAAAATGTAGTTCTGTAGACAGTTCTCTATCCCATGGGTGGGGAGCCTTCAGCCTGCAGGCTGATATTGGCCTGGCAGAGGGTCCACTTGCCTGTGAGGCCATTTTCCCCAGACCTCACCATTTGTCAAGCAGCTGTCCTCACTTATGCCATCAGCTGATGGGTGGGAAGGTGGAGTTCAGTTCTGCCTTATCTGCACACACCTGTTCCCAGAAGAAGATAGGCACTTGCAGCCAAAGCAGCAGGAATTCACTCCCCTGCTCATCAGCTGACATGGAGGAAGTTAAATCCTGCTCAATTTGGCTTTGCAAACCTGTTCCTTGCTGGGAACAGGCACGCACAGCCGAATCAAACAGCCTTGTTTCTTTGCAGGCAAAGCACATCTTTCTTGCCTCCCCATCGCCTGATCTCTCCCTGCTGCCAGTGTTGGCCTGCAGGATGGAGCCTAATAATTGAACAATGTAAACAGATGAGCAAATGGCATTTTAGAAAGGTAAATGCTGGGCAGGAGGAGGGGGAACTGTCCACCCCCCCCCCCGACAGTTACCTTTCTAAAATGCACTTTGCTCATCTGTTTACATTGTTACACTGATTAAGGAAATATAATTGTTTCGCTGTAGGGTGGATAGATCAGCTAAAGCAATCAGAACCCTGCAGAGTTTTTGCTGCGTCGCTAACAAAAGTGAATGGATTAACGGATACATTTTACAAATAGGAAACCTGGAATTTTTACCTGCCCCTGGAAACGTTAATGCGTCTGGCAAGAGCTTCATGAATTCCCCTGCTTAAATACTATGGCGTTGTTTCTATATTTCTTATAACACTGTATCAAGGTTGGGAATCTAGAATTCTAATTTACTGGGCCCCTACCAAAAAAAAAAGTACTTTAAAAAAAGCAAACAACTCTCCTGTCTTTTTAGAATGCCTACCTTGTCCTGGCTGGTTTATCAGACGGACTGATAGCTGTTTTCCAAGCACCACACGGTATCCCTGAGGATGGCTGCTGTTACCTCTGCTCCCACACGGCCAACCGCTCCACCTTCAAGATCAGCGACGATGACCCCCGCCAGAACCCTTACCCTGTGAAAGCGATGGAGACGGCAAACAATGGAGCCGAAGTTTGGTACAGCAACGGCCCTGGGATCCTCATCATAGACTGTGCAAGTATGGAGATCGCCAGGAGACTGGAGCCCTACGAACCGCCGTCCACGGTTGTGTCCATTGTGTGTAGCTCAGAGTGCAACGGAGAGGAAGTGGCCTGGTGCCTGGACGACGCAACCAACCTCCTAGTTATGTATTACACGGCCACTTACCAGCTGTGCGCAAGGTACTTCTGCGGGGACTGCAGCCCCTTGAGGGACATGTTCACCATTCAGCAGCCCTCGGCCTTGATCCCTGCTGAGCTGGCTACAGACAGGAGCCCGGAGCCCGGGAGCAATGCTTCGGCTGATGTGGGGATCCTCTGCAGCCAAGAGCTGGGCATCCAGATATTAAACCACCAGGACTCCTTGACGGACTATTGCTCTGTGTCCTCTATCTCCTCCTCGTCGGTCAACCGCTTGATGAGGTCTGCCTCAAGCATGCCGAGCTCCCCTGCAAGTTATTCCAGCACTCCTTTCTCGACAGACTGTGAGGAGCCTGGCAAGACGCAGGAGCCTAAGACTCCCTGCGAGGGGCCTGACAGTGATTTGGAACCAGCAAGCACCCACACTGGCTGCCTCCAGGCTGTAAGGATTCTACCTGTGAAAGACCTCCTCTGGATTCCCAGGTAAATTGCACTGGAAGCCTCTCTCTCTTGCAAAGATTTGAATGCCTTCACGGTTCAAGGTTCAGGATCCCACGCTGAGATCCTGACTTGTCTTCCCAGTTCTTTCTGTTTCTCATTTTTCCAGTCATAAACTCAGTTCTCCACATTTTGCAGTCGTTTGCATTTTTTTAAAAAAGTATTTTTTTTGGAAAGTTCACCTGGCGCCTTCATTATACACCAGGCATAGGCAAACTCAGCCCTCCAGATGTTTTGGGACTACAACTCCCATCATCCCTAGCTAACAGGACAAGTGGTCAGGGATGATGGGAATTGTAGTCTCAAAACATCTGGAGGGCCGAGTTTGCCTATGCCTGTTATACACCTTTAGGCACCAGGCAAAATGTTCCTTTTTTACCAGGCCTTTGGTTGATCCAATTTACGTCCTATGCCCTTTAAAAATATTTGGGGGGGGTATTGGGTTGCTGTTTTTATTCTTATTAGGTATTTTGTGGTTTTATATCTTGGATTTTATTCTGTGAACCACCCTGAGATACCCGAGTATAGGGCGGTATATAAATTCAATAAATAATAATAATAAATCACATGAAAATTCAACAAGTTAGGATGAATTTATCCTAAATAACACAGTTTATATGCAGTTTTGAAGAATGTACACATTTTTGCAAGCAGTTTTCCATAATATACTTCATCTCCATCTCTGTCTCTGTGAGTGTGTGTGTGGTTTCCACCAGTTTATCTGGTGAAACCTGCACCCTCCAAAGGGCTCAAGGTGGCATATGTGGTTTCTTCCCCACAACAACCTTGTGAGAGTAGGCTAGGCTGAGAGACAATGGCTGTCCCAAGGCTACCCAGTGAACTTCGTGGCCAAGTGGGAATTTGAACCCGGTTCTTCCAGGTCGTAGTGTTGCACTCTAACCACTACACCACATTGGCCTTTTATGCACAATTCCCCCCAGTATGTGCATTTTTGTAAACAATTATTTGGCTGGGAAGCCACATAGCAAAAACTGAGTAAGTGAAAAGGATAGCTGTGTTTCAGTTCCCATATTGTTTCGGGGAAATGACATCTAATAGATTCAGGTGAAACCCAAGTTGAATTTCTCCCTGCTTTCTAATAGCCTCCCAGGCTTTTGAACTACATCCTCCTTGCGCTTCCTACCAGCTTGGCTTGAACAGCTCTTCAAGGCCACAGCTCATCCTGAGAGATTAGAGGCTGTATATGAACACCCTGGGTATGTTTTCGCTCCTCAGCAAAGCCTGACAGGCTTCTATGATCCTCTAAGAATCCTGCCATTTTCAGGAGTTCAGGTTTTCTCCGTGGCCTTTTGGATGACTGCTGCTTTGGCCGCTCCAAGGCATCCACACAGGAACTTTTCAAACGTCTGCATTTTTCCTGCCGTTGAATCGCCCCCCCCCCCGCCGAGCTGCGTGTAACGGAAATCCTCCTGCTTTCCCTTTCCAGGCGAGGCGGAGATATCATTGTGATCGGCTTGGAGAAGGAAGCCATCTCTCAGCGGGGGAGAGTCATAGCGGTTCTGAAGGCGGCAGAGATGGCCCCTTATGGGTAAGGATGAATGGGAAAGGGGGAGGTGGCAGGGGACAATTTTGGAAAGACCTGCCACTCTACACATGGCAGGCACAGAGAGCCCAGTTCAACTGCCGACATTTCCACTTGTTAACAGTATCTCTGGATCAAGGAGCAGTTCAGAAGAGGCATGTTCACAGGCAGGCACCTTCTCATTTGCTCACGAGCAGAATCAGACCAAACACAGCTTTGCTCTCAGCCTGCTGCTAGATCCTGCAAACTTCTTTCCCCGGCATGAAGGTGAAGGAAGTTCATTTCAGGCAGGCGAAGGGAAAGGTGGTAATGTGCTGTTCACAACAAGACAAAAACCTAAGCAAGCCTGGAACAACTTGGGAGAAGGGATGTGTGTATACCAAGGCAAGATATAAATCTGTTAAATAAATAGGCTAGCATTGCTTAAAAGCCTTACGTTTCTATATTTCTGCAAGGGTGGAATGGTGAAGATTGAAAGGCTTCTCTGTTCGAGAAGAGCATAATTCTTCAATAATTAAATTGAGAAGGCTTGCATTATCTTCCTTCATTTTGCATAATTTATTCTGCCCTTTTTTTTTTTAACACCCTCATATAAGTTATTCCAAATTAGCTAGTTACGAAGAGAGGGGCAATGAGGAGCTACGCAAAACACAGAAGCACCATCCCTCCTACCTGGAAATCTTGATTAGCTGCCTTAAAATTGGAGCAGGATTTGCCCACACCCTAAAACAGATGTGGGGGACTTTTGTCCCTCCAGATGTTGCTGGACTTCAACTCCCATCAGCCCCAGCAAGTGTGGCTGATGGCCAGGAATGACTGGACTTAGTTCAGCAACATCTGGAGGTTCCTCAAACCTGCCCCAGAAGAGCTAAAAATTTGCTTTAAAAAAAAAAAAAAATCTCCTTGCAATATACACTGTGCAAAAGGAAATTTCTGTTTTCTAATTTTTTTTCTTTTAAAAAGAAACGTCTTTTTTTCTGGGTTCCCCAGGACACTGGTGGATGCTGCTGTGCTGGCAAAGGACATGGTTGTGTGCTGCTTCAAGAATGAGGCCACAGAGTGGTGTTTGGCCGCCTGGAAGAGCTGGGGTGCCAAAGACTTTGACATTTTCTATCGGTCCTATGAAGAGCTGGGAAGGCTGGAGGCTTGCATGCGAAAGAGGAGGTAGCAGTTGTGGCGCAGAGGCAGAGACTGGATGCCCGGCAAGCGACGCAAAAACTGACACACAGTTTCAGTTCCCAGCAATCTCTGTATGAGGATCTCCAAGGACACTAGATGTTTGCTGTTCAATTTTGCTGCTAAAGGACATTCTAGGTGGCTACTAGCCGTGATGGTGATGGTGTGCCTCCACAGTCAGAGGCAGTACGTCTCTGAATACCAGTCGCTGGAAACCTCAGGAGGGGAGAGTGCTGGGGGCTTCTCATAAGCATCTGGTTGGCCACTGTGGAAACAGGATGCTGCACTAAATGGGCCATTGGCCTGATCCAGCAGGGTTCTTTTTATGCACTTAGGTGGTTCCCCACCCCACATTGCACGTTGTCTATAATGCATTTGGATTTTCAGCTAGCTAAGCAATAGTCAATGGGAAGACCACTCCCACCCTTAATCTATTCACGCACGCACGTGGATATGGGCGGCAGCACTTCTTCAAGGTCAAAATAGTGCTGTTGGTTTTGCAATGCATCGCTGACCCCATAGTTAGCAAGCTTTGTCTTCCGAAACACAGAGGGTGACCCCAAAGTCACACATCAGCTTTCCGATTCCATAGCAATAATAAGGCACAGAATCGCTGCCAAGAGAACACTGCTGTAGATGGAGGTAGCTTCTTCATAAAATTATCCAGAGGTTTTGGTCTGAGCAGCAGTATGGAGAGAGAGAGAGATGAATACAGAATCCCACTTTTGATACCATTTGCAAGCTTCAGGATGGACATACTGCTTAGTTTCTAATCCGTGCATGTTCTGTAACTGCCTGCTGTAATTTTTCATGTCACCAATGTTCCTGGGGGTGGGTAGGGCGGTGCTGGGGTGTCCAGCTTTTTTTGCAGAATAGCAAAAGAGTGCCCCGGCAGATGGCAATAATGACCACCACAGAACGACAGATAAAACAGAATGATGTGTGGAGAGTCAAGTATAAACCCCACTGTTAATGCACTATTATTGAGTCAATGACACGTTGCAGAATATGCCCAACAAAAACCCAGCCTCCCCCCCCCCATAGGGGCCCTTAGTTACGTGGAATAAAGTTCAAATTAACCCCATTTAGTTTTTGTAGCAAATTACCTCAAAGCAAAAAGAAGTGCACAACTCTTAGAGCTTATTGGACTTGCACACAAGCATATTGTTCTGTTGATTTCAATAATACTTTAAGTGCAGCTATTACTTGTCTAAGGGACTTAACCAAAGGACTAAAACAGCTGCAGTTCTTTGTTGGTGCTGTGCCCCCAGCACTGCACAGGGTTTAAAAGCAGCACCAGGACCCTGCCTGCTGGTCAGGCTTCCCAGAGTAAAACAAAAAACAGTTCCAGGAGAACTTTGCCACTTGCTGGAGTGGGGGTGGGGCGCAGGGAAGGCACTGTGGTGAGCCCAGCCTTTTTCCCTGCTTGCTTCACACACACACCGATCCTATTGATTTAGTGTGACAATCATTCTTTGGATGGGGGTCCAATTTCATTATGGGAGGGGAGGATTCTCTGAAAAGATTTTTTTATTTCAGCACTACCAAAATAGATTAAACATGAAAACACGTATACAGTTTTCTATTTCAAAAATAGACATTTGGGGGGGGGGGGGAAACACCTCCCCAAAGATAAGTTTTTTAACAGAGGGATGTGCAGGCTTTGGAGGGGGGTATTTTAAAGTGGGGAAATGCATTTCAGATCCAATTTTTGTGTTGCCTTCATTATAGACTCCCAGCCGCCCTTCCTGCAGCAGACTTTTGCTTGTTTGTTTTTACAATTCAACACTCTACAGCTCATTCTTTTGTGCTTGAGGAAGAAATCTCAGTTTCTTCCAGCAGGAGAAGAAAAAAATGCATCCAGCAAGAAATCCAGAGCCACTGAGTGTACAACCCTCTGTATAATAACAAGCTGTTTAATTGCACTACTGCAGCTTCAGTTGCCAATATAAGTGCAGAATTATACAAACAAAGCTTCTGGTTGCTCTGAGGAGAATAGGGAGCAACAGCAATCGGCTGCAATGCAGACAATTCCTAGTTAGGTCATCCTGCAAATCTGTGCCGCTTAAGGTGTTGTAAAAATTGGGCACAGTGGGTTGGCTGACTTTGGATCTGGTCAGGTCATTACTTTCCCCATCCACTTGTCAATCAACTGATGTCATAATGACATCAGGTGATTTTAATTTTTTTGCCTGCATGGTTTTGATGCACAGCCCACAAAGTGCCTTTCAGAGCACATTGCAAGACCTGACAATCAGCTGGTATTTGGATCTTGCGGGGCGCTTTGCAGCTGGACTAGGTGTTCCCCAAAACCTACATCTCAGAGCAGAGTCCCTCTCCTACACTGCTTGCCACCTATTCAACTCGCTCCATCTCCTGACATCAGTATGTCATTCTTTCCCCCATGCATTGGTTGCCACTGATGCAGGGAAATGCATATTATAAGGACATTAGGACAAATTGGAATAGATGTTGTGGAGAAGGGAAGGAGGAGGTTGATGGGGTGTTCTTTGCTATATGTCACTTTTCCCTTAAATGTCCTTCCACCCCCATCAACTGACAAGTTCTGTACAGGCCCTGTCCAGAAAGAAGAGTTTACGGCTTTTTTTATGTAAAACCCTGAAGAGAAGAGTTTATATGACATGCTGAGAAGGCCCCTGGGGACTTAGCTTTGGCAATTATAAAAATGAACTTTCTGTTGTTGCAAGCATGTACAGAGGAATGTTTTTATAAGCCATAATAACAACAATAAAAAGCAGCTTCCCCAAATGCCAGTGAGATGTGCTGAAAATATGAGCTGCCTGGAGCCTCTCTTTTCCCTCCTCCTCCAAATGGGGTGCTTGGTTTCGACTTTAAATGCTTCAGAGCCTGTTGCTTTCCAGTGACCTTATTCCAACGCGAAATGTGTTTCAAAATAGACAGGCTGTCCCAAGGATTAAGCCATGCTGCTGTCACTCCCAATTGGCAGCTGATGGCTGCATCCGCTCTTAGGTGTTGTGACACCTTCCAAAGCAGCTCAAGAGTTTGCTGCAGCCGGTTGAAAATTTGAAATGAGCTTTAGCACCAAGCTGTTGGTTTGGAGCAGTGCGTGTCTTGCCACTTTTATTGAATTTCACACATTTATTTAAGTATGTGTCTGTGTGCCTCTGCATGCTTTTAAGTTGTTTAATTAGTAGATAAATGCACTAAACCTTCAGCTGCTTAACGGGGGGCGGGGGTGGCAACTTGGCTGTGGTTTATTACACTAACAGAGAATGAAAGGGGAAGGGAGAATCTTCCTAAAAATAAGTAGCAGCTATTGTTAACAGCATTCTTTTACTCTTCCATTGGTACCTGAAAAAGCACCCCACTAAGGTATTTGGTGACGATACAGTGGTGCCCCACAAGACGAATGCCTCGCAAGACGAAAAACTCGCTAGACGAAAGAGTTTTCCGTTTTTTGAGTCGTTCCGCAAGACGAATTTCCCTATGCGCTTGCTTCGCAAGACGAAACGTCTTGCGAGTTCTTGCGAGTTTGTTTCCTTTTTCTTAAAGCCGCTAAGCCGTTAATAGCCGCTAAGCCGCTAATAGCCGCGCTTCGCAAGACGAAGAGACTCGCGGAACAGATTAATTTCGTCTTGCGAGGCACCACTGTACAATTTAAATTGTTTAAGTGAAAATGCAGCTAAATCAGGGGTCAGTAAACTTTTTCAGCAAGGGGCCGGTCCACTGTCCCTCAGACCTTATGGGGGCCTCAAATATATATATATATATATATATATTGGGGGGGATGAATGAATTCCTATCCCCCACAAATAACCCAGAGATACATTTTAAATAAAAGGACACCTTCTACTCATGTAAAAACATGCTGATTCCCGGACCGTCCGTGGGCCGGATTGAGAAGGCGATTGGGCCTGATTCGACCCCCGGGCCTTAGTTTGCCTACCTATGAGCTAAATCATCTGCTAAATTATTTACGATACGATAATCTTTATTGTCACTGTCCCATACAGAACAACGAAATTGAAAAATCTACGTAAGACATTCAAAACCCAACAAGCCTGCTATCCCAGCTATCCCAACTTGGTTAGCCCCCTAAAAACTCTGGTACCCCATTTTTAAATACAATATACTCTCATACAGACTCCTTACAATGCGTTTAAAACCAAAATTGCATTTGGGTAGAAACTGTTTCTCAGGCGGCTAGTCCTAGTCTTTATAACCCTGTACCTTCTTTCCAGAAGGCAGAAGCTGAAAGAAATCACTGGGAAATACTCACTGGGAACTAAGACCCCTTGAGCTCTGTGAGCCATTTAGAATTCCAGCGCTAAATATATCAGTCAACCCTTTAAAACAAAAACCCCGGTATAGTTTAACACAAAGGTGGTGGTGTTTTTTAAGCTGCCAGCTCTCAGGGGAACTGAACACATTGCAGAGGAACCCTTGTATATTGCGGAGTATCCTGGGTTCTATGTTCCAGGGCACACACCTCATTCCCAATGGCCTCGTTCACACAATAAACCAAGGTTTGTCTTAAACCATGGTTTAATTTTCAGTGGCTCTGCTACCATGGCCATATGACTTCTCACTCCCCTTGGCCATATGACTTCTCACTCCCCTTGGCTCACTTGTTGGGGAATGACCCTAGCTCATCTGCATCTGCTTTGCATGCAGAAGGTCCCAGGTTCAAGCCCCACAAAAGGCTGGGAAAGATCCCTTCCAACTCTATGATTCTGTAAAAGATTCCCTGCCTGAAACCCTGGAGAGCCACTGCCAGGCAGAGGTAGAGACAGTGCTGAGCTTGATGGACCAGTGATCTGACTTGGCCTAGGCATCCTTCCTGTGATCCTAACCTGGACCGTGGTTAGCTGCTTGCTACAAACAAACCACATGAAGCAAGCCAGAAACAAAACAAGGTCTGTTCTTTTATTTCTGCCTTGTTCCTCGTATCATGTTCAGGCGGTATGACAAGCCATGGTTAGTCTGAGCAGCACATTGAATCATGGCTTATTGTGTCCAACAAACCCTGCCAGTGGCTGGTGGCAAGGTGCATTGAGCTTAGCCAACAGAGCAATGCTCCCAGTGCTCCTCAGCAGCATTTTGTCAGGGGGAGGGGGTTGATTCTTAATGTACTTTCCCCCTGAAGAAACAACTTAATTGTATAGTCATACCTCAGGTTACAGACGCTTCAGTTGTGTTTTTTCGGGTTACGGACTGCCGAAACCCAGAAGTACTGGAATAGGTTGATTCCGGGTTTTGGCGGTCGCGCATGTGCAGAAGCGCTAATCGCACTTTGTGCATGCGCAGAAGCGCCGAATTGCAACCCACATGTGTGCAGACACGCAGCTGCAGGTTGCAAACGCTGCAGGTTGTGTACATGCATCCCGCACGGATCATGTTCGCAACCCAAGCATCCACTCTACACATCAGCCCATCATTTGCAGCAACACAGATTAAAAGTTGCTGTGTTGAATAGACAGTGAACATAACTATGCCTTACCTTCGTAGCTCTGAATTCCTGTCGGTTATTGTGCTTGAATATTGGTGTTCAGACCTTGGTGTGGTCCCCCAGATCTAGCCTCAGAAAGGCATGAAGATATCTCAAAGGAGTTGCACAGCAGGAAGAACGTTCATGCTTCTCTGCAGCTCACGCCTCTCTGGTTCTTCATGGTTTCTGTTCAGCCCCACATACGGGTTCTGCAGCTACAGGGGGGGAAATGCAAAGCTCAATTAGAGTTGTTTTCTGGATGCCTCACTCTCTGTTCACATACAGCAATGGGCATGGTGCTCACCTTCCTTCACAGGTCAGCAATGGAGCAGAGCTATGAAGAAGGGTTGCAGGGTTTGGGCCTTCTGGGTTTAGAGACTGATCTACTCCCAGTATAAAAAAAACTGGCAGTGATCTACCCATTTTTTTAGGAGGGAAGTACCCAGAGTTGTTGAGCTTTTTGGGGGGAGGATTGCACAGAGTTTTTTAGTTTTTTCCACATAACTTTTTGTACACGATAAGGATCCCATGATCTACCAGGATCAGCTGGGGATCTACCGGTAGATCACGATCCCTGGTTTAGAGAAAAGAAGAGAGTTAGAGGTGACATAATAAGATGGAAAATTATGCATGGCATGGAGAAAGCAGACAGAGAAAAAGGTTTTCTCTGTCGTAACACTAGAGGAACATAGAATAGGAGAATATACCTGTGTTTAGTGCCAGGACATGTAATACTGGGGGGGGGGCAGTTTTTGATTGTTCATTTGTTATAATGGTATGCATTTTTGTGTTTTTATATTGTAAACCACCCTGTGGTCTTCAGATGAAGGGTGGTATAAAAAACAACAACAACAATTAATAATAGTGTATCTGACCACATGCAGAGCAGCTTTCTCTAGCCTCTGGATAAGATGAGGCCTGCCACTCCACCCACAAGTCCCCAAGCCATACATTGGGGTTAGGGAATCAAGACTTCTAGGCAGAAGCTAACTATGGTCCTCTCACCCAATTGTGTTCCCAAAATTACCGTAGGCATTGTTTAAGGGGGAGGGTGTTCGTGATGTCCCTAAACCGAGACACTAGAGGGCGCTTTCTCTTCAGGGAGACAAAGCCCACTAGATCAACAGACTCAACAAAGCAAGTAGGAGAAACAACTCCCGCAGCAGCCTCCATGCTCTTCACAGAACCAGCATTGCAACTAGGCCAAGGCTGAACTAGGCCAATGATCCACAAACCAGCTGTTTCTGTGCATTGGCACCATGCACATGGGCCAGTCCCAGCACCCACCTGCAGCTCCTATGGAGGAAACAGCTGGAATGGGAATGAGGAATCTGTGGGTTGTGGCCCTCCAGATGTTTCTGTATGACACACTCAACAATCTTGACCTTTGGTCTTTTGGAAGGACCAATAGGACTTGGGTTCCCACATCTGGAGGGCCACAGATTCCCTGTTTATGGGCCTGAATCTGGACTGTATCTGAGGAGACCACTGTCAGAACCTTGTCTTGTATCTTTGTAACAGAAGAGTCAAACCTAAGTGGTTATTAATGATGATGATGACAAACAATAATAACAATGAAGAAAACAAATAATAGAAATATATAAACCCACAACTAAGATGCAGGTCCATTAAATGGTTTGTAATGAAAGCCATTTATCATGTAGAACCAGCAAGTTACCTAGAAATATAGATGTTCCTGAGAAATAATTGCATTTGTTCTGAAACACTAAGATGGAAGGAGAGCCCCATTCTCCTAAGCCCTCCCCTAAGTTTTATTTATTTATCATCACCTTCCACACACACACACACATCTCAAGGCAATGTACAAAACGCAATAAAAACCTTTAAAATGGTTTAAAACAACACAGTTAATAACAGCAGATAAATTTAAAAGCAATACCAAGTAGACCTCCGTGGAAGAGGCATACTCATTTTAGGTGCGAAAGTCTGTCAGAACAAAAATGTCTCCAGATATTTCTGGAAAGTGCAGGCAGTGGTAGTACCCTGTCTCCATATGGCAGGGGGCCCAAAACTAGCAGGCCGAGGGGAGGGGAATGGAGGAAGATAGGAGCAAGTGAATATCATGACTGCATCTGAAGTGCTCTCTGGTCTTGGCTGTGCTTTGAAGTTCAATTGCCCATCTCTACTCTCACCTATTGGTATGAGCATGATGAAAGTTTGCTCCACCAACCACAATCAAACAATCCTCGGGCTGAGTCTGTTTTTGTGAGATGTGAGCTTTTTCACCAGTAATGGCTAGTTTATAATCCTTTTCAGATGATTTCCAGGCCCCCCAAGGTTCATCAGGAGGGTGAGGCTGATGAACCAGAGCAAGAATATCTGTAAGCAGGAAAGCTGTCGAGGTGCAGATGGGAGCAAGGAGAAGCTTAAGGCAGAGCGTTAGCAGACAGCAGGGAAGCTAAGATGATGAGAGCAGGGAATCTCTCTGCCACCTCAGCAAAATGCTGAAGTGATCTGCCCAGTAGAGGCGAATTTCCACCCAGAAGCAGTGAGCTTCTTCTCCTAAAGATTCCATGAGGCAGTAGCTCTCAAGTGATTCAGGAGGACTCTGCATGTTCCCCGGTTCACAATCTGTGGCCTGATCTGGGATGTTGGATTGGTCCAGGGACAACTCATCCCCACACTTTTTCATGTAATGTTTTAATCCGCTTGGGAGCAGAGGGTTCAATTCTGCACATTTGGGCTGCTCCCCTGATGGGAACACATACATGGCCAAAGCACAGGGGCTGTTTAAAAGACCTCTTGCAAACAGCTGCACACTGCCCTTTACAGAGGCTGCCCATCTCTCCTCCTTTCTGCTGCCCCTTGACGGCCCTTGATCACTCTGGGCAGCACAACCTGGGCAAACCAGTGCTGTCATGATCCGTCTTGGCCAAAGCCCGCTTCTGCCCAAATTGGCCTAGTTTAGTTCAAGATTCAAGATCCAGCCAAGTCCAGCATTCAGTCCCAAGACTCAGTTTTAGTTACAACAACCTTTAAAGTGTTTTAACCACAAAGAGCCAGAGAACAGGAAGGTTCTTGTTCACGTAATATGGAGGGGGAGCAAGTGCCTGGAGCAGGTGGAGCCAAAACCAAAGTGGGCGTGGCCAAAGAAGACCTGGGCAGGGCTGGCCGAACCCCAGTCAAAAGGAAACTGCATAGGTTCACACTCCTTCCTACATCTCTTGTTTCTAGATTCTACAGTTCTTGGCATCTCCCAGCCATCTTCAGTTTCTCCAAGATGGCAAGCTTTAGACTGCAAGCTTCTTAGGGTAGGGACAGCTCCTTTTCATGGTTATTCTGTGAAGCACTACACAGATTCAAGGCACTGTAGTGTATCAGGTGTGAGGAACCTTTTTCAACCCACAGGCCACATTCCCTTCTGGGCAATGTTCCAAGGGCTGAATGCCAGTGGTGGGCAGGGCCAGAAACAAAAGCAGACAAAGCAATACATGTAAATTTAAAAGGCTAGATTCTGCACACACGTGGGTGGCACTGTGGGTTAAACCACAGAGCCTAGGACTTGCTGATCAGAAGGTCGGCGGTTCGAATCCCCACGATGGGGTGAGCTCCTGTTGCTCAGTCCCTGCTCCTGCCAACCTAGCAGTTCGAAAGCACATCAAAGTGCAAGTAGATAAATAGGTACCACTCTGGCGGGAAGATAAACTGCATTTCTGTGCATTGCTCAGGTTCACCAGAAGCGGCTTAGTCATGCTGGCCACATAACCCGGAAGCTTTATGCCGGCTCCCTCAGCCAATAAAGCGAGATGAGTGCCGCAACCCCAGAGTCGTCCACGACTCAACCTAACGGTCAGGGGTCCCTTTACCCTTTGCCTAGATTCTGCACACACACACACATGCACACACGCATTCTTCATCCAGGCAACTAAGAAAACATTAGAGTTCAAGGACCAGACCCTAAATTCTGCATTATATACAGTGGTACCTTGGTTCTCAAACTTAATCAGTTCCAGAAGTCCATTCAAAAACCAAAGCGTTCCAAAACCAAGGCACACTTTCCAGTAAAAAGTAATGCGAAATGGATTAATTCATTCCAGACTTTTAAAACAACCCCCAAAACAGCAATTTAACATGAATTTTACTATCTAATGAGCCCATTGATCCATAAAATGAAAGCAATAAACAATGTACTGCAGTCACACAATCAATCAGTAGCTGAACTGGGTTCCACACAGTCACACACACAAAAAAGAGCCACAAAAACGCAAAATAGCAAAAACAGACAAACCTCATCATAACACTCCAAACGGAAGTGTGGCACTCAAATCGGAAGCATAACACTCAAAGCGGAGCACGTTCAACTTCTGAAAAAAGTTCGCAAACTGGAACACTTTGCAGTGTTTGGGTTCCAAGTTGTTTGAGAACCAAGGTATCTCTGTAAATGGTGTAATAAGCCCAGCTTTTTATTTATTCTATTTTATGATAGGAAACCTAGAAGCCAACCATATATATGAATGAGAGGGAATCTCATGTGGCCCTACAGATCTTGTCAGACTCCAAGCCCCATCAGCCTCAACCAGCCTGACCAATGGTCATGGATGTCAGGAGTTCGAATCCAGCAACATCCGGAGAGCTACCTTTTCTCTCTCTCTCCCCATCTTAATGGAAAACCAGCAGCCCTTACACACACTGCTGAAATTAACAAACCCAAATGCATTGTACTGGGCAAAACTGCATGCAGACATGTACTCTACATTGCTGGTTTATTTTCATGACAAATAAATCGTAATTCGATGCAGCAATGTGGCAAATTGAATTTAAACTTGGGGGAAATGAGAGAGAGAGGGAGACCAAAACTGGCAGATCCATTCCTCCCAACATTCCTCCTAAGCAGTTGCGGCTGCTGTGTCTCTGCCCACATCTTGGGCAGTAGGAGGGGGTGGGCAGATTAAAATCTGCTATTATTGTGCCTTTGTCCAGTAATCCCGTTATTTAGCCTCATTGTAACTTTGGGTTCCGCTCTGCTTCCCACAAATGCCTCTAATGCGATTATGCTATAAGGATGTTATTATCTCTTGTATCGCACTTGATAATCCAAACTCGAGATAGCAGGGGAACAGAAAAGAACAGAAAGGATAATTTGATTTGTATTAACAAGGGTGGTTTTTTCCCTTTTTTTCTTTTTCTTTTTTTGCCAAGACTCATTCTCGGGGATTTTAATCTGCATAAATGGAATACTTCCATATCCTTCACAAAATCTAGACTTGCTGGGTGGGGAAAGAAATGAAAATCCCTAGTTTTGCAACCAGAGAAGCTCAGGGCAAAAATATTCAGCCACCTCTCGGCTGGCTACAGATTGAAGAGGCAGGATGCTGGACTAAGGCTGGGGGGCGGGCAATGTTTTCAAAGTATCTTCTGTAACATGTCATTGGCACAACAAACATGCATTAGTGGCGTATTTGTACTGGACTGCCCACAATAAGAACTGCACCCAAGTTGATACTTCCAGGAGGCTGGGGGAGACACTGGCCATCATATGCCTTTCACTGATGCCAGCCTCCTCTGAAGTAAGGATTTGGGATTTAGCTGTACAGTGGTACCTTGGTTCTCAAACGCCTTGGTACTCAAACAACTTGGAACCCAGACACTGCAAATCCAGAAGTAAGTGTTCCGATTTGCGAACTTTTTTTGGAAGCTGAACATGCTCCGTTTTGAGTATTACGCTTCCGATTTGAGTGCCATGCTTCTGTTTTGAGTGTCACGCTGAGCAGCGTGTTTGTTTTTGCTGCTCTTTTTTTGTGACTATATGGAACCCAGTTCAGTTACTATCCCCCGCATCTGAATGGCCCACTGGAAGGGCACTCTTGCAATGCAACACAACAAAAAGCGAGACAGAAAATAAACCGGAACATTTGGTGTATACCGGAGTGGACTTTGGTCTTTCAAATTTCAGGGGCCCCTTGTCCAAGGACAAAATCCCCCCCCCCCGCCTCTCACCTTCCATCCTGCTCAATTCACTGCATCATAGTTGCAATGCCCTACAGCACAACCCCTATGGAGAGCCAGTGTGGCGTAGTGGTTAAGAGCGGCAGACTCGTAATCTGGTGAACAGGGTTCAATTCCCTGCTCCTCCACATGCATCTGCTGGGTGACCTTGGGCTAGTCACAGTTCTCTGAAGTCTCTCAGCCTCACTCACCTCACAGTTTGTTGTGGGGGAGGAAGGGAAAGGAGATTATTAGCCACTTTGAGACACCTTCGGGTAGTGATAAAGTGGGATATCAAGTCCAAACTCCTCCTCCTCTTCTTCCATGCTTGGTGTCCAATGCAACAGAACAGGTTGTGCTGGCCTAAATTCAGTGGTGTAGTGGGGAGGGAGAGAGGCAGTGGCCCTGGTCACAAAATTCTGAGAGAGGGGTGCAACCAGAGGCAGCTGCCAAGCCGAGACGGCATGTGGCCACCATCACCAGCAGCATCAGTGCCGACAGCCATGTGCCTTGTGGACTCCGTGTACGCCCCTGCACCCCGGCACATGCCTCCCCTCCCAGCTGCTAGCCTAGGTGCAAACCTGCCCCACCTCAGGCACCTGCAATCCATGCTACACCACTGCCTAAATCTGCCTGTGAGTATACAAAGATACGGGATTTCAACAGAAAGTGAAAGAACATGCATTGTTCGGAAGCATAGTAGTCTGTCCAATTCAAAACCTTTGTGTGATGGCCTGGGAATCCGATTCAGAGGCTGAACCGGAGGAATCCCAGCCTGCACAGGAGTCCTCGCCTGCAGGGCCGGCTGAACTGGGGCAGGGCCTTGATTCTGAAGCGCCTGCACCTGTGCCGGATCCTCAGGAGCAGGCACCAGGTGAATCCACTCTGGCTCCGGAGGTGGTTGAGGACACAGTGCCTACAGGTGCACCTCTCCCAGCCCTGTCAGGGGAAGGTGAGTCTCCCCCTGGGTCCAGTAACCCTCCAGCCTCTCCTGAGCTGCAGAGGCTCAGGGCAGAGAGGCGGAGGGAACTGGTTTCTCCCAGGAGGAGTGCTCGCCTTAAGGCCAGGAGAGGCGGGTCTCCTGGGGGCCGGGACCGCCCCTGGCCTCAGAGAAGATAAAGGCCAGTCAGCCCGGTCCCAGGTTGCAGGAGCAACGTCGTTGAAGAGCTGTTTCGGCCAGCACCCAGTCCTGTCCCTCCAGAGTTTCTGTCCTTCCCCGGCTCCTCGCTTTGGACCCCGCCTCACCCATGGAGGACTGTCTGCCGACCCTCGACTCAGGTCCTGGACCTCGCCCCACGGTAACCTCCCCCCAGGACCAGCACACTTTGCAGGTGCTAACAAACACTGAAAGGGTAGAGGTTGCATATAGCCACCCCAATAACATTATGAGCACAAATAATCAGAAACGCACAACCAAAAGGACATCTGAAATGAAGATGGACTTTTCGGAGCTAGCCGACCTGACTGGAAGAGTGGAGTGACCAGAAGGAGGAGGATTACCAGGAAGAATGGACGAAATTTAAAGACTATTTAGTCAAATATGTTAAGTTAAATTAATTGGAGAAGCTTGCAAATAACAGATAGGGTTAGGATTTAAATAGGTAATGTGATGAATTAATATATTTAATACTGAACTGGAAAGGGAAAAAGAGATGTTAAGTGATTAAGTTAATTTTATAAGAATATTGGTTTTGGAAAACCGGTAAAATGATATACACTGAAATTCAACCGGGGGATACGAGGAAGTCACTTAACAATGTTACCAAGTTTGGTTTAAAGACGGTTGAGATTTATGTTTGTTTGTTTATTTGTTTGTCTGTTTTTTTAAAAAAATTGGAAAATCAATAAATTTTTTGAAAGGAAAAAAAAGGACATCTGAAAGGGGCCCCTTGATGGCTGATCCAACAAGGGGAGTCTTCATTTCTTATCTCACAATGCGCTGCTGGCAACAGTCACTTTTGTTCCAGGAAATAGAGGGGGGGAAATTAGCTTGATCCCCTCTCTTGTTTCACAGAGACAGGCCAAAATGCTGGAGCTGCAGTTCTGGCCAGCTTGGTTTGATCTCGCCCAGGTTTTTACGCCCTGCCCTTTACCATCCCTGGGCCGGCCTCCACCTCTGAGCAGGCCCTTTGCAAGGTGGCTTTCATTTGAAGCCAGAAATTTCCTGCAGCTGGACCTTTGCAACCGCCGCTTCCCACGGGCAATGAAACACACCGGCCGGCAGCTGGGAATGGCTCGGGGCTCCATTAGCTCGCTCCTGGGAATGGCAGCCCCCAACCCTCCGCAAATTATGGCCACTTCCTCCTCTCCCTGCCATCTCCCTGCCGACAGCAGATGTTTCAAACAAGGGCCTTTGTTGGCTGCAGTGTTTATAGACTGCGGGAGCCGCAAAATGGTTAACTCGGCTGCATGCAGCAACAACAGGCCTTTGTGCACCAGACGGGCGCTGTAATGCAAGCGGTGAGAGAGAGGGAAGCGGCTTTGGAAAGTCCTATGCAGGGCAGAATTACTCACACATCTGCATGGAAAGCCAACTGTTGACACAGTGGTGTCTTTGGGAAGCGGTGCGTCTCAGGGACAGAGCACATCCTTTGCCTATAGAAGGTCCAGGTAGCATTGGGTGAGACCATTCTCCAAAACCCTGGAGAGCCACTGCCAGCCAGTGTAGAAAACACAGAGTGGAGTACAGTGGTATCTCGGGTTACATACGCTTCAGGTTACAGACTCCACCAACCCAGAAATAGTACCTCGGGTTAAGAACTTTGCTTCAGGAGGAGAACAGAAATAGTGCTCCGGCGGCGTGGCAGAAGCGAGAAGCCCCATTACCTAAAGTGGTGCTTCAGGTTAAGAACAGTTTCAGGTTAAGAACGGACCTCCGGAACGAATTAAGTACTGAACTCGAGGTACCACTGTATATGGAACTGGGAAGATTGACAGCAAAGATTAGAAGCCAAAATGATGGGAAATTTATTGAGGACGGGACCTTTTATTGAGTATTTAAAGAACTACTAAAGTGAGATGAAAACGCAAGCAAGATTTTAAATATAAGTAACAGCATTAATTATTTAGATAAATAGGTTAAAATGGATGTATTGAAAAGTATATATGAAATATGCAGCATTCAAGGGTAAATATGGAAACTACGGGAGGACGGGAAGTCAATGGCTAAAGTAATTTATGGTCTATTAAATGTTGTAAAGTGTGTGTGTGTGTGTGTGTGTGTGTGTGTGTGTGTGTGTAAAATCAATAATTTATTTTTTATAAGAGAAAGAGAATACTGAGTTAGATATGCCAACAGTCTCACTCAGTATAAGGCAGCTTCCTATTTAAATCATGTTCCATGTGGACTAGCAACTTTATTTTGAGGGAAAGAGCTGTGGCTCAGTGGTAGAGAAGGAACTGATACTGATTTACAGTATATTTATTAGCAATTCTGTATGAATGTAACATTTTTATATGTAAATAAAAATGTATACTGTAATAAGTTGCCTTTGGTTGCTCTAGCTTTTTGTATACCGCTTAAAGGTTTTAGAAATGACTTAGATAAATATAAATGAACGAACGAACTTGCAGGTGTACTTCAGGAGAATTATTTGGGGCCAGAATCATCCCATGAAAAGGCCTTTCATCGAGCTTTTGCTTGTCTAGGAGAGGCCTAGTTGCTACCGGCAGGTGTGCATTGCAAACAAAGGCACCAATGATTCTTTCCATTCACTGTAATCAGTACAGATGGACCCGGCTGCCATGGAATGGAAGTCAGATTATCTCTCCTTCCCCCCGCCACCTACACAAATACGGCATGTGATAACATGCTAAAATAAGGCCTGAGTCAAGACAGCCAGGCTTTGTGAGCATGGAAGTGTTTCTCTTTTTTGCTTTTTAAGATTGTTCTGGAATGATCAGCAGCTGAGTGTATATTCTGCACCAGACTTCTAAATTCTGCTTTCACAAATACCTGATGCAGATAAAGAGTGCATGAGTGATTCGTTTTGCAGAACTAATCTGCTTCCATTAATCAGATCATGAATTGATCGATTCAATTTATATCCTACCCTTTCTTCTTCCTGCCCTGGGCAGCAAACACATTTTAATAACCTGTGGTGTGTTTTTTAAGGCATTTCAAAAAGCAGTTCAAAATGTTCTGAAAACATTATCTCGACCAGTGACCTCAGAGTTGCCAGGAAGAGTGCCTAGGCTTTTGATTAATAATAATAATAATAATAATAATAATAATAATAATTCCTTCTGAAAGTCAATAATGAAGGATACAGATCACAAGGGAGTGAATTCCATAAACAGTGAGCTGCCACTGAAACAGCCCTGTCATGAGTCAAAATGGGCAGCCCCTAAATATGGTATTCTGGAGAAAATAAAGTGGGTGGGTTAATGCCCAAACAGGAAATGTATTGCTGAACTAAATAGAGCAGATGTAGCACCCAGTCAGGGGGCACCATTTTGTCTTTTGCTTCAGGCAGCCATCTAGTCCTTTGAGGGGGCACCAACTTGCCTTGGCCTCAGGCAGCCATTTTGTTATTTGAGGGACGCCATCTTGCCCTTTACCTCATGCAGCAAAATGCCTTGGGCCAGTCCTGAAACCAGGAGCAGGGGGTTCCAGAAAGTGGGGGAAAGCTCTCCCTTGATTTTTATAAAAAAAATTATTGGAGAGCCTAATCCATCCCAAAGAGGCATATTTCCATCCACCACCCTTTGTGGGCAAAACCCAAGGAATCTAAGATTTTTGGAACATTGAAGATACAAATTGGCAGAGAGGAAGAGTTGGAGGGATGGAGGCAAGAAGGCAAGGAGACCATCTGGTTGGAAACAGCCGTGGCTGTGAGGAAATTATTTCTTCCTTTACATCCAGCAGAATTAAGTGGGAAGAATATCAATGGCATGATTTATTACGCGCTGGGCTGGGAGCAGCCAAACTGGAGAAGGCTGATGCATTAGCAATTTTTCTACTAGGACGGCAGTAATCATGATGATGACATATGGAGAAAAGAGCAGTTTCTTTGGCGCTGGGCCAAATACCAGCTCTCAGTATCTGATCTTAAGGCTGTTATTCACAAGCTGGTGTGTGAGAGAGCTGCTAGCATGCAGTGAAGAATAAATTAATTTGAAGGCTTTGTGATCTCAAAGTCATCCCCAC